TTATGTACAATTTTTTCTCAGGACAATGTGAAAACCATTAATAGAAAAAGATGGTGTTGTAAAATAAAATGTATTTATAAATCATGAAAAAAAATTTATTACATTAAGAAAAGCATTTCTTCTTAATTAACTTGAGAAATGAATTTTTCATACATTTATTAATTAATGGATCATTAAAAAAATTCCTTTTGATCACTGCAGCTTTAAATTTATAGTGAAATTATTAATGTTTTCAGCTCTACACCTTGATTTTAAATCTTAAAGACTCGAAAGTAGTTTTAATTAAGACATTAACAAATGAAAAAAACTGAGATGACATGAAAATAATGCAGTTTTTATTCATAAAAGACGAAGTCTGGATGTAAAGAATCGTGATTTCCGTGCAATTTATTTCTTTCTCCCTCTTCCAAAGGATCAAGATTTAAATTTATTCAACTTATCTGTAAGCTACACTGGTATCCATTAGCTTGTACAACCGTCGTAGTTTCATGCTTCGTTACAGAAAGACCGACAAAATTCGATATGAACGAAGATAAACATTCATATACACGATAAAATAATTTTTACGTTTACATACATATACATCCCCTATTTTTTTATGATTTTTTTTCAATTATGTTTTGTCTGCACTCATTTGCAGAATCACAGTATGTTCAGAAACCGAGCGGAAAACTTTAACGGAGCATTAAAGCGAAGAAATGCTAGCGATGTAAAGTATGTAATTATTAAATGGATAAACGTTTAAAACCCCGTGAAAAAGTCCATTATTACACAATAAATATGTTAAATAAAAAAACAAGGAGATTCATTCCTAAAAAATAATTTTGAAATCAAATTTAAAGGCTTTCACTAAGTAATTACAAGATTCACTCTTTAGTAAATCTTTCATAATATTATTTTTTTTTAATATTATCATTGTTATTAAAATTATTTAATCATAACAGGATTTTTGTTTCCTTTACCTATTAGTAAATAGTCAAGTGTTCCAAATGTAAGCAATATATTTTTTGATTCAACATCATGGGTGGAGTAATGTCAGTTAATGCTATAAATACAAAAATAAAAATACACAATAAAATAATATAATAAAATTAATCATATTAATAAAATAATAAAGTAGATTATTTAGTGATAAGTGACATTGAAAGACAATTAATGACAAAAAAAAAATCACTTTAAATGTTTGCCATTGAAAATATCATATTTATTGATTTTTTTATTAATAAAAATATTTTAAAAAATTTAATCCACTTCCAAACTGACTTTTGGAAAAAAATCAAACAAATTAAAAAATTCTGGAGTAAGAATGTATTTTTACTCCAAATTTTGGAGCAAATATTTATTAAATAAAGAAACCAAATCGTATAATTCTTAAAAAAAAAGTATGATACAAAAAAGAAATTGCACATGAATCAATCATTACATAATTAATACGTGAGCCAAAAAATACAAATTTATCTCAAAGTAAATCCTGACATAAGTGACTTTCGTTACAATCTTCATTGGAAAGATCGGCAAGTTTTATCCATAAATTCAATCATTCCGTGAGCTTCTTACATTTTGCCATAAGGGTATCTTAGCGCAGACCCCTGCGGTGATTCACATAAGCCTTGGGCCAATCCACCAAGAGACCTTTCTCTTCGTGTGCTAATCGATCCGCTTCCTACGCTTGTAATTATGTAATGTTAACGGCGACCGGAGGATATATACATAAGACGCACCGAAATTCTCTAGCTTATGTATCCTTCGTCACAATAAATCAAACATTTATTATTTTATTATTTCATTTTATTTATGATGACTTCAATGCGCTGACTATTCAGCTGTTAACGATTTTACATTCAATAATAATTTAGCTTACACACATATTCCCACTATTGGAATGCAATTTTTACCTGATAAATATGTAGTTATTAATCTACTAAATATTTTTTTTATTACAGATAAGCTCAAAAGATGATCGAGCATTAATACTACTGTTGTTACGGTGTTTTAGTAGACTAGGTAAGAACCCTTTGAAACAACTCTACTCACTACCGATGCACCGTAGATCTCCTCTACTCCCTCTATTCTCTCTCTCTCTCTCTCTCTCTCTCTCTTATTTCATCGTCCCGCGGCTGATTTCGCGCGCGAGTGGCGAACAGTCGCGACGCGCGCCTCTTCGATGACGGACGGCACCCAGCTTGGTGTGCGGAAGCGTGATAAAGTCATAAATTTAATTAAACACCTCGTACTAAGTAATCAAATAACAGAAAACACCAAAGTAAACCGCTGAAAACTTCATTAAACCGCAAGATAAATAAATAAATTTTAGTAAAAAAAAAAAAATCGGTTGGCTTTTTTCTGGTTACTTGTGTTAAAAAATTGAATAAGACTGGAAAAGATTAAGTACTAGAGGGAAATATAGTAAACAAGGGAATCGTGGAACGCGATTAAAGAGGGGGACAAAGAGAGTGGGAGAAGTTCGAGCCGCAAAACGAAATCGGTCGGAATCCGCGGCGCCTGCGGGTCCGCCCACAGTGCGACGCGCACCTTCGTGCTGTCCCTGTCGTAAAGAAACAATAAGTAAAGACCCTTCTTCGAACATCACCATCATTTTCATCATCGTCATTAATGTGATCACGATCATCCTCGATTTGATCGTAAATTGATCAGTTTTTTTAAACGATTTTTTTTTTTAATTTACCGATCGCCTACCTGATCGTTTCAGACGAACGTTATTATGTCACACTCCCACGCGAGCGACGGTACATTTTGTCGCGGGTGTATCGAAGTCGTTTGACATTTCCGCCGGGATTTTACACGCCTGGATGAATGTGTTGTCATCACTCATAAAGTATATATCAGACTTGCGTTTAAAAATTTTTGTTACAATTAACTACTCTGGCTGTCAAAGAAACACGTGATTTTGTGTTTAAACCGTCCAACAATTGAAAAATGTGATTTTTCTACTTTTTGTGATTGTTTTTTATTTAATTATTTAATAGTGTTTAAAAGAACCTCGAGGATTTTACAAGTGAGTGAATATTTCCATGAACAATGACGTTTATTCAATGTCAGATAATTTTTTGCAATAATAAGTGAACCATGGGCAGTGATTATTGTCGTTATTTATATATTTATTATTGTTATTATTGTTGATTAACTCTAAAAGATTTGTGGAGTGAAAATAATGACACTCGGTGGTGCTGTGGATAACATCATTTCCATTACAGAGATCTTGATTAAAGTGAATTAATAGAAAAAATACTGTGGGAAATTTAAGGAGGTGAGTTTTCAAAAATTAATTTTATCTTTTAATGTAAATAATTATCATCCATTGTCACAATATTTTTTTCTAAATAGTCATGCTTATTAAAAGCTTAGAGGCTTCAATCAATTTATTATCCTTTTAAATCCTTACACGATAATGAGCTTGAAAACTTACGTAGATTCTATTTAATCAGACATCCCAGTAGTCGGTGAGTCATTGATGCTTATATAGGGTTGAAATAATTTTTTGCATTTCCGTAGAAAATAGGAAGAGAGGATAATAAGCAAAAAATCAACGTGTGCGTTCGCTACGTGGGTGTTTCATGAGCAACAAGTATCCAACAAGTAGGTTTTAAAAGCTTGAAAATTTTTTTTATTCAATTAAAAACTTATCTTCAACTCCAATTAATTATACATGAAATTAATGATCTTAAACAATTGTAGTCATTTAAATATTGCTTCTTAAAACACTTTCGAATATTTTTTGACGCTCGATAACCGAGAGGTAATTTATATACTGTGGTGAAATTAACAAGAAACCGATCGATTTATCGATAGGAAATGCGTTAGGTACAAATGTAAGAGGAAAAAGATATTGCTGTACGGTTAATATAATGTACGTAGACGAGTCCGCTGGTAGTAAGACTAGCTAACGTAAATAGAAAAAGACATTACATATATAATGCAGTTATATCTGACCGTCGGAGGTCTCAATCGTCGCGGATCGTAGAGACACAACGCAATAACAATCATATGCCGAGCGAGATCGATGTGCGATATGAACAGTCTGTGTATCGACTTGTGGATGTCATTACAAAGATGGTCGTATAAAGTAAAAGTAAGGAATGCCGGGTGTCATGTAGCACTACTGGGAATAAAACGAATAAAATAAATTATAATGAAACTCACTGAGTTCATCAGAATATATTTACTTACACTTTATGTATACAAATTGTCTCATCATTTAAATCGAATAGCTTTTTTAAACATTTTAATGATGTTAACATTGTCTCGTCAAAACATGTAAAATAACAACAACTACAAAAAAAAAACGTCAACACACTTGTACATTGGATCGGATTACAAAATAAAAAAGTTGGAGTCAATTAATCGTGATAGAATATCGATTATTAAATAATTTAATATTTTAGGAATGTGATGGCATTGTCGATAGGCAATTGTGATAACTGAACCTTGAGGTCGAAATTCATGACCCAACTTAAGAGAACTGACAATTAGTTTAATTTTAAAAATTACTTGTTTCAATAGAGATCATTTCTAAACAGTATTTTCCTACCAGTAATTTATCAATAATCTTATCCGAGCATTATTGTCCATGATTATGAACTAAAATCAACAAGCCGCTATTTTCTTGGTATCCTGCATTACGCCTATGTCGAGGCTGGTCTTGTAGACCTTCGTGAGGTTTCAATAATCAATTTTCTACAACCCGTTAGTGCTAGTGAGTTTAAATGTTTAATCTAGAAATTGATACTGATCTATATTGTACTCTACACTCCATCAAGTTATTTTCAGCCAACTGCATAAATTCAATCATTTATTACACCTCCTAATTACATATGAACTGGTGTCCAAAGATGCCCATTCCTGCCAATTGCATGAGTAACAGATAATTTTTCATCAATAGCTGGCCGTGGATCGCAACGTAGTGAATCCGGGCATCCGGCTGATGTTTAACGTCTGTGAAATGGATGTTAGGCCACGAAAATCTGAAGTAGCATCGATATATGGATACCCATGGGTGGAACTTGGCCGAAATGTGCCAGCGCTACCATCAAGCTGTCCCAGCAGCCCAAAGCTCCTCACCATCAGGTAAAGACCAGACGGTTGGCATCGTACAAGGCCTATCAACGAACCAGCACGTTGAACAGGCCAGTCCGTCCTATTCTCATTACACGTAAGTCCCTTTTTGTTTCACTTTATTACCATCGTCACTAATTAATCAATTTTCTGCTACGTAAATCATGACCCCAAGATATAAAAAAAGGGCTAAATAAGATCAGTTCTTTTTTTTTGATGTAATTAACAAACACCAACACTTAGAGGTGATCGTTTGATTCATAATTATTTTATCTGAAAATAAATTAATAAATAATCACTGGTTGAAGTGATGAACATACCACTGAATTAAACAGTGATGATTTTATAACTGTAAATTAGTTTATATTTACTGTCTCGCTGTGACTTTTAGTCTTTTTTACTCATCCGTTTTTTAACAGCTACACTCTGAAAAATAATAGTTGAGTCCTTTTCGAACTATATTGTTGGATTTACTATTAATATTATTAATTAGTAATTAAAGATTATTATGTTACAATACATTGACATATATTTGAAAGCAAGATGATGCAGCAGGAAAAGTAAATTTTATATTTACTGCTAAACGAAGAAATTCGTAAAATATTGATCGATAAATTTTATTTAAATGACAAAATTTATTAATAAATATTACTTTTTATTGAATTGGAGTCAATATTAATAGTTTTTAAAAATTAAAATCTTTAAATAAATTTCTTTTTGATTAATTTATAGCAACGAATATTATAAAATATTTAAAAAATTATCCGCAGTAAAAAAAATGTCCTAATAAGGTCTTTTTTAATTTCAAAGACTCTCAATCTTGTTAACTAATTGGTTGATTAGGTAATTAATTAATCACAATCTCAATTTTTAAGCCGCACCATAAATTGATTAATTATTAAATGTGTGATGAATTTCGTGTTCGACTATGCAAGTTTTTCCAATAAAGTATATTGCGTTATATTGTATCTCATATTAATAAGGATATAGAGAATTGGGGATAAGTATACGATTCGATGGAGGAGGTCCTACGTAAATCCTGTTATTAGTGCGATTATTAGGGGAAGGACGATCACGTAAATTGCGAGGGGCGTAACTATGTATTTGGTTAGTGTAATCGCCAATCTGTATCTGTGATCGATCATGTTCCCACAAATTTTCAACTTCTCACTTTCTCTTTACTCATTGTTTAATCGATTAAAAAATCATATTTTATCAATATATGATTTCATATTTATTATTTTTTTTTGCATTCACTTTTGTTTTTTATAATGCGCCAATTTTCTTCCTTGTTTTTATTTCCTTACTCACTTCATTGAATTTGCAGTATTGCCCATGACATAAAACAAGAGTGATCCCTCTCGTACTGGAAGATATTATATATCGTTGAAAAAAAAAGAGCCACCGATGCCGGTGAGGTTTGAAATTTAATTCAGCATACTCGGACTTCGTGTCAAGAAGCTCGAAGAGTTTATGTCTCTTTTTTTTTTATTTTATTTCAGTCTACTGTATTTTTTTCCACGAATTCACTGAATTCTATTACACGCTATATTTATTTATAGATTGTGACAGTTTTGAACAGCTAATTAATTTTTTTTATTCACTTTAATTAATGCCTTTTATAATTATTTAAAAAAATCATAAACTAGGACAACACTCAACAGCTACTAATTCGTTAGTTTATTATTTTTTAGAAATTTTTATTTCTGTAAATACAAAGTAATGTGGAGTTTGATTTTTTTGTCCATTTGTTACTGTCACATAACCATTTTTTGATGACTACTAAATGAGAAAAAAAGTTTAATCATATTCATAATGAATGTGAATATAAATCTATGCAGATTTTATGGACTTTAATTTAAACTTCATGCAGTTTATTGTTTCTAATAAGAGAAAGAGTGAAAAGAAAAAATACAAGAATTTATCAAAAAGTTACATATTCTTTTTTTCACTTTGATGAAAGTAATTTAAAAAAAAAAAAAAAGCTTGTGCTATTAATTGAACTTTGAGTTAATCGATTAAGTGTATTGACAGTCAATAGTTCTGCGAATCCAAACAACTCAAGAAAATAATTTTTTTTCTGAGAAGACCTCGTTAAATATATATATCGAAGCAATACTAAGTAATTAATGTTTAAAAATTCATACTCATCACTTGTTCGTTGAATTATTTTTTACTTTAGTATGGATTTATTATTTTATTTATATTTTTTTTTATTCATGTAATAATTTCTCAGATGTTTCGTTGTACCACATAATTTGTCTCCACCTTATGATTACGATTTCTCAGTTGTTTTCACTTATTATACATTATACATTACAATGTTTGCTCGAAGAGCCGCCAAACAATACAAAAAAGAAAATGACCCTCTCGCGTTGCAGAAAAATATGCAAATCTTACGTATATGACTCGTTCAATTCTTTCCAACTGTGTCCTAATTTCTTTGACGTGGCATACCGCGAAAACTTTCAACAACGAATTCAAGTATACTTATTGTCATGTATTTATTGACACGTGCCAAAATTAGGAAAACCACTCTTCATTACTTCTTTTCCCGTGACTTTAAAGTACCAATTACTCCAAAAAAAAAAAAAATAACAAAAAATTTTTACTTACGCTTGATTACTTCAAAGAATAAAAAATTAACTTTTAAAGAATTAATTAACATAATTCTATTATAATGTTGTCTAATTCTTAGTAGTTTTCAATCATAAAATTTTTTTTAATGACTTGTTTGTTCAAAATGTTTTTTTTTTTTTAATTCAGAAGTAGATTAAAAAATCCAAGAAAATTTATTTCTGATAGATAAAAAATTTTACTAATACATAGAAATACATAAGAATTAAATTATTGATTATTTTTATTCACACTAATCAATTCGTTTCAAATAATATTAATAACGGAAAAAAAATTCCCATAGGTTTCCATTCTTAGTAATCCATTAATTAATTTTCTCAATTAAAATGATCATTAATTTTTGTTAATTAATCACAAATAATTTTTATATTAAAAAACATTTGGAATAATACACATACATACGTAATGATTTAATGTGATAATGATAACAAGGTGCATCATATCCTCCAAAATGTGAAAAAACAAACATGAAGAAAAAAACAGCACATAATCCAGGATTAGGGTCTGCGGATGAAGTTGTATGATCAGATTGAAATGAAGACTGTTTGGATCGCGCATCAGCTGTCAAACTGTCAGAGAGAACAATAGTAGTGATTTATAAAAAGGCGTCGAAACGGTAACGGCAAACGTGCGCGTAAATTCCGTAATAAACCGAAAACAATGGTTGTGGGAATTGATACGAACGGGAGGTTTAGTTTAGCGTATATAACGGAAGCCTTTCGTTACTCGTCCGTGCAAGGAGGCGTTAGGACGTCGCATGTTCACAGAAGTTTTAAACGAACAAAGAGAGAGTAGCATCTAGACTTCAACTTGATGAAAAACATTACTACTTAGAACATAAATATCACCATGTACTTCCCTGCAGGAGTCTAGTCATGAGTATAAAACCTCCTGGAACACAGTCTACTTTCCAAACAATTATCCGCTGAAGAATAACTTGAAGAATTATTTTTAAAAAATGACTTTTTAAAATAGCAATTATCTTTGAGATTTAGACGTAGATGAATATAATATGATAAAAAAAAAAAATAATGCTATGTGTCAGTATGTGTAGAGCAGAGGAAGTTGAGGACTATCTCGATTATCCAGATTGTAGGGTCAACGATTAGTTCGTTCCGGTATGGCGAGCATGTAGAGGTAAATGTTTCGGGGATGCGCTTTCTTCGTTCTCTCGAATCCGTGAAGCGACGGACGCGGTGGCAGCGACGGAGCGTTTGTAGTGCAGAGGTGAGCGGCCAGGTCGTCACTTCCGCTTACCAACTGAACCGCGTTGGTCATTTGATTTAAAAGTTTAATCAGGGGCCTATAAAATTACAGTTCCTGCAGCGGTTATGTATGACCACGAATCACCTATACAAGGGTGTGTTCGATCCGCCATTATTGCAATAAAATACGCACACCTTTATCAAACTAATCATGGTTTCAACACCAAAATCTTTTCATTTCAAATATATTCATTTCCGGAGTGGAAATAATATTTTAATTAATTCAATGCCTTTTATTTGCCTATCAAACGATTCCAGTATTAATGCTAATTTATTGTAATTTCGAGATTGTTTTTTAAAGATGCACATTAATTTTTCGCTCAAGAAAAATATTACATCGATTTCAATCGGTTTAGGATTCAAATTGCGAAAAATAGTATGCAGTCATGTGACTTGCATTTTAATGCACCACAAAAGATCCTCATACTTTCCTTAATAGATTTTGACTTTCATACTTGAAATATCGATGATTGCTAGCCTTGGTGTTGATTATTGTTCCTGCTTTTATATGAAATTATTACAAATTCAATGATAATTATTTTAAATGAAATGATAACCTTTCAACAAGCTTTAAATTTAACAATAAAATTAAATTATGACTAGTTCTGGACTGAAGGCAAGAATTTTTTAAAAATAATGCAGAAAAAAGATCATAATTATATTTAGCTCTAACGTTTTTTTCATCATTGTATTTTTTTCATTTTCTTTTCTTTACCTTTACCTCTTTACCTCTTAATCTATTGATTGCATTTTAAAAGTGAAAGAATGTGACTTCATTTTTAAAACAAACTGGAAGATGAAAGTCCTTGATTGATTTTCAGTAACGTTTTGAATAAATGAAGAACAAATCGAATCGAGTAAACAGTGAATCATCCAGAATAATTTAAGAAGAATAAATTCTTTCAAACAAACCATTACTCATAACAAAGTGTATAGGATGTGCTAACAAACAAGTAGATAAATAAATTATTAATTTTTCTGTCAATAACGAGTTCATTGCGTGTTTTACAAGCTATTAACACCTACTTCGATTTACACGGTTTATTAAAACGTACGATAGAATTCTAAGGTTCATTCTTTTTCCAACGTGCTCATTATAATCATGTAACAAAAGATCGTTAAAATAAAAACGAAGAGAAGAAAAAAAAACCTTTAAAATAAAAAAGTTTTGCTACAAATTTCGTTGATGATAAGCAAATAATTAAGTTCTCATGTAGAAATAGGACTCGATCCTAATTCACAATCTTGTCGAGACTATCTCAAACGTGGCACGCGTCCAATCACGACTACGAAGCTTCAATGAAACACCAGAGTAAAAGAGAGACAGAGAGAGACTACAAGAAGAAACGGCACGCGAGTCTTCTACTCCGGCAGCTTTATTGAATGAAAATGCCGTGACGTTTTTGCACCCATCAGAGTATCCCGCGAAAAGAATCAACAAACCCAAACAATGGCCATTATATAGAACACAAGCGTGAGAAGAACGAGCTTTTCACGTGTATACACATTTTAATACTCAAACTACACATTTAAATATTTTATATGCTACGAATAATCTACAATATCCTATAAACAATTGAATATTATTGATTATCAAATCAGAATGATTGATGAGTTTATAATGCATTCATTTTTATTTTATTGTTTATTCAATTTGCTACTTCATAATGAAGAAAAATTACCATAGATATATATATATATATTATGCCCGCAATACCTACTGGCTTCCACGTTTTGGAGTGAAATTATTTTAATTTTAAAAATTAATCTACTTTTTTCGAAAAAAAGTAGGTATCATAAACTTTAAATTGTGTGCTGTCAGATGCGGCTTGCGGCCGCCCGCAAAACAAACCACCCTTTAACTACAGCGTACCAAGTTACAAAAATTTGGTTAAGTAAGGTTAAACATAGGGAAAACCTAATTGCCTCCGTTTCGGAATTTGTTTAGAGCGTCATTTCAATGGGTTAATACGGAGGCAACAGAGGTAAATAGGTTTTTCCGTGTTTAACCGCACTAACCAAATTTTTGTAACTTGGTACGCTGTACTTAAAGGGTGGTTTGTTTTTATTAAACAATGCGGCTTGCGGCCGCACACAATTCAAAGTTTATGATACCTACTTTTTTTTCGAAAAAAGTAGATTAATTTTTAAAATTGAAATAATTTCACTCTAAAACGCGGAGGTGATAAAGATATATAGGCGGATTTTTATATATATATATATACATATACAGATAGAAGGTGTGATAAGTTTAATACCAGATGCTTGCACATCATTAAAAATTGAATGAATGCAGATTTGTATAATATGTCTGCAGGACAATCGTGGGAATTCCATTAAGTGGCCTTGAATGGTTCATTCATGTCGATCAACTCTTTTCCTATTGGGGTTGACAGATCAATCGACGAACAAGTGAGCGACGGTCTCTCAATAGACGTCTTCCTTTCAGCTCTTTGCTGGGATCTTTGCCCTTTCATTTCTTGTTTCCAATTCGCGAGTTTCCATTTTCAGATTTAACATATTTATTTGATCTTAAAGACTTCCAGACTTTATCTATGAACTTGATGATTTGTTTATTTACATTCTAACTAAGTTGATAACAATTACTAATTAGTTTATAATTTTGACTTTCACTATTAATTTTAGCCGCTAATTGCCATCAATGAATTTCACTCCGTCTTAAAGTTCTATCTGATTGGGTTCATAAAATGTTCTACTATAAAAGTATCAAAGAGAAAGTTTTGCAAATGTTTGTTGGACATTTTTGATGATTTATTAATTTCGTAGACATTGTCTTTAAATACGAGTAAAGTATTATAAAGAGTTTTAAAACAGAAGAATTTAAGTTAACGAAGCTTTGAAATATTTATGGGCACCTTGACGTAATAAACTCAACAACTGTTAGAATTTTATATTTACTGATCCCGATTTTCATATGACAGGCACGTTTCGTGTAAAAGTATAAAGATAAGTTGCCATATTTCATGGAATGAGTCCAACCCTAAGTCGAATAAACTTCTGCCAGGTGTTCAATGGGGGTTCGCACCGCAGGTAGCCATAAATCTTATAACCGAGTATACGGGAGTATCTTTTATGACATACGGGATTTCAAAATATTAACTTGACACTATTAGAACAGATATAGTATTAGTAAATGTACCTGCTGTGCTTGGTATTTTCGAAGGAAGTCATCACTATACGGTCTATAATCTTATTGCGGGTATTTTCAAGTACCTTAAAGATTTTAAAATGACCTGACTTACCCCCTCAACTAATGAACCTTTTAACCTAGTACCAGTGACCTGCAACTACTCCCTTCCATCATAGATGTAGGTGTCAACAAATTTCTCATTTGCCAATTCTTAAATGGGTGGTTCCTCATCAATCGCACTTGAAGACCAAATTTAAATATGTCCTTTACTCGGCAGTGATCCTTCAAATCGTTCAGTTCAAGTGCTATACTTTACGCTAAAATTTGGATTAAGTGAAGTTGTTGAAATTTCCAAGATCATGGATTATAATGGAGTGGTACCAGACACTTTAATAGATTTAAAGTATATCTGTATGAAGGAGTTTGCGTATGTTTCGTTTTTTTTTGTAATATTACCATAAAATTATCTATTTTCTCTTTATCTTTCTATTTTTAATGAAGTGTTGAAATATTCAATAATAGATATTTTTCTAATTTTCTATTACTTTTTTTTATTAATTTCTTTCGTGTAATGACTTGTTCAAGAAGATTAGATTATTCAAATTAATTGCGAAATAGTGATAAATATTTATAAAACCATTTCAAAAGAAAGTTCTCATGTTGTTTTTAATTAGTTATTTAAATTTTTTATTGTCTTATCCATACACGTCATAAGACTTTATCTAATCTGATAGTTGTTAACTCATAGGTAGTTTAATTTTTTATCGGTCAATTTACAGTATGTTGGACAACAACTATGATCGTGGCCAGGAAACACCTCCTCCAGGATCTAGTTATGACGGATCTCCTGGTTTGATGACAATGCATCAGCCTCTCTATCCATCACCAGGACCACGGTTTGATATTGGATCACCGAATGTTGAAGGAGGAGCTGAAGGGACGTTGACTATGGACTCGCAGATGATGCCGGTATATATTTATTCATTTCATTATCACTTGAGATAATTTTATTACGTAAAGGCGCCCTTTTTTCTTTGTCATTTTTCAAATTTAAACCCAAGTTGAAATTATAATCTAGTAAATTATAATTATTCTTCGAATCTTATATGGTTGGTAATAATTGAAAATTTTCTCGTGTAGTAAATTAAATGTCGCTTTTATCCAAACTTATTACAACATCGCAATATTATATTTTTTTAAACTCCACGAATCATAATTTCTAATAATTGATGTAATAAATCGTTATATTCAATCAGTAAAGTTCTTTTTCATTTTAGGAAAGTTTTATTTAAAAGTAATGAATTCATTAAACTCAAAGAAATAATTAGAATTAACTAATACTCTGAAAATTTTAATTAAAAAAAATCAAAAGTAAAAAAAAAATCAATTGATTTAATGTTAATATTTTTCGCAGTGTAGCAATTTTATTTACTGAAAGTATTTACCGAATATAGCTTTAAAAAAATAACATTTTTTTTATCTTTCTTCTGAGTATACTCAAGAGTAATAAAAACAGTTATTAGACAAAGAATCCAAATTATATATTTGATAAATTAAATTTTAAATCAATAAGAGCGCACGAAGGTTTAAACCAATTTCTTTAATTTGCATTACTTCAAAAGATGAAATAACATTTTTTTTTGAGGTAATAAAATATATTTGAAAGCTGTATTATTACTAAGTACACAAGATTCAAAGTACCAAAAGATTATTGTTTTGTCATTGGACAAGTCTGTTAATATTGCTAGAATTATCAAATTCTTATTAAAACGTTAATATAATAGAGTCAATTCTGAAATTTAAAACTTCATCATGCTTTCACGATTTGAAATATGTAAAAACATATGAATAATTTTGCAATAATTTTGTAAATTATGTGGAACATATAAAAATGTTTTAAATATTAATTGTAGATCTATTAATTTTATGTATATAAATAAATACTATTTTTTAAAAAAAAATATGAGAAAACAAAAATATAGTGACCTTCTTTATGTAAAATCATAAACTTAAAAAATTTTGTTTAAAACTTCCTTTTGTATCTTATACAGTTTATGCAAAAATCATAATAATCCGATAATTATACTAATTTTTTGATTTCACAAAAACATTTTTTCAAATTTAGCATAGATTAAGTTTAGGAAAACCCACCCTTAAATAATTATATTTATTTTATGTATTTCTTCCCCTGTATATTATTGATCCATTGATTAGTTAAAAAAGTTAACATGCTATTAGCTGCCAAGATATTTTGTACTGCGATAATAGGAAAATAAAAATGCAATCTCTCCGGTTGATTTCCAGATCACAGGAATGTTGAATAACTCAACACCGAAGTTAGAGGAGTTGCATTGGATCCACACCGGGCAATCGCTAGACTATTCGCAAAGTTTATCATCGATGCCTGGCGTTGTAAGGATGTGTCATCCCAACACCTCAGCACAACGTAGCCTGCGGGAACAACGCATTCGACGACCTATGAATGCTTTCATGGTGTGGGCAAAGGTTGAGCGAAAGAAATTGGCCGAAGAGAATCCTGATCTCCACAACGCTGATCTCAGCAAGATGCTTGGTCAGTGATCATCTATTATCGATCCGCCTATTTTATACCTCATTGTCTCAATTATCTTTTGCATGAACTCTATTTAAAAAAGGTTCAGATATAAAAATATCTTCAATAACATTCTATTTATACATACCGTAAAAAGTAAGGTTCATATGGATTCCTAGATGATTAAAAATGTATAAAATTTAAAGTTGAATTAATAAAGTTATTTTTACATGTTGAGAAAAACAATATGAACGTCACTATTTTTTTTATGTGTATCAACAGAATGGTATTGAACATTTTCTTATTTCTATGACCAAAATACGACATATTCAGTAATTTCCGTGAAAATAATTCGTTCCGCCTTGTAAATATCACCCACCCTAAAGTATATACCCCATGAAAAAAAATTAATTTGACCGTCATCTTTTTCCGACATTTATCTATATTTTTTTTACAAATGTTATATTATAGTAGATCTTGATCAAGATCTATCCATAATTATTATCCAATTTGATTTTAAATTAATACTCGGAAATCTCACCTCGTAAGGTTAAAATTGACTTAACATTTAGATCTGAGATAATTAAGAATGCTTTTCAAAAAATGCAAAGTAATTTTTATTGTACAGACTGACTGTCCCTATTTTCACTTACCTGGCGTGTGATTAGTATAATAAAATTCCAGTCGTTCATTTTTTTTTCTTTATGCATTCTCTTAATTATTATTACTATCATCATTGTTATTTAGAAATGATTAGGTTCTTTAAAATATTTTTAATTTTGTAATTATAATTCTTTAATTCTTTTTTCACTCTATTTACTTAAGAGTATACCTCAATTTTTTTCTATTATCAAAAAAATTTGTAGTGCTAATTTTTTTTTGGACATTGTCATCCACGTTACTTCTATTCCAGCCAATTATACACGGAAAACGATCCTTAAGAGTTAACTAGTGCTTTTATATTTCATTAAGTCTCTCTTCCTTTCTCCATATATATACATTACATATATTCGCGCAAAAATCACCGGATCTCTTCCGTCCGACAATTAATTTAATAAACTCTTAACGATCTATGTAAAACTTTCTCATTCCCAGAGGTGAGAGAGTTTCCTTGCATCATTAAGATTTTTCTTTTAGATATCATCTAGATCTTTATGACCATCTTTTTTTTTTACTTTGAATTTCTAGCAAAAAATTAATTGTTATCCCGAATCGAAATTGTAGTTCAATTTGAAGACTTTAAAAACTCACAAAGTGAAATTTTTAAGATTATTACTAGACTGATTAGCATAAAGTTAATTAAGTTCCTTGGGTTAATAGATATAAAAATCTTAGGAAGCCGTAGTAAATCCGTCAACGATCGGCACTCGTTATCGTCATCGTGGAGGGTATATACCTTTAGATTATCGACAATTGGCATCCGCAACATTATTGGCGTATTGGTGATTTGCGGGCGGTCGACGGCCAGGAAATCGTAATTACCGTCACAGTTAAGTTTTCTTAAGGAAATAATCGCAGAGTTGCTCAGAAATTGCCGTGTATTGCTTTAGTGCTTTATCTCGAGCGGCAAACCGTCTCGATTTATCGATTCAAAGTTATATTAGGCGATCGGATTGATGTTATTGGCATGACGCAGTGGTGATTGCTATTCACATCAAGTACTCCGCCTCCACTTTTGCTCCCTTGTCTCTCTCTTTTTCTCTCCTTACATGCTTTTCTATCTTTTTTTCGTTCCTTTTCTTTTTTATCAAACATCCTATATACATATTCATACACGTGCCATGTGTCACAGTTTTCATTTTATAACATTTTAATATCGTTGGCGCCTAGAAAAATACTTTATCCACTACCATATTTACTAAAAATTATATACAATGTACTTACCTATTGTTATTTTTATTTCTTACTTTAATATATGATAATAAAAAGATGAATTTTTCAATCAAGATTAGTTTTGGCCTCAATTTACATTTTACTCCAACATTCAAATTTTTAATTTAGAAATTAATTAATAAAGAAAGAGATTAAAACAGATGTCCGCCTCAATTTGGTTTATATATTTATTAACTAAAATTAATAATCAATCAACAGTCTATCAAACAAATATTTAAAAATGTTTTGACCTTTTTTAAATCAAATGAATGCTTTTATAATATAACGAGAAAATATGAATAATATTATTAAAAACAAAATAATTAAAATTATTACAAAATTATTCACACGATGAATAACAAATTTAAGCAATGAATTTTTTAATAAAAGAATATTCTTAAACATATACTAAGTCTAAAGGATCGTACATATCGCATAAACGAACGTCTTCGTCTCAACATTGAATTTTATATCCGGTGACACGCGTGTCCGTGCATTTTTATTAATCATTCATCGACCGTTATCTACTTGTCTGTCTGCCCGGTTATTTTTCAAAAAAATTTTTCATTAAAACGAAATAATGATAAATGATCACCAAGTACACAATAGATTGACAGTAGATTGACGAGGTTAATTCAAAAAATAGGAGATTGAATAGATATAGAAATGCAACTACATGAGTTTGATTATTATGTGGTAGATAGCGATGGAATATCAGGAGCATCGAGTGATTTAGTCTGAGGGTTATTTGTCCGGCTAATGAAAAATCAATAAGATGGCGAAGATTGCCAAGATCGAGACGTAATTTTCTTCGGCTGACCGGTCTCAAGCAATTTGGCGCGAGAAGAAGGCGCGACCTCTTGCCAAGAGAGACATGATTCTTCCTGCAAGGTCACTTTAGAAATACCTCTACTAGACTCTAGAGGAGACTATTTTCATCAACTTCACCATTCATTCCATTACCTAGACTATCGATAGATTAATCACATCCAATGATTATTAACATCACTTTTTAATTTTATTAATATCTACTCTTCCATTTATTTATATTTATTTTTTTCGTAATATTTTATACACAGAGAGAATTTTTTTCCTGTTTATAAGTAGCTAATAAAATTATTCTTGTTACAAGTAAATCAAATACTAGTCACTTTAAAAGAAAAAATTCCCTTGATATACATTTCTCTTAACACAATTTGTATTTGTGTTTTTGACACTAGAAAAATTTGGTATTTTTCCGGATTATGGAATGATCAATTGAAATACGTGACGGTTCGTTACTCATACGACACGCGTACATAAGAAGGAACGCACGCCAAGAAAGACCACCTACGATAAATGTGGCAGCAAGTATATAATACCAACTGTCTTGCACGTTCCAACAAGCTACAGAAAAGATAGAAGGGTTTAACTGTCAACTCTGATATCATTCTTTAGTAGTACTGATTATCTATAGAGTTCTGCTGTTACAGGAGTATTAGGTCGAACTCCGAACTTTGTTCCAGTTATTCTCAACTGACCATTTATCTCAGTCCATTATCTTATATTACTATAGAATATTTTATAGAAAAGAATTTTAATGCACAAAAAATGGGATTTATTAGTACACCCACACAATATCTTATTTAAATCATAAAAAGAATTTAAAAGTTTATTGCAAAATAAAAATTTCCTCATACTTTTCCTTGGATGTGGATTTATTAATTATGTGGAAGATTTATTTCAAGATTTCTACTGGAGAGATATCTTAAAACTCTAATTTATCATCATTAACTTGAATATTGATAAATATGATAAAATAACTACATAAAAGCAAGTTATTTCTATACGCAGATTAATTTAAAGATAGATAAAAGATGCGGAAGAGAAATGATTGTGTAGGATTAGTTGATGGTCTTATTGAGAGTCACAGAAAGCAAGCTGGACTCTTATAGAAAAGAGAGTGAACCGATGATAGAACGCCGGAGGATACGTGTGGTACCGAGGGGGCGAGATTCACGTGAGGAGACGGCTAGGTCGGGGCAGTAACGAACCGGCAGAAGACAAGATCGGGCACAATAATTGCGCATACATATAAAATGAGGATGGTATGGAAAGAGGAGGTGGAGTCGACGTGAAGAGGAATCAAGACTCACGTCGTCGTTGGGACCCTGGAACGGAGCATTGCAAGGTGGCCGTTTGCTCATAGTGCGGAGGAGCAGCAGACGATAATGAAAAAGAAGAAGAAGAACGAGAAAAAGATGAAGAAGAAGAGGTAAAAGAAGAGAAGTCGTCGGGACTAAGCTAAGCAATAATAAGCCATAAGCGTGATTTCTGCATAGAATGCCAGGTAATGAGGTGGAGTCGCTCCAAGTCTGGCCGCACCCTTACTTTACCGACACGCTACGCGTCAGACCCACCTAGAACGCAACGCCGAGGACGCGACGTCGATGACGCCGATGAGGACACTAGCACAACCGGTATACGGCAATGCTAAAATTACAAAATATCTTTCTCTTTTGTAAAACACCCGCTGGAAGGCAGACGACCATGTGAATTATTATATTTATGGAAAATCGCAGGGGTTTTAATGCCGCACGAGCCACGAGTCGATCGGTTTATACCCGTGAGCTGAAAGTACGCCTTCAATGCACTCTCCCTCTAACAGAGGACGTATTCAGTGTGAAAATTTCACGGCTGATTTGACGCGCGAATATTCTCTTGTCTATTGAAAATTTTACTCACTATCAGCAATTTACGCATATTTATTTTTTAAAATACTCTACTTTCTTAAGTACTCTGACCTTTCAATCTGATCAACTTCATTTGCCAACTTTATATAATGACTTTTAATATTTCATGTAATGCTTCTGGAGGAATTTGGAAAAGCTTTTTTTCTAGACTATCTTATTAGTCATAATTAAATTTCACTTTTAAACACAATGGAATTAATATTCAATTATCATAAATAAATCTGAATTCATAAATAAATCATGCATTTGAAAGGTAATTATCTGGTGTGATATTTCAAATATTATATATTTTTTTATTTAAAAAAATATTCTCATGAATTTCATTTTACAAATAAGATAAAAAAAAAAAATTGTTCTTTAAAACAAGAAAAAAATTAAAACAAAGCAACTTCTGAAAGGTCTAACATAAAATATACAGTTTTTTAAATTGTAAATGTTATTGAATCCTGGGAAAATTGACGTACAAATCCTTTGTAAAGAAAGTAAAATGGATGAGAAAGTACAGTAGTAAATAGTCTGGCAAGTGTCAATGAGTTACAAATTCTGTGTCTTTGCAGAGGCGTTGAAATTCACACCCTTCGCTCATATTTCAATTAATTCTCTTTCATTTTATCTTTTCTCAACTCTCTCTTTTTTCAATAATACAAGTCATAGAAATTTCTTCATAGATAATAATATTGCTATAGGTCTGGCACAGTCCACACCCATATAACATAAGCTTAAACGCCGTCGGGAGCGTCGAGACGCGACATAAGATAGAGTAGTGAGGGAAGAGATAGAGGAAAGGAAATGGTGCTAGTACGAGCTAAGCTAGGAGAAGATGAGATACATCACGGCTCAAGAGACGTATTATTAATGGTGACAGTGGGCGACTCAAGTTGGGCGGGGTGCATTGGACCCTCTTGGTCGACCCTCCTTTCCTTTTCTTTTCTCTTCCAACTTCTTTTATATCATCTTATCTCTTTGTAACTCCCTCGCTCCGTTAGCCACAGCTCGAGATCAAGCTAGTACCTATTATTGATATCTTTCAGTCATTTAATTACGATTTTATCTTTTTTATCATTTTTTGCCGCTTTTTATCGCCCATTTTCACTCATTCTCATTCAATAAAAACCCCTACAGCTGTCTTATTTATTTATAAAAATACTCACACTTTTTTTTATTGAATTATATTATAAAGTTCGAATTGATTTCTCAAGTTTAGTCAATAGTTATAATAATAATCGTAATATTTATAATGAAATTAAAATGTAAATAAAAAGAGATATTTGTGCTATTGTGTTGCGAATGTGCAAATGTATTCAACATATATCGCCAGATTCGACCTGTAAATCACGCGAGTATCTTGAAGTATCGGCAAGAGGCACGCGGGATTCCATGTCCGCGCAAAAGGCCGCGCGCGTCGACATTGGAATTCAAAAAACTTCGCGGGAGATTCTGAAAATGTCAACTTAAGTTTCTCCAGTTGAAAACTATCTTTCTCTTTCGTTGATATTTTTTTATTTATTCTGACGTATGCATGAAATTCTTTTGGAGTACGTAAAACTACATCAGCACCAATGACAAAGTAATCGGTGGATTTAAAGTAAATTGTACGGTTAATTAGATGAAGACTCATGTCTAGTTGACATCTCGTTTATGTTTTCAAAGAAAATGCCAATATGGAAAACGATTTAACCAAGTTACACTCTTCATACGATGTCCTCTTCTTCAGTATCTTATGTTGATGATCAAGAGAAAGAGTTTTACACTACAATCGACCTTCGACTTTAGAAAGAAAAGTTTCAAGACATGCTCGCGTGACGACTACTTGAACTATCTATACTCATTTGCAACTGTCTGTAACCACGGTAGCACCTGGCATTTTAGAAAAAAAATTCCATCGACTTTATACTTTGTCAATATTAAACAATTTGTTCCCAGTAAAACCATTTAATTCACTGAGTAAATATCCAGCCAGAAATGATCAAAAAACTTGTTAAGTAAGAATGTCAAATCAACTATTAATAACAAGTAGATGATAAGTAGATGAAGAGAAAGGGCAAAGTTAATATTTTACATAATAATTTCCTCTAATAATACTTATTTAACAATTTGCAAAAATTAAAAGAGTGAAAAAAGGTTTATAGGCCATGAACCTCATGAGCAATTATGTTTTTTTTCTGGCCGCGACCTCCGCACTTTTTATGGTCTAAAAAGCACGGAAATGTTCGTATGGTGTTCATATTGTTAAAAAGAAATTGACGGTGGAATATGTGTGCAAGCATTAGAATACCTAACGAGGACATCAGCAATGGTGGGACGAAGGTGCGCGGGTGTGACGATGAATCAGAGTGCGAGAGTTTCCTCTAGACACAGCTGTGTGCCTTTAGGAGTATCAAATCTCATCTGCCCACAAAATGTTAGCATCGATAGAGCGAAAGTAAAAGGATATAAGGATAGGAGTAGCACAAAGTAATAGTAGAATAGATTTAAACTGCATGAACTTCAGTTAACGGGGAAGATAAGCAAATAAATCAAGAAATAAAGTTAGATTTTGAAGATGAGAATTATTAAAGCGAATAGTAGGAAATAAATTTAGGGTGAATATGATGATGCAGATTGTTTGTAGGTGGACTGGTTTAATGTTTTCTTATGACTATTTCTTTCCATCTTTCTGCTCTTCTTTTCTTGTACAAAAAACTTGGGGTCTGGATCTCTAGAGTTGGAATACACAAAGTGAAATATGAAATAATGGTCCGTGGCTGTATAGTTGGCTGAAGGCATGGGCGCACCCATATCTACGCCCCCATGCGTCCATGTGCTTATAGCTTAGTACATGGATATATAATGTACATATAAAAATGTATACTGTGTATTACAAAGCATCCCATGATGCTCTGGTAATATAAAAATATAAAATATATATATTTTCCTCCAATTTCCTTCGTTATGCTTACTAACATTTTTCCTAAATATTTTTCATGCTTTGCCATCCAGGAAAAGGGTAAGCCAATTTCCCGACGAATTATCAAATTATTTTATGTCTTATAACTCTGTAACTACTAAGAACTCTCTAACAAAAATCAAAATATTTGTAAGTCTGATACTTGAATAATTAAACATGCTTTTAGTTCAAAGATATTGATTGTTCGTTTCAATAATATTAAATAAAAATATATTGTTGAAAGGAAATAAGAAAAAAGAATTGACGTAATGATATTAATTATTCCAATTTTATCGATGAAGATATCGCATTAAAATAAGTAGATAAATACACAAAGCAAACAATCTTTTTTTCATTTGTTATTTTTTATGAGATTATCCAAGTGTTACAATTTGAATAATCGACTTACTGAATTCAAGTCAGGAGTGTGTCAACGAATAAATTCCAATTGTAGGAAAAAAGTGGCGTGGATTAACACCACAAGATAGAAGACCTTTCGTTGAAGAAGCTGAACGATTGAGGGTCATTCACATGCAAGAGCATCCTAATTATAAATACAGACCAAGACGCAGGAAACAACCGAAAAGATTATCTGGAGGATCAGCTTCACCACCTTCAACTGCTAATTCATCTGGATCTAGGTCAACACCCGCTGGTGGGACTACAGTTCGTCATTCAACGTGAGTATTCACTCAGATATGCCGCAAATTTGCATCCAATAACCTCGGTAAACAATGACAGAAAACGCATGTTGGCATAATGATGAATGAATATCAATTTTAGAGTCATAATATTTGTCATCGGTCTCATATTTCTTTGAAAAATTATTTTTATTTATGTAAAAATATATTTTATTTAAGGACGAAGATGGACAGTTACCAAGGAATGTCACAATTGCAATGGAGTAACCACTCACCTATTCCATCTATTTATCATCAACAACAGCAGCAAAGTATTCAGGATTATAAATCAGAGAATAATTCTTTATACGGTAGTCCTTATACACCGATCATCCACACGCCTGAAATATCACCTGTCGCCAGTCCTGGGTCTGACGGTAATTTATTTCCACATGTTTCTCATCATTATGTTAATAACTAAAAGCAGTGATTATTAAAGTCACTAAAAAACTTGATTTGACTTTCAATATCTTTTGAAACTAAAAGCTGTTGTTTTTATTAATAAAAGTATAATTCAATATTTCGGATTAAAAGAGAATAGTAATTCTTAGGATTGATTCTTGGCAGTACAGTTAGAATTTAATTTCCAGGTGATGGGACGCACCTTCAGTCATCTCAAAGTACGGATCAAGAGAGGGAAATGCTAGAGAACACAGCAAAGCAACACGATTTACTTGAACAAAGTAAGCGCTACGCTTCATATATGAGTTCTGACAATCAGTTGCATGCTGGAGGACATGCTGCAGGAACCAACATTTCTTCCTGTCCGAATACAGCTAGTTATACGGATACTTTGACCTATAAGAAATCGGTGAGTCATCCATCCAATGAATTATCTTGACACAGAATTTCACTTCCAATCATATTTTGACTTAAACAATTCATCAAATTTCACCGATCGCCATTACTTTTATTCCTTTCAACTAAATTTATTCATATATTTTGTGTCTGTTACATAGGTTGGGTATTTGAATTTCGAGAGGCATACATCAAGTATTGCTGCAGTAGGAATAGCCAATGGCATGATGGTCTCATGTAATAAATTGAGATCAGGCTTTGACAATGTTGGCTCAGTTACTGGGACTTTTTATCCTCCTGTAGCATCACCACATGATCAAGCAATTCACTACACTCCTCAGCCTTCCAAAACTACCAATTACGGCATGCAATCCAGTGCTGATAACAACTACAATCATCAGATCCATTGCGCTAATAGATCACAAAACATCAATATGAGGCATTCCAATGAACAATGTCCAAGTAATAATTTGCCCCATTACTTTTCCTTCATTCCTGGAGTTAATTTTTAAATATCTCTTCTTCTATAATTATTGACTATAGAGAGAATTTTTTTTTAATTAAAAAAATGATTCGATCTACTTTTTTCTTCCCTTTGAGATAACGGATCATTTACTTAATAATATAATAAATACGTTGTCAACATTATTTTAGTAATGATTCGTTAACTTCAATAGGTGTATCACATAGATATCAAATGCAGCATCATCAAGAATATCAACCCGATGCTGGATCCAATCAACAACATGTTCTGAGTCATTTGGATTCCGGAATGACAGAGGAAGATCAGGAGCAGTCGATGCAATTTGAAAAATACTATAAATACCCTCATACAGCCAACGTTGGACACTCGAGTCTTATGGCTCAGAACATTTTAGATAGTAATCACAATTATGCTAGCGATTTGCGTTACTACTCAGCTTTACAGAGTCAGCAGAACCAGATGGACGTATCCAATAATCAATGCCTTGTTGAAGAAATCAGAAAATCGGAGGGTCATCTCATTGCAGTTAATATTGGACATGCTATGGACCATCAGTATCCTGCTAATCTTGATATGTCGAAATATCAAGAACATGTTCAGCAACAGACTCATCAACAACCACCACAACATAATCAAGGATTGGAAGGTCCAAAAACTGAGGATGACTTTAGTGTGATTCTTGCTGATGTTCGTAAAACCTGTTACAGCAGTTAGTCGCTCATAAAGTCTATTATGATAACCGGAAACAACAATTTTATGGATTTAGAAAGAAATGAGGTCTGTAGCAATAGAAAAAGAAGGTGCGCGAATATCGCAAGAATTGTTATCTTAAATCTCTCGCAAAGAATTTCGTGGTATCTCCAGGAAATGTTAACTTCCTGCTGTAAATTCGTTGCCTAAGTTCTCATGCTATGAGATAAGATGATTATTTTAGATCGTGAAGATGTTAATTTGATAAATTAAAAAAAATTGTTACATTTTGATCTCGTGATTAAAAAAGAAGACAAGAAATTGTCATCAAGGAAACTAATTTATCAGAATTAAATAACACAACCGCGTACGGCTCATCGGAAGGAAATGTTAAATTATTATTTTTATTCGCAACTATACAAGTACTTAAGAGAAAGTCACCGATGAACAACTGTACACTTCCCACGCGTAAATCTTTTTCCTGTAAGAATAAAACTAGAGATTTTTTAAACTAAAATGTTTTTGTTTTTAGATGATGTGCAATGCTGAGTGAAAAGTTTTCATTTTGTTATATGGTTTTAGAGCACACATTTACTTATAGTGTCCTATTTATTTATATAAATATATATTTTATTTAAGAGTTCCAGTTACACAATTTATAAAATCCGTTACAGATTTATCAGAAATAGTGAAATAAATCATAATTGTCATGTGATTTGCGCGAACTTAGAGAACAATAGCATTAGATCTCAGTAATATTGAATAATTAGAACATGAAACAAATTTCATTGATGACAATTAATCACAATTATATGTGTTAAAGTTGAATTTTTTACTCTTGTAAATATATTTCCAGATTTTTCTATTATTATGAAATCTGAAGGATAAATTTATTTTGCATTTACAAATTAACTAATTCTAATGATGATAATTTAAAAATTTTTCGGATTATTTAGGTAAACTATTAAGATTTTTTTTAACAATACTTTTAAAATAGCAGCATGAAAATAATAAAAAATAATTGTATGAAATTCTTCTTGATGTTGAAAAAGCATCGTAGACAATTATGAGAATGTTTAATTAATTAATTATTGTAACAATTGAGCATGAGATTGTATTTTCATTTTTTGTATGCGGTTTACCAAACTATTGATTAAAATAATTATTATTCATAACTGTTGTTTCGTTATTTTATATTCACCGTCCATTAAATTTGATTTAGAAATTTCATATTTTCTTCATAAATATTGAGCACAGTAAACCGCATCAAAAAAATCAACCAATTTTATGATGTATCTATAAAATAAATATATTTTCACGACAATATGAGGTATCAATTATTTTTATTAAAGTGATATAAAAAAATATGTATATAAGTTACAACGTTATATGTAAAACAAAAAGTCATACATATTACATTAGTATTTATAATATTCATCCATTACTCATTTGCAGTTCATAATGGCGACACATGGCATTCATTATTATAATTTTTTTTATACTAATATAAAAAAAAAAAATGTATAAAAAAAATTATTATAAAGAAATAGATTTAAATTTTTAAAAGAGTATAACTAATAGATTAAAATTGATTTGATCACTTGGGCTTCATTCCTATTAAAACTAATCGTTCGTTAATTCTCGCAACTATGTACACATTTATTTACATTCCTCATTATAACTAGTCATTTATAATCTATCAGCACTTTTATTTGTTCATTAGTTTTCCTTATTCACTCCTACGAATTTTTAATCAATTTTAACTTGTACAAGTCAACGAGTTGATCTTTATTCATTCTTTCTCCATCATTGGATATGAAAAAATTATCATCACTGGTATCATATCAATTATTAAAAAACAAAAAAATCTTTTCACTGGTATTAATTTTATGTTTCAATTATGGAGTAAATGGACAGATTCTCCAGTCTTGTATTAATGGCTTTACTACATATAGCTACCATTAATTGTAGATTATTTGAATATTGCAAAAAAGTATTTCATAAGGATTTAAAGATTAACCATCACATCAATCTTTTTATAAAAAATGTTTGCTATTGACTGACCAATATTAAATCTAAATTATTTTTAATTTACTTAGTCTTTTTCGTTAGTACTGTACGGATAAATTCTTGTCACCTAAAAATTTTCGGAAAACTTTTCAGAACTGCGGAATGTCTTATATGGAATTTACCAATATCATGAAATAATTTAATGATGGAAAAATTTAATCTCATTTTTTTGCATTCTACAAATATTAGTAGAATGCAAGTCTATCAAAATAATATTGATATAATTAAAAATTACCTACTATAATTAATTACTATACTACACTACAAAAATTAGAGATATGCTTAATAAATATTAATAGATATGGAAAGTGCAAAAAATATTACAAATTGATTTATAAATAAATAGCGATATGAGCTGGGTTATAAATGTTATGTTATATGAATAATTGCATTATAAGATTTTATCACTAGTCATTTCTTATTAAATGTGCATTATTTTAAATGAATTTTTATCATTTGACGAAGCATTACTAATGCTGGGTCTCTTACTACAAGTGTCATTCATCCCAAAGACAGTTTTGTTTCATTTTAGAATAATAAGAGAATAGAAAATATCTTTTACATGTTTTTATACCACACCGGTATGTAGAGGCTACTTTCTTACCATCATTTTTACTTTTGCAAAATTTCAATCCACAAGGATACCAACCAATGCATAGTTCTAGTGAACACGAGCATGAGGCCCGAAAATTCGATGTGTCGGCACATTTAGTTAACGACGTAGACCTCGTTGTATTTTCTCCGTGACGTGGAACAGATGATAAAGTAAAATTATGAACTGCAGCCATGAGCAACGATTCAGATGTACCAGGTCTTTGTACCCATTGCTTTAAATCTTCATTCCTCGTAAATGTAGTTTCTAACGCGTCTGAGCAAAAGGTAGCGACATGCTTAGAAATGATTGGTGACTTTGAGACATCTACAAACAAGTCCATCGTGTAGTTCATATATCCTTTATCTTCTTCAGCAACTCTGATTGTTCCAGGATTTTTTTGTCTCAACTTAGACATGGCATCAGATGATATAAAATCCATCTTATAAAAATGATTGACAAAACACATGACTTGATACTGGTTTTGACCCCGTTCTTCTTCACCTAATACCAATACTTTAATAATTTGAACTTCCTAGTAACGATAATAACAATAAATTAGTAGTTGTTGAATACTTATTGAATATGAATAGAATCATCAATTATTTATGTAACTATTAGTTAATAACATACATTTCTGAAGTCAATAAGTTGAGTTACTAGAGTTCCATCTGACCTTTGAAACTCGAGAGTGATCACGTCTTCAGTGACATTTGAAGTGATTGTTTCTAAAAATATGTCTCCACCCTGCAATCGATTTAGTATTAATATCAATAATTATTATTCATATATATGAAGAATTGTAAAAGACTAAATCTTGTTTATTTAATTGAATAATAATATTAAATAGCAATTGTAATCATTGATTGATGTTTATGGCAAGTATAAAATAATATACATTGAAACAGTTTAATAAAATAAAAGGAAGAAGTGTACATTGAGCGTAATAAAAATAAAGTGGTTATTGAATTGAAAATAATTGCAATGCTTATTGGAAAATCAATGAATAAAGTTCTTTTACTTCTCAGTACAGACAGAGTTAGGTTAAGTTTCTTTCACACATGACACATGATTTTATATATTTCTTATTATATATCAAATGATTACTCTTAAAAATAATCATTACAACATAATTATTGACAAACTTACTTGATTTTTTACATTGATTAATAACTGAGTAGTACAGATACCATAAAGGTATAGTAAAAGTATGAAATTGATGCAATTGTGAAGACCTTTCATTGTTATTAATTGTAATTTTTACTACTTAATTTAAATAATATATCACTAGTCCGACAATTAATTAAAGTGTCGCGTATCGCGACACATAAAAAAATTATTAAATTACATTTATATACAAATTAAATAAACCCATACTCCGCTCATGATCACAGAAAGCAAACTAGCACTAACACTAATGCTTTGTATATAACGAAAAAGAGAGAGAGAGAGAAAGATAGAAAGAGACAACAAGTATGTTGTACACTAGCGCCTCTAACGTCATGTCATTTTTTATTGATTTTATTTGAAAAATAGATTAGCATTGCTATTTAAGAATTTCTATAAAAAAATTACCGTACGTGTATTTATTGTTAATTTCTATATTTAGTTATATAAGCGAATAATAGAAAATTCAATATTTTCCTTTTGCTCTTACATATTTTACATTTCCATTGGATTATTTAGTTTATGTAAACATTCTCAAATGTTTTAGTGTTGGCATTTGCTAATATTTGGACTTTAAATTCCTTACAAATCAGTATTTACGTTTTGATAATTTTTGAAAAGTCTAAAAATACCCAACTATAATTTTCTCATTTAACAAATAGGAAGTTCATGTGTATTGACTACGAAGTATGGTTGAACTTTTACTACCCAGTTTAATTATTCTGATTATTTTAATGAAGGTACATATTTAATTCTTCGCCATCATTATATTAATGAAGAGATGCATTTTCCAGTTGAAAATAGCAGTTATAAGCCACCATTATGCTAGAATGAATGTGGTACTCTACAAAATAAATCCTTCATTAACATAAACAATAAGCAGTGAAAAAATTACTCCTATATTTTAATGTCCATTACATATATTAGAAAATTCAATACTAATAAATTACATTTTTACTAATAATATTATGGACTTTTTCCTCGTTTGCTAGACTTGTTAGATTCTGGAGTACTTCTAAATGGAGATTCTGATCTGAAATAGTATATTTATCAAAAATCAAATAATATTTGACATCAAATTCAGATAATTTATAAATCATCCAACGCTAATTAACAGCTTGATTTGTATTGATTTACCTTAATTCCGATCTTATCATTCTAATCACAGGTGGTGTTGGTGGTCTCTCAATTGGAGCAAGATTATACGTGATAAGATGTGTATAAACAGGAATCTATATTCAATCAATGTCAGGTATTTACTTAACTCCCTTTTAACTGTTAGTTCAAATCAAACTTACGTATGGCAAAGAACTGTCTAATACAGGTCGATTTATCTTAGACTGGTTGGAATCTTTAGCCTCAGAGCATTTCTCAACTTGAGGAACTTTTATTCCCATTTCAGATAATCCTTGTTTACTATCAAACTTTTCTAAAATATTTAAATGACTGAAAAAACTATTCTCCAACATGTTTTTATCAGATTTATTATCTTTACTGTCAGCCATTATATAAATATCAAAAATGACTGAAAACTACATATCAACTATTGAATGGTTCAATTAGTATCTGTGAACTTAGCAACGTTAGAAAGTCCCTTATTAAATCAATATACTTAATCAAATAACCATGCAACCTAATAAATAATTAATACATTTATTGAAGTATTTCTTAACTTTAAGAACATAGTATCTTATTGATGAAAAAAACAGTTGTGAGGCAATGGAGTATTTTTAATAGATTAAAATAATAAAAGTATTCATGTTAAACAAAGATACATTTTTTTTTAATCCAATTATATATTTGTCGCTATTGAATCACGTAAGATATATTTCATGAAGCAAATTCCACGTCACATGTAGAGTAATAAAAGTGACATTGCATAAGAGAAACCAATTTTTGCTGATGATAACACCCTAGAATTACAAATACATTTATGTAAATGAAATAGTTGATTTATTATCCAACACAAAATGAGTATTTGATGTGAATTCTTCCATCTTCTGCATATTTTTCCAGGTCCATGTATGATATTAATAATAAAATCACCCTTTTGCATACTGATATTGTCACTAACTAGAAGTGTCACGGCCATCGACCAGGACATCAACAAACCTTCGACGTCATAGTTTAAAGCAAAATGGGATGTGTTTAATTTACTGTGCGCGTGTTCTGTCACGTCGGCTAAGGCTAGATCACGTCGGGGGATGAAAAGCTCCAGGCTGAAAAGAAAAAACGATTGATTCAGTGTAGGCACAAACGACCACACGAGCATGCTACTCAGCTCAGTACTCTCTGTTTCATCCTCTAGAGCAGACAACATTCACGACGACGACGACAACTACAGTGGTTGAAAAACGTAACTCATTTTATCGATCTCTTCGCGTCGACGTAGACGGCCATGTTGAACCTACTGTGAATCGCTCAGGCGCACAAGCTACCCTCTTGCACCCTCATAGAACGCAAGAGGCTTGTGCAAGGGATAGATTTTCCAAAGTCTACTGTCGTGAATGTATCGCGGAATGCTACAATGTGCTTATAAAAAATAACAAAACTTCTTACCAACGTCTTTCTTATGAAAGATCTAGAGTTTTAGGTCATATCAATTGTTTAAATCATTCAAAACGTGTACATTAACGTCAGTGAGGTCTCTTGGATCTTTCGAAAGTGCTAACGACACACTAACGTGGAAGTTAAGCTAACGGGAGCGGTCTTCGTTTTTTTGAAGGAAACGACACCATATTAACGTAAGTATCTTTGACATTTCATGTGAATATGACAAGTATAAATGTCGAAAAATACTAGTAGACTTTGATGGAAAACTGGATAATTGTCTGGATTATTTTCATCAGTGTGTTATTTATGTGGTTAATGATACATTTTTGGACTCCTCATGATGGATCGAACCTCGCAAATGAATGTCCGAAGGGGTTGATTTTTTTTTAACGTAAGTCGAGCCAAATGATTATGTTGGGTGGGTTCTACTCAGGTCAAAGCGATCGATCCTGTGGTTATTCGGCACAGTCGACCATTTAATTTATAACGAAAATATATCGTTTTTATTTTTATTTCTTTTATTTTGTATTATACTCATGCACCAGACTTGCTGAGTATTACATTTTCGAGGCCATTCAGTAGGTCAGATGTTTATGATTCTGATGATAAATTATTATAGAGTTTTAAAGTAAAAGATTTTTACTTAGCCATCTTTTTATTTATTTGTTGCTCCATTTTTTGGACGTTAATATTTTCGGACGTTTAATTACTTCCTGGACTCATAGAATATGTGGTTGAAATTTTTCATTTAGAATCGAGATAATCTTGGTGTAAGGGATATAATATCGATTCATTTCTCTATATAGAATTGCCTGGATTCTCTAGTGTCTGGGTTGATATCCATGCCAATTAATTTGAAACACCATCTTTCCACTCCACTTGTTCATCCACCTTAGTTTATTTGACAATAAAGAAAAAGAGTGTCGTAGCCAAGTACCTAGACATCAACATAAGACAAATTGAACATTTTTCTTCCTGACTACCGTCATGTTGGACGGTGGAAAATATTTTTTTATTCTTTTTTATCACCCTCTTTTATTTTATTCTTTTTTATTCTTATGTTTTTCGCTGACACTATTGTACAATTCTCGGAAAGTAGTCTCCCCTCATTTTAAGACTTTCAGTCATTATTTTCACGCCATCCCTCCTACGTGCTCAAAGCAAAATACAGTATTTGAAAAAACCTACTCCAACTATCGTGAATGAAAAATGTGTTTATTCGAAAATAGAGTATTTGTTCCACATCGCTTACTTTTTTTCCAACACTAAAATTTTAAAGCTTCAATTTTTATATTTTTTACTGAATGAAATACCTTTAACATTCAATCAACACAAACACGTAAATTTAATATTTAACGAATGGGGCGTAAGAATTTACAGGATAAATTATTGGAATTTAGAATCGATTGTCTTTATTGCTCATTCTTAAGGGGAGCTTTTACCCTTCAAAAATTCTCCGAATGCTATTAAAGTTTATTTTTCTTTTTAAAAGGAATATATATATATATATATATATATATATATATATATATATATATATAGAATGATATCGAACTACTTTTCTAATTCGATTAAATTTGGTCAACTCATGATTGAACAAAAATTAATCATTACTCTTACTTTTTCCATTCATTTTTAATCTCATCTCAATCATTCATATTCTATCATAAATCTATCTAAAATGCTAGTGCAAACTATGAACCACTCTTGCATTATTTATCACAAAAATAAAATTTTCTCTATAAATCAAAAAAACTTTTAATGAATATATTTCGTATACTTTTTCTTTTATACCTTTTTACAATCCATGTTTCCGTTCCTATTCAAATTGCACTTGACAAATTTTTAATTTAGTTTAACAAAGAACTTAATAGTTAGCTTAATCAATTCATTCGCTACTTTTTTTTACCCCATTTCAATCATTTCCGATCCTTCATTTCAATTCCAAAAATAAATTCAATTAAATTCTGATATAAATATGACAACAGGTTGAATTGTATTTGATTTATTTAAAGAATAATTGATAATTAGGTAATATCAATACGAATGATAGAAATTGAACACAAGATAGATATTAAGAAAAAAAAAAATGTGTCACTATTTTTTACTGATAGTCAATATCGATCCGAAGGTTAAGCTTTAGTACGTTCATCTTTGTGTCTACATTGAAGCTTCATGTGTTTGAATACACTAGTTAGTGAGTTATATTGACGTTAATGTATTTTTAAGATACACGATAAGGCAAAATATCTATACTCTTTTGTTGGAAAGCATGATCTATTTATTTATTAAATTATCCTCTAATATTTAATTGGATACTTATATAAATAATGTGATAATTCAATTGAAAATAGTGAAAAAAAATAGTTCATTTATTTTTCGGCTTTTTAGTGTTGAAAAAAAAACATGATAAAGATGAAACTGGAATAAGTAATCCTTTGATTATCTTTAATGAAGATTGTATTTAACTTCCTGCTGAACAGTTCATTCATCTTTATTTTATTTCTTAGATGAGATTTTTCTACTCGTTAAGGCTAGAGACTTCTTGTTAGAATATTGTAAATCAGGTCTTCTTAATGACCTCATTGGATTGAGACTACTTATAAGAGAATTTTATTTCCCCATCGAACAACTTTTGCAATCAACTATTTTTCATGCTAATCTAATCTATTAACTGAATTTATTCTTATTAAATGAGAACATGAAAGAAACTGGAAAAAGGAATCAAGAGTCTATCAACAGCCAGTTATTTTGTTTAATTTTTATTCTGAATTTTAATTAATTTAATCGAATATTTTTCCTTTAACGAAATTAATGTTATCAATTCATTATTAAATATAAGAACAAATCTTGAGCTTTTTTATTTTAGTTTAATTCAATTAAAAAAAATTTTTTTTAATTAATGTAATTTAATCAAAAGATGATTACTAGTACATAAAAAGATCCTTTTTTAATTTTAAATTTCAAAACATTCTTTTTCGATATTTTATTACAAAAAAAAAGTTTGTTATTAAAACTTTTCTGTTTCTGTATACTGTGATTAATTAAAAATCAATTTATTTCTGTTTATGGCTTTCAGGTAGTCACTTATTGGTTTATTTACTCAATTTAAATTCAACCATATTAATTTAATAATGAATAATTAATATTTTTAAGTTAAATTAAATTTTCCTCTCACTTGTCAAACTTCAACATCTCTTTACATTTCAATAATAACAATACATTAAATAATTCACATTAAACTCTATAACAAAAATTTGAAGTTTCAGTACAGTGAAAACCATATAATATTTATCCAACAGTGTAATTAAATTTTCTCATTCACTTCCCGTGTCAAAATGAACTTTAATTTTAATTAATTAACTTTGAGTTATTCTCTGCTAAGCAAATTTTTTTTCACAGGTTTTGATTTTATCACAAAACTTTCTCTTGAGAGAAAGATACTTTTATATTAAATGTGATCAAAAACTTCAAAGCGTCTTCGAAAAGACAAAGTGATTAATGTAACGTCTAGCTAAGTAATGAAGCAACGTAATACCGCACATGCCCACGCATATGCCAAGGGCAAAGTAGAGAATCGAAGGACACGAGACATCAGATACTTGTAGCGCATCAGGAGGCAATCTGATTCATAGCTGATCATCCACCGCATTATTTTTATCTCTCATCTATTGATCGATAATTTAGCGCATATTCTTTTTTAAAATAAATTTTCATGAAAGATTGATCATTCAAAATAAATTAAAAATGCCAGTAATGACGTTTTAATTCTCTCTCTTTCCTTCTTGCTTTTGTCTCGACCTCGCCAACTGCAGTAGCTGCTTATTGATTTCATACTCGCAGCTGTTTACTGAGATATTCTGTACAATTTTTTATAAATTATTTGAAATGTCCTCTCATCAGTTTTTGCACCAACAACGTCACTTGCACGGCAACTCAAAAAATCACTAGAATAAATTCGCATGATTGATTAAGATGCCTATAGCAATATCAAACGTGATCAGAATCTGACCATCATAAAATACAGTAGCACTATCCGTGTTTTATTTGCTGATTAATCACACGAATAAACTTTAAATTACAGCTCGAGTGGTAAAATTATTGATCATAGTTTATTATCAGCATTCAATGAAAAATTTACAAGTAGAAAAATAGTGTAATAATGTTGGAGATTAGGAGATTAAACAAATGTTTGTTCTAAATAAAGTAGAGAATTCATTGTGCGTGTCAGACAGTATAGACACTATACTCTTGTGGCTTTTTGATTTTTTTATTTTTACCCTCTTTTATATCTTCATCCCCATTTTCTTCTCTTATTTTATTACTCTCTTACCCTATACTCTCTGACCAATAAATTTTATTTCCATTTGACATTCTTGCGAGATTACTCAAGTCTATTCTACTTTTCATCTCTCATTTCTATTCGAGGAGAACATCAAAATATTCAATATTTTTCTTTCACAATAGAAATATTTTCTTGAACTAAATGAGTGACTATCATTCATCTTTAAATATTTATTTCCTTACATAATGCATAAACATTAAATTATGAATTTAACCGGCTTATAATTATTTAGAGCACTGAAGTAGATAATCCCATTTATTATCAGAGCTATAATTTCGCTTATTTTTCTTTCTTGACTTTCATATTTTCCGCTCGTGCTGAATGTGATCGTTAATAGACTACGTGTTATATTAGTTTGTGTTTCATCGAGATAAATTTTTATATCGGAATATAATACAACTAACAGATGTGTAGTCAGCACAGTTTCTGATGTAACATGAAATGATAAGAATTTTTCATACGAATGATATAAAGAGAACTGTATGAAAGAAAGAGAAAGATAGGTCAACATAGAGCATTCCTCTGAAGGTCGTACAATTTAAAGATAACATTTTCTTATATAGAAAATGATCTTTAAAAAAAATCTAAAACTCGGAGTAAAATTCTCGCTCACGCTTTGTAGAGTTTGAGAGGTATTGAAGAAGACGAGGAGTGTAATCCGATAAAATTTTAAGACAATTAGAATGTTCTATTAAAGATGATTAAAATCAATAGCAAATTTTCTTGCTAGGTGAATAGAAAAAATATTTTTAGAAAGTTTAATAAGAGATGAATATTTTTACAGAAATTATTTTAAATAATTTGACTTCAGACACGTTACTTTAGTCAATTTAATTTATTCAATTTTATTTTCGATTGTTCTTCTTTTGCTTTGTTAACTTCAAAACTCATTTAAATCACTATCACAAATTTTTGGCTCACTTTTTTTCTCAAACTCTTTCAATTCCAACACCTACCCATTTTCCAGTCCCACGTAGAGTTCTTTAATAGTGGCTAATAATAAATGAGTAGATTCTTCGTTATTTATAATGTTTCAGTGTTTATAAACTCATCGTATTTTTTCTTCACATCGACGTAATCGTTTTCTTTATTCTCGTAATAGTATACGCACTTTTTGCAAAAATATAAATAAACATTCGAAGTAAAGTGACTTAAGTTTTTGAAGCGATAATAAAAAAAAGTAAAAATAAAATTCTTCAATAACTAATAACAAAGAAATAATTTCTTTTTTGAATTTTACACAAAGCACTAACGTTATAATAAAAGTTTAATCACTTTTACGTTGAGATAAAAAAAGTACAATAATTAAAGTTTGATAAAGATGATTGAATTCAGTGAATGTTTTTATCATTTACATATACATACAACAGTTAAAGTTGAACTATTCTAGTGTACGTTCTTCTCTCTTCTTCTTGTTCTTTCTCTTCTGTCTATTTTTTCTATACTTTAACTGTTGGAAACAAATGTAAAGGACACATAGAGACAGCACGAATATGTTTCAAGTGGGGCTTTAAGGTCAGTTGCGTGCGATATGTTACCATAGTGTTATGTACAGCTTATTCCAAGTTCTCGGTACATTCGGTTGTAGTTAGTTTATCGTTCATTTCACAGCATTCGTGAAAAATGTTAGCGTTTTACCGGAATCATTGGCTCTATTCAATCACGGATATTTGTTTGGGAGAATTTCGTGCATCAAACTGAAGAAAGATTTTTCGTTATGATTGGTTCAATCATTCGATTTTCCATGCTGAATTGAACATGTCAAGCTGTATTTATATTCAAAGTTATTTAATTGTTTTATTTATCTTAGAAAATGTCGGCGACGAGTAGTAAAACGCCGATCATGGCTGAAAGCTTGACCGGAAATGTTGCGAGTAATACGCAAAACCCAGCATTGGCCATGCCAAGTACAACATTGAGGATAGTGGCAACCAGTGAAGATCTTATTACTGGTAAATATTTACAATTTGAATATTTCATCAAGTGTGGTTTAAACTACTTTCATTTACTCACGGTTTTTTTTTTCAATATTTCAGAAACAATCTCTGAGGTTCCCACAGAATCAACAGCAGAAAGAATTGAAACGAAGATAGAAGATGTTGGAAAAGAAATCAGCGCAGCTACAGGGATTCCAACATGGGGATTAGTTGCTATTTTAATTGGTAATATAGATAATGTTAAAGTAGATAAGGTTCCAAGTTAATTCTATAGTTTTTCTTTGGAGATTGTTCAAAGATTTTTATTCAAAAAGTTAGATTACCTTGGAAAATTCAAGGATTTAAAAATAAAATACAATTGATTTTAGAATACAAAAAATATTATGTTATATTATGAGATTAGAGCTGATACTACAAAGTAGGATAGAACAGAGGACTATTGAATGATTTAATTTCGAATTAGCTTTCAGTAAAACTCCAATGAATTCTTGCTATTAAATTTAATTAACTACAGAAGTACAAAAGAATTTTATGAACAACTTTAATATCTTTACTAGGTTTTTTATTTAATTTAAAAAGCCAATTAGTTGATTTATTTAATTCGTAAGTCATAATAGATCCATGAAATTACCTAACTTTTTGGAGTAGTCAAAGTGGTTTAACCTTTTAATAGGTTTATCAATAAATTAAAACATTTTCAATTAAATTGAATCATCCTAAAGTGGTTGATTGTATAAACTGCAATTAATTGTAATAAAAAAGGCATAATAGTAAGTACATATTTTAATTAAATACGATTCCTCTTTAGCGGTTGCAGTGATAGTCTTAGGTATTTGCTTTTGCTGTATAAGAAGATGCTTCCGCAAACGTCGCTCCAAGGATGGCAAAAAGGGATTGAAGGGAGCAGTAGATTTAAAGAGCGTTCAACTGCTTGGTGGAACGTACAAAGACAAGGTTTGTAAAAGGTGTTCCGTGTTTTCAATTAGTTATTAGAACATCCAATTTATCCCCCGTGGAATCCAATTGCATTTGCGCAGGTACAGCCGGATATGGAGGAGCTGACAGACAATGCTGAAGAACCTGATGAAGCTGAAAGTAAACAAAGCGAGGTCAAACTTGGAAGACTGCAGTACAAGGTAGACAGCCACTTTGGAATTTTTGCCAACCACTCAATCTTAATTGTTAAATATTTTTTACTCAATCACTTGAATCGTTTTACAGCTTGAGTATGACTTCAACTCGAACAGCTTGGCAGTGACAGTAATCAAGGCTGAAGATCTACCGGCCTTGGATATGGGCGGTACTTCAGATCCTTATGTAAAAGTGTATCTACTTCCTGACAAGAAAAAGAAGTTTGAAACTAAAGTTCACAGAAAGACGTTAAATCCAGAATTCAATGAGACCTTTACATTCAAAGTATTGTGTTTAATATTTATTATTGTTTTACAGGCTTACATTTTTTCATTCAATGTTTATACAATTAGTTTGGTATTAACAAGTTTAAAAATAGAACAAAAAAAGTTCGTTATCATTCGTTTTTATCAGTAGTAGTTAATAATAAAAAATGTAGGCCTGTGTCTTGATTGTTATTATTGATTATGAATGTTTTTGTGAAGAAGTTTATTACTAATTTATTGATGTTTTATGATTATTTAGAGTGTACCTTATGCAGATGCGATGAATAAAACTCTAGTTTTTGCTATCTTCGATTTTGATAGATTTTCAAAACACGATCAAATTGGAGAAGTAAAAGTTCCATTGTGTCAAATTGATTTAGCTCAAACGATTGAAGAATGGCGAGAACTGCAAAGTGTTGAAGGAGAAGGTGGACAAGTAAGTCAATTTAACTAACCAAACTTTATTTTATCGCTTGTTTTCATGAAGAAAAAAAAAACCAATAAATGTAAATTAAATTGATTTGAAGGACAACAAACTTGGTGATATATGTTTCTCTCTGCGTTATGTTCCAACTGCTGGAAAACTTACAGTAGTTATCCTTGAAGCGAAAAATCTGAAGAAGATGGATGTCGGTGGTCTTTCAGATCCATATGTTAAAATTGCTTTGATGCAAAATGGAAAACGATTGAAGAAAAAGAAGACTTCTATCAAGAAATGTACTTTAAATCCTTACTATAATGAATCATTCACTTTTGAAGTACCCTTCGAACAGATACAAGTAATGTTTGACCTTTATCTTTGAACAGAATAAAAAGAAGCTTATGAAATTTATTCCCAATATTTTTATTTTGCAGAAAGTGAATCTAATGGTTACTGTAGTGGATTATGACCGTATTGGAACATCGGAACCTATTGGCAAAGTCATACTTGGCTACAATGCAAGTGGCACTGAATTGAGACATTGGTCAGACATGTTGGCGTCACCAAGACGACCAATTGCTCAGTGGCATACGCTCAAGGATCCTGAAGATGGTGATAAGAAAGACTAAAAACATTCCGTTGAATCTTAGAGAGGTAAAATAAATAAATTATTCATTTAAATAAAATAATTTTCATAATTAAATAATAATAAATTACACTGAGTACGAAAAAATTATTTTTCAATATAATTATTATTTTTTTATAAGTAATTTTATAATTAATTTATACAAACAAAATAATTGGTATAAAAAATAATTTTTTTTCAGTGTAACCTTTTGACAAATATTCTCCAGAAATAATTGGTAGATAGTATTTATAAAAGAGCGTTTTTTTAGGAAAATATTACAACATCTTAAACCAAAAAAGGTAAAGAATAAACTATTATATAAAAAAGAAAATCCTGATTGAGAGAAAATAAAATACTTAGTAGATATTAATAATAATAATAATTAATATTAAAATATATCGATCGACTAAATAAACATACAGTTAAAAAAGAATAATATTAAAAATGTAGCATTAATAATTATGTTATCTGATGGAGTGTAGTGTCTTGTATATATAATATATATCTAAAATATACGTTTTTCTGTAGGGATAATACTTTGAAGGATCTTAAGCCGATGCGATAATAATAATCGCCGATAAATATAATCAAGAACTGTTAAATTACTAGATAAAAAATAATCATTTCAGCACATATTAATTTTATAGTTAAAAAAAAAAATTAATTCATGTTGTGAGTGATTTTTTTAAAGATTATGAAATGGTTTAATCGATAAACAAAATATATTAATTATCATAGGTTTAATAATTATTGTTATTATAATCGTACAGATTATTTTCTTTTGTTATCAAGAGTAAAATACTCTCGTTCACAATGTCTTCGTACGCTACAATAATTAATGAAAAAAGATTATAGATTTATTGTACAGGTCGTTCGCGTTTTCGAAGTGAGATGACGTTCCTTAATATGTATATGTCGGAATCTTTAGAAGAAATCGATTTAAATGCTTATTAAAATATAAATATATATATACATAAAATATTCTTCATGTCATGAACAAACAACGAGAATTATTAAATTATACTTAATAATTAATAATGTAATTAACAGAACCAACTTTTAAATATTATTGTCTAAGCTTCGAGACGCGAAAGTCCATTTAATTATCATTAAAAAAAAAAGTTGTATGTATATAGAAAAAATATATGCATATAATTGCTGAAAATTCATAAATTGAAATAACAAATTGTAACAAATATCATTCAATAATAGATAATATTATTATTGTTAATTGTCAAGGGTTTTCTGCTATTTCCCTTTCTTAAAAAAAATAAATCAAATAGGCCTATTCATTTAGAATATGTTACGCTATTCAGGTGTATAATGAACTTTATCAAAACATTTTCAAAGTACTTAAAAAAGATTGAGAGACAAATATTGAGTAAGGATATGCTTTTATGTTGCTCTAAATTGTGTTCTTTTCAATTGAGGAATTGAGTTATGTAAATAAAATATTCTATATATAAAATGTTTCTTTGATGTGAAAATGAAAATGTAAAATGAAATGAAAAAATCAATGTTCTGTATTGATAGAAAATGGGATTCTTTTTTCAATTATGTCAATTGAATTTACAATGAAATATTTAACAAAAGAATATTTAAAAAATTGTCTCTTATTCTTTAAATTTTAATTATCAGTGATGCTTTAAATATGAATGAAATGGAGTTTGTAAATATTACTCCAAATAACAAAGTCCTAAAAAATCAAGTTGTACCTTATTGAACCTAATTTCTCATTTTCTCAAGAGATTTTGAGGAATTTTAATTCTCCTGCTGAGAGAAAGAATTATTCTTCCTACAAAAAAGCACCAAAGTCATTATTTATAAACATTCAATTCAATTAATAAAATAATTATTTAACTTTTAAAAATTTGATTAAGAAAATTATATTTTAAAAATTTGCTCAAATATTAAAATTACATTCAAAAAAATATTTTTATCAAACAGTATAATTTTTTTTCTCAGTAAAAAAAAAATGTGAACAAAAATAAAATCGGCCTTCTTAATGCGTTGAAGCGTCGTCCGAATATTTCTTACTCACACGGACAATATAATAAAATAGATGTACGCGCATGCATTACGAATTAAGAGATGTGAAAAGCCATTTTCTCAATGCAACGTTATAATCATTATCATCACAGGTATTAATGTTGTTGATTACTATAAAAAAAAGAAAATAACAATAATAATAATAATAATAATAAAAATCATTTAAATCTGTTCATAAATATACAAGGAACGAAATAAAAATATCTAAGGATTCTTCGATAATAAAAAAAAAGCGTTAATAAGTATACACTGATATCACAATCCATGAAAATAAATAACCGTATGAAAAAATCAGATTATTGAAGAACAATTTTTCAACGTTATTTTAATAATAGGACATGCACAAGACGTTGTTTTGTCCCCTGTATCTTTCGCTTTGTTGCTCTTTGGTACCATAAAAGCTTGAACGCTTTATATGTTCTCCAGCATATTCCAACACAGATGAGGTAGAGGCTGAAAAATGTCTTCAACTTAAAATCAATAGATAAAATGAATGGATACAAAAATCAGAACGGTATCAATACATGGTAAATGCGAAAGAGATACACTGATATAAATAATCAATTACGACTCATAACAAAAAAAAGAAAACATTTCATATTTATTTTTATGCTGTCATTTTACTTAAAATTGATATATTTATAAACTTTTAGTTGATTATTTCAGATCATATTTCAACATTACATTTTATAATTAGTATTGTTACTCATGATAAAAAGCTTTACGATTAATTATTAAATGATTTACACGAAGACAGCGGCGTCGAATCAAACGAGATCGAAAGATATGCACGCATTGTTATAATTTATCATCATTATTTTTAAACGTGCTATATTAATTTTATTTATTTGTCATTTTGTTTATCATTTTGTTGCATTGTGTGTTATTATAAATGTTGGATTACATTAATTATTATGAAAAAGCCTCGCATTATCAGAGGCAAGTCCAGCAGAAGAGTACCTCAGAGTGTATAATAAATAAAATGATATATGGCACTACAAGTGTATATAGAGTTATATAACTGTCTGGTCCGTAAAGTGTTTATATAAAAAAAGAATAGATAGAGTAAAATATATTGCACGCATCTGCACGCATATATCTATTGAATGTTTGAATAGAGTGCCTTTAATTATTTTTATTATTCTTTCGCTAAAAAGTCGACTCGGCATTTTTAATCGACGTCACTGTCCTCAACGTCGAGAATAAAACAAAAAAGATTAAGTAATTAAATAAAATAAATAATTATCATAAGTAATTATTATTATTATATCATCATCACGACAAATAGAAGACAAAGGATGTAATGCACCCCATAAATTATAAATGATATCATAATGTAACGTATCATCTACTTACATAAACATATTCCTGCGACAATTAATCATTATAAAATTTCGTTAGTCTAGTCTGATGATCATTCCTGCAATTTTCATATATATTATCATCGACGTTCGAGTATCATTAGGTGTCATTAGTGATCATTATCATTAGAAATCAAATAATTATCTAGATGAGTAATAAAGTGTGTCGTTGATCGACGTGAAGTAGACAAAGAAATAAAAAATAAAATGAAGTGAAAATTGTGACTATTAAATGAGAAATGTAAAAGTTGATGTAGATGTAGTAATAGGCAATTCATGTGTATATTAATAATTCTAATCCTCATCTCATAGTTTATTCATTTATGTTTAATCAATGATTAACCTTTAAGTAATTTAGTCAAGAGATTACCATTTTTAATTGATCATAGTGTAACACGATAAAAAATTTAACATTTTATTGATGATTCTTTTGATCTATCAATAATATAACACCATTAGACACTGGTAGAAGAACATCGTTAAAGAATACAGAGACATTCGAATGATTCCAGCGTAAGAATTAACATAATTATTGAATTTGTAGAAGTAGAATTTCATCATTAAGGCACTTCTTCATATTTTATGCACTTCGATTGTCATCGTAATAATTGTTGAGTAATAAATGATATGACTTTTATTAAAATCTGAACGACAGTGCCTTCCTGTATTCATTAGCGATGTTTAGGAGCAATTTTCTAAAAGCACCACCATAAAAGCATATAAAATTAATCGCTAGAATCACATATTTATTTTTTCAATATTTATCACTGAATTTTAACTCTTCATAAATGAAAAATAACTCGGTAGAAAATACTCAAGACTTTGGCTTGCGAACGAAAATCATTGGAATATATCAACAACTTGCATTAATATTATTTAATAATTTGTATTATGAAAATTATGCAACACTATACATTGTAAATCTATATAGAAGTTATGATTATTATTCTTATTATTATCATATTGTAACGATTATGTAATAAATATTGTTGTTAACATAAAAACATATTTTCCGTTGCTGATTCGTCGAATTTTTCTAACAGATTGTAATTTTATTTTTTGCATACAATCTACTCGCAGGATGATTTCTTTTTGTCAAACCGTGGGGCCGACAACTTTCGTACTTGTGTAGATTATATCGACGAAATGTTATTAATTGATTTTAATAACTGTGATGACAGCATATGAGAAGAGACTTGGTGCGATTAGTCTACCCAAACTATTAATTCATTATTTGATACACTGCAAATCAAAGTGTGTTGAAATCTATGGTTTGTTTACAGAATTTAACATTAAACACGTTTATGTGTGTTGCAACGCTTATCCCACTTTTCACTACATCAACACATTAGTACTGATAATATGTGTAATTAGAAAAATGAAGACGACACAAAAGAGTAGAAGGAATCAAATTTGAAATGTACGATTTTTACAAAGTAAATCCCCGTATAAGAAAATTTCATTCTATAACTTCATTATTTCATTATGTAAAAATTTTTTTTTTTTTTAATATTTATATAATGGAATTAATGAAATAATGATATATTGGCGAGCAACTGTAAGACATAGAAATGGGCATAACTTCTGTGCTAATAATGCTACGGGGTTGATTGAGGGCTCATATAATAGATCTGGACGAAAGGGAAAGAGTCGATAGAGTAACAATCATAAATGGAGCATAATTTATGCTGAAATTGAAGAAGGTTCCCATTTTAACCCATTTTAGGAGTGAAATAACTGATTTTTTATATGTTTGACCTGATTCTGTATTTCTACGCATTGAGACGAAGAGAATGAGTCCTCGATCATCAAAATCGGACAACTTTGATTTTTCGACCCCAAAAAATGGCAAGTGGTACCCCTTTCCATTTTTTTAGGCCAAAAAATAAAAGTACTCCGATTTTGATGATTGAGGACTTATTCCCTTAGTCTTGATGCGTGGAAATACGGAATCGGGGCACAGCCCAAGAAAATTCACTTTAACACCCTTAAAAAGGGATAAAACTGAATACAAATTACGAATAATCATCCCCCTGACTTTAAACCCCTATAACTCATGAATGGACGGTCCAATTACTGTTTTTAGGAACGTTTTTGAAACCTGCAAATCTGAGCTAAAAATACATATCCATGAAATACGTTTAAAAAATTTATTTAACCCTTAATTGCCAAGATAAGTGTCAAACTCCCAAAAAAATGTGATTTTATTTTATATTTTAGCGATTTTTTGGGGTCGAAGAATCAAAGTTGTCCGATTTTCAAGTTTGACCACTCATTCTCTTCGTTTCAATGCCTAGAAATACGAAATCAGGTCAAACTTATAAAAAATCATTAATTTCACTCTTAAAATGGGGTAAAACGGGAACCTTCTTTAATTTCAGCATAAATTATGCTTCATTTATGATTTTTACTTTATCGACTCTTTCCCTTACGTACAGATCTTTTATATGAGCCCTAAATCAACCCCGTAGAATTATTAGCACAGAAGTTATGCCCATTTCTATGTCTTACAGTTGCTCGCCAATATATCATTATTTCATTAATTCCATTATATATAACCTTCAGGGAACGAAATTTCTTTGTACGGATCGTTTTACTATTCTATTTAGTTGAACAGAAGAATCTTTAGGAATAGTATGAGAAAAAATATGTTATGATTTTCTTTAATTGTTAATGAGATTTGTCATTTTACTTATTAATATCGAAGAAGAAAGAAAGCTCACTGAAAAATTTGTCCCAGTTAAACTGGACATTTAGCAACAACGTTGTCGACAATGAAATGCTTCATTCTTCTATCTCAGTTACTCATGCTGCACCTGCAATTGAACTTACTCCTGAGTTACAAGGTTTCTATTTAAACCTTGCTAATTCTTCTACTGATTTTTCACGCTGCGTATAGTCTACTCTAGCGAGACGTAATTTCTGTATATCCTATCCCCTTCTAAGAACTGAACTTGCAATTCTCTCACATCCCCAAGGATTTTATACTCCACTGAAAAAAATCAGAAACTTTTATGGAAAGTGGGTATTTTTATTCACTTTTTTTATCATGTTTGTAACATATTTGGTTATATTAAAGTCAAGATGAGGAAAAAAATATAGCTTTGCTACACTTGAAATCCTTCGATTCCTAACAAATTTAGAATTTAAGACTCCTATTATGAACCTTTTTAATTAAAGCAGTAAGTCGTACAAACAATGAAACAATGAATGATCTGCAAACTGCATACTTTCAACAAATATTTGTTTCACGAGCGGCAGGTAAATTCATAAAAACATGTTCACTCTTCATAAAGAAGTTGAATTTTTGAAGGATTTTCCTTGTGCTAGTAGAATTATTGTGAAAAATTCTGCTGTTTGTATTGATTTACAATTTCTCCTAAGAAACCCTGCAGTTTTGAATAAATTACATCTGTCTAAAAAAAAAGATAGGTGAGGACAGACTTGTTAATTTATTTTGTTATGATTTTCCATTAGAAGAACGATTAAATGATTTTTTCATCAGATTAGAACAAACTGAATTAACAAAAGTATGGAGTGAAGAATTTGACAATGAACATTTATTGCTTTTAAAGATGATCGAAAAACGTTCAATAATTAATTATCGTCCCATTGCTTTCAAAGATATTTCATTTGCTTTTTACTTGCTGATAAATAGGATTAACATCAGCCAGTGTTGTTTTAATTTTAGAAATATCATCTAAAAGATATCATCGTATTCTTGTGTCTATCTAAATTATATTAAAATATGTTTATTAGTAATTGCAAAAATATAGTACAAAATAGTAAGACGTTTTTCTGCTTCAATCCAACTAATGTAACAAAATAAATGTGACTGTCACAAATGCAAACAACATACGTGAAACTTAGATTACATCTAATTATAATAGTTTTGATTCAACTTATTTATTCTATCAGAATATTAATTAACTGTTTTAATAAACTTAATACTGGCGGTAAGGCAATTGCTTCCGACTTTTCTGGTGTAGCTTTTTTCCGGGTAGTCCTTGGGCGTACGGTTTGCGTGCGTTTGTTGACAGATAGTAAATTCCTCGTGCGCTACAAGAATCAATGTAAACATTTAATGTAATTTTTAATTTAATAATTAAACTACATAAATTAAATTAATTAATTGTTTTTGTGTTTTAATAAAATATTAATACAATCACTCTTGATATATCTTAATTATTATGATCATTTTAATTTTTCAACATACGTATGTGGGGTATCCTCTCCCATCAGAATCCATTCGTGATCTGCTGGATTGCACCATCCTATCAGGTACGATAATAGGTTTGCGCAAGGTGCTGCCCAGAATCCTGCTTTTGTTGTGATGGACTCGATGTAGTAAGGAGTTACTTTGGTATGATCGCACGACAAAGTTTCTAAAGAAAAAAATCTCACTCATTCATGGGAAAAAATTATTATATTGAAAACTTTAATGCAAAGAGAAATTTGAAAGTTTTCAACGAAATTTAAAATTGACTCAAAGGAACTAAAATTATAAATGAACTCACGAAGAATTGAGGAAGTGGCGCATCCGGGCTGACTTGATCCACCGTTCACATAGAAATCCACATGTCCAGTTGGGCCCCACTGCCCAAGGATTCCTGCTCCCGTGTGGATCACATCGACAAAATGAGCGTCTGTTTGGTCCAGGTCTCGTGATCTGTTGCCATTCATATAGAAGAATATCGTAGGATCTAGGCCTAAAAACATATCCTAAATTCAATAAATGATGTCACCATTAAAAGAACAATTATTCTGTCAGTAGCTTCAAGCATTGTTCATCAACTACACTCTAGATACCCGTGATCCTTCCTAATTTGTCATCGGGTAAGTGGTTGGCTATCAAGCCGCCTATATGAGCACCAACACTGTATCCCAGCACGTGGATGCTCTCCACTGGGACGCCTCGTGGGTGATCCCTCAAGTACCTCACCAATTGAGCAATACATCGCGAACAAAAATCCGGTCCCCATTGCATTTGCGAAAGACATGGTTCACGCACCAATGAACCGTAATCAACAATTATTATATTGTAGTCACCCCGTTGGTAGTATGCTGCAAGATTAGTTAATTACATTTATAATTATATACGTTCTTAAACACTGTGCTCTTTTATCTATGTATCAAATAAACAGCACTGATTAAATTACTACCGCTAGTGCAATATACAATTGCATTTAACAAGCACTCTCACTTGCTTCCGGTCGACGGCCTTTAAATTCTCGCAAGTTCTCTATACCTTTCACGACAAATTTCCATGATGCTTTGTGATTATGAAAATAACAATGCTGAAAGTATTTCCATGTTTTATCTTTATTCTTACCATTTCTGAGATCAGTACTTGGTGCTAAATTTCTTCCTCCTCCGAAACCGTGAATTATAATCTTGGTTGGATGAGAACTGTTAAACGTGGTCGAATCCAAAGAGAAATAATTCCGGACGTCAAGGAGGACTGGTTTTTTTTGAGTCGTTCTGTAGATAATAAAATTTACATTACTTAATTATTAATGGTAATAGTCATAATCATATTCACACATTTAGAAAGAAAAAAAATCAAGTTGTAATTTATTTTATTCAACTTCTTTCTCTTTTATGAATAATTATAGAGACCAATAATTTTTTCACCATGATGTATCAGTTTTTGTTGAACTTAAACTTATATTTGACATTCAATAATAGATAAACAAACATTCTGGATTTTTCCAGTCTATGGAAAGATGATGAGTCAATTTTTGACTATAAAATATCATCAGTGAGAGTATTATGTCTGTGTAAATGTTGCTTATATGGTCACATCTACAGATAAAAAGCTGGAGAAAGGTGAATCATAGAATTGAGGTCACTTTCAGTTCAACATACGACGATCATGATCTTGAAATCAAAAGTTTTTTTCAGACTATTTACATACCTTGCAAATAATTAAGTCAAAAGAATTCCATTCTATTCTTTAATTTCTCTTGATAAGAATCATTCTTACCTTGTATACAAGTAGAACTCTATTTGTGGATGGGGACACGTGAACGGAGGTTTAGCACATGAGCTGCTGTTGAACAGATCTTGAAGTGTCTTTGGAGGTGCAGGCTTGTTTTGTGCTATTACATTGACTGCAAGAAAAAAATTCAACACATAATTAAATAAAAATAAAGATGAATCTGCAAAAAAATTACAAGACCTGATCACTGATTGATTAATAAGGTCTTCTACTTTATTACTAGCCAGAGGCAAAGGATTTCATAGCAACTTGACATTGTCTAGACCTATCAGACCGAGAAAAAGGACAGTTGTAAATGAGGCAAAGGCCGATTGAATTGGTGTCAAACATCATCTAATCAATGATTTAATCAGGTAATGTTCAATCGTTCAATTGAAAGCCTATCTTGAAGTAATAATTTCTTCAACATCAATCACTTTAATTAAATATAAAAAAGAAAATTAAAAAATCGTGTCGAATAGATTTTTTTCTCTTCGTTCTAAATATTTATATCACACAATCAATCATGATCACTAAACTTCCAAAAGATCTGATCTTGATGATTTGGAGATGATTTCTCTATTGAAAATTCACTGAACTTGTGTATGAAGTTGAATAAATATTTTATGTAAACAATAATATCATTTGAATGTTTGCGATTGGTAAACAAACCGGTGAATACTTACGAGTTTGATAGTACACGAAGAAAACAATCAGAAGATACTTCACAACACTAACCGCCATCTCCGGCACTCCCGGCGTTTGTGATATAACATCGGACGTGTTTACGAGGAAAAATCCGTAAAAGTGATTCTCGCTGGATGTCTGATTGTAAAATGTAAAGTCATCAGGGATCCAAGAGAATTTAGAAAGTAACTCGGGCGTTTCAATTCTTCCCCATTCACGGTCCAGGCACATATACTGGCGTTCAAATGAATGTCCAACGCATGCGTAAAAGAAAAACAATAATCACTCTTATGCACTTGTTAGATTATTTTACAGCTTGAAGACTCTTCAGCAAGAAACAACCGGTAACATTCACCAACCTGACAGAAATTTAGACTGAAAAATTTCCATCTCTTCATAGACAATTCTACCATTTTATTTCATTCTTGATACCAAGTTTTTTTTGCTTTATCCACCTTTGAACTCTGTAATAATTACACATTTAATTTATTTAATAATCATTTTATCACATGCTGGAGATTTTGCAATAGCGAGGATGACTTCGTAACGTTTCATTTGGCCTATAAATATTACGTGTGTTTGGAAATATCTCTTGGACAGTGTTGGGAATTTTTTAGCATACATATCATTCTTAACATATAACATACGTCGTCACAAAGAAACAAGAAAAATTAGTTAACAATAAAATACCTTATTCTCATCATAAATTACGTGCAATACTTATAATCTTCTTTTAGAAAGGTTTCCAACCAAGTATGAAGTACGTTTCATTAACATGTCCCTCATGGATAATATTTATTTTGCCATGGTTCATAAGATTATTACAATAAATAATAAAATCATTCAAAGGAAAAAATACACAAAAAATTGTAATAAAAAAAGAATGAAAAAATTGAAGGCAATTTTCAAAAGATTGGCTTACACTTTATTGTCAATGTATCAGTATTTTTTCTTTGTATAATCATTAAATAATAAACCCAGATTATAATACATACATATTTTACATATAATTATGTGGTGTAATCATTAACAAACCAGACTAGTTTACATTGGCAAGTAACAATAAATTTTTGTCTTAATTACATTACTACTTGAGATGACGCTAATAATGTCATTAGTCTCCTGAAATAATGATTATTATTTTATTGTCAATCAGCAATCGAAAATTCTTTGTAACTTTAAAGCAAGAAGTGCTAATGAAGGCATCATGAAGCAACCTGATATCTAATGGTAAGCTGTTGTAAGCTTGGAATACATTTATATATATATAACATTTATATATTTAAGCAAGATTATTTTTTATAATTTTATTTGTTATATGAACTGTAAATATTTGATTCTTTACATGTTTTCTATTAGAATTAGAATTCTTTGTTTGAATTAAAGTTTAATAAAAATGATAAAATCCATCAGAAATCACCCTAATTAATTTATTAATTGAACTATAAAGTCTGCATGAAATAATTTATTCTCAATTTATTGTCTTTGTAAAGTTAATCATTTTTATTGTCAGTATAATTATTATTGGAACATTTCATAAGCATAAATATTGTATGAAATTAAATCTTTTCTCATTACATTTTTGTTTAAATTATTTAGTCGACATGTAAAACTTCAGAATAATTTTTAAATATGTACACACATTTATCAATTATTTAGATAAAAAAAATAGTTACTCAATTAATGAGAGGAATAACTCTCTGCAAATCATATTTTATTTCCTGTTGATGGAAAAGATATGGCATGTGAATTATATCTAATTTTTTTTTATTTTCAGTTAACCACAAAATTCATGCAGTATTAAATAGAAATCTATGTAATACACTTTAACAATGACATTCAAACATAATAACCAGGTTTATGAATTATTTCACTATCAACTGATGTAACACTTTTTGATGACATTCTATATTCTAAAGAATTATTATTTAATATTTTCAAAATTTTTGTTACTTTATTTAAATATATTTTTCCGATTTTTTCCAAAAGAGAGAAATTTCTATCATCTACTTATGTAGAGGTACAACGTGTATTTTTCACATAGAAAATAAATCATTTTTATATACAAATTGAATGAGTTAACTAAGCAAACCACTTTCATTCATTCTTCATGTACTTATTAATATTAATTAATTATCATTTTTGCACCCTTTGTTAACTACAATAATTAAATAGTGAAAATCTGGAAACAAGTCTCATAAATTTAGTAAATAATTTAAATAATTAATAATTAAATCCTAATCATAAATAATAACATTTTTGATAAGTGATCTAGAGTATATAATTCACTCATCAAAAGTGATTGAATATAAATATTGTTTATTAATTATAACTAAGGTGGGTTGCAAAAAATCTATTATTTTTCTTTCTCGGCACTTCACTCTCTCAAATATATATTTATTGTCGTTAAATTATTAATGATTCTTCTTAATATATAAATATATCAGTATTATTGTTCGAACAGCATTAGCACTTAGCTCAAGTATTATTTCTTTGCAAGAAATTATAATCGTAGATATCATTTTCTTTCGGCTTATTAATCAACCTTCATTACTATTAGGCCAATCACTACTCCGTTATTATCATTAATTTTATATATATTATTAAGTCTGAAAAAGTCTGAAAGGAATGAAGCTTCTTTTTCAATGATCTATTGACATTTTCAGGATATAATGGACTGTGAATTAGAGTGAAAATTTTTAATTTGTGAATTAAAACTTTTAACACTCAAATCACAGAATAAATAAAACATTTTTTTTGATTTTAAATCTTTCTCAAACATTAACATTTTTTAGACTTTTATGAACAAAGCATTTTAGAATTTGAATTTCAATTTCAATAAACTTTCTCAAATATTGGTAACCTGATTTCTTTTTCTGTTAACCAAGCATTGTTAATAGAAACTTTCAAAAATTATTTGACAGTTAAATTAAGACTTGACACATATAAGATAAATGATTTGTTGTAAAGTAAATAATTTACAGTCACAAGTGAGTGTAAGTCATCAAGTAAATGAATATTCTTTTTAACATCTCGCTCTTTATAACTTATATTCTTCAGGCATTAACATTTCAATAATTCACTAGTTATATATGTATTGCATTTTTTTACAGCCGGTCTCATGACACGCGTACAACGCACTTCATCAACACCGGAAAGAGTATAATTATACGTCATGTATGTTTAAGTAATTGATAATTAATATTTTTAATATAATATTTATATTGTACGTATGTGAATAATTTTTTTTAATTTTTCGCAATGTTTAATATTCGTCTCAAAAAGGTCTCGCATAAATTGACTAATTTTTTGTGATGATTTTCACTTACGAGCAACAAAAACAAATTGTTTATACATTTAATCTAAAATAGAGCAATAGATTCATCGATTTTTTTATTCATACGCTCATCATTTAAACTTCTAAATATATTGCAATTTTTTACGCTAAAAAGTATCAACTCATAAATAGTCTTTATGTATTATCACCCTCTTCACATTTATTCTGATTTAACGTGAAAAAATGCACTCTACTAGTGATAAATAATATCGTTAAATCTACACTGTGAAAAAAATTTAATTTATTGCAAAAAAATTCTTTTCAATTAATAGCAAGTATTGATGATAGCGTATTATGTTTCCATTTATTAGCATACATTTTTAAATTCATTTTCTCAAATTGCTTTTTTTTTTTATTGGAAATCATTGCTCATATTATATTGACTACGTAAATTTTCTCCAACAGTCTAAACAATGATTTAATCTTTCCTAAACAGCATCAGTTTTAATTATTTTGTATATATTCATAATTGAAAATATTAAAAACTGAATGTTTCCATTATCGATTAATTTTTTTTTTTTGATTATTTTTATAAATATAAACATGATAATTAAACATTTATTATAACTACAAAAATTGATGACTAATTACGAATTATTATAAATAAATTTTTTTCTCAGTGTATAAAAACGAATAAAAATGATTTCTAAAATTAATCTTTCAATAAACATTTATCTTTCTTTTATACATATAAATATTTAAATTATTTCTAATACTTTCATCGTTTGTATTACTTTCATGATAATATACTTTCATTGATCATTATACTTTCATTATATTCACCATTGAATTTTGTTTAATTTTTTTTTAATTTTTATTACTGAATGTTTCTTTGATTCATTTTCGAAATGTTTGACTGTACTCTTCTATTTTATTGTTAGATTATTAATTTTACATCATTTCATACCTAAAAGTATCAGCCAATTGTGCTTTCAACTCGTTATTATTGTCGTTAAAATAAATATAATCTTATATTGTCTTCATTGTTTAAATATGCTTTTATAAAATACGTATTTTATTTAATGGTGCGATCGAAAACAAGTGCAATTCGTATATTTTATTTTTTACAATAAATAAGTTAATAAATATCAATTGAAATATAACACTTAAAGAGCGTCTTCTTATTTTATTGTCATTTCTATTATTTTTCTTTATTTTGTAAATATTTTTTGTAATTATATTATTGAAAATTTATAAATCTTTTTGTTGCATAAAATTCGATTTTATATATCTGAATCAATTCCATATGAATAAGAATTTAATTTTATCATGGTTCAATTTTTTTTTACATAATCATGAAGTGCCAATTATATTGATAAAAAATAAGGTACTTGTTTTAATTATTTAATATTATGTACTTTCATTAGTTTGTAATACTTTCTTTGTTGACTTATAGCACTATTATCTGTCCTCTTAGGTATATTATTTACTTGTAAGAGGAATTATTTTTTATACTGTTCATTGTCATAATTTTACTTCAATCATCCGGATTTTACGTTCATCTTCATTATTTCTATCCCATAAAATTCTAGAGTAATTAATTTATTATGTTTGAACCTACTACCCGTTAACAATTTTAATAAAATCAATAAGTGATATGGAGAAATATTTTCCATGATGTTACTAGTAGTAATTATTTTTTTTTTGTCAATTTTATGGATAGTATCGAGTCCGCAAACGACGTTAGCAAGAAAAAATCTAGCATTGCATTAACCAAATTTATAAAACTAACCTGATCGTTTGGATTTTTTATCAATCTGCTGATTACTTAAATTTTGGAGCAGGATATTATTCCCATTGTCGATCTTGCATCACATCGTGCGAGTAATCATCTAACATTGGCGGCTGGACCTGAGTTTCCTGGATGTCACTTGCGAATGGGTTTGTTGAGTGAAAGGGATTTGTATTAGTTTCCGTTGATCCATAATTAATTACAGGTTGAGAATAGTTGTTACTCTCATTTAGTTGTTCACTGTTATTCCAAGCTGCATTTACATCCAATGATGGTTGTTTCTATAATAATACCCAATAATTAATTTACTTTTATCTGTACTTCATCAATTCTATTGATGGAAATATTTAAAATAAAAAAAAATGCGCGGTATTTACAATAAATTCCGACTGCATTGTCTTCGGTGGTGGAGGTACTGGCGGTTTAGCTTGTCCCAACTCGTCGAGTGGATTCCAACTTTGTTGTTCTTCTGCTGACGGATCTGCCCAAGGTTGCAGCTCTCCAGAACAAAATATCGCATAGAATGTTACTCCGAAAAAATGTACACATGCAGCCATGATAAAAACATTCCTCCAACTGTGAGCATCCTAAAACACATCATTAAAATATTATTGTCTTGTGCTCAGTGATTTATTAATTAAGTTATTCAGTTAATTAAGACTGATATTTACCTTATTTGTTGTAATATTATCCACAAAAAATGGAACAAGCAGTCCAGCAATAGTCCCAATTCCATTGGACATTCCCATGAGAATACTCGCGTATCGAGGAGCAATGTCAAGATGATTAACGTTGAAACCGGAAATGGCGAATCCACTGCAAGCGACTCCAATCGCCAAGGCAACAGTGGCAGCAGTACCATTTTTATGGGTGGTTGCGTGGGCAACGACTAGGAAGAAAAGAGCTTCCATACCGAAGCCTCCACAGTTGAATACCTTTCTGACGTTTGTTGTCGTCATAATCTCACGCTTTCGTAGATGATCCGCAAGCAAACCTCCGCAAGGTACAATTATTGTCATTAGTAGATGAGGCAGCGATCCAATTATGCCAGTCTATTAACAAAACCACATGATTTCCGTCAATCATTTATGCCGATTCTTAAAGCACTGAATAGAATTTTTCATCATAAATACTTTAAAAGAATTCTAAAAAATTATCTTTTAATTACCTCAACCATGGGCATGTTAAACGCTTCATGCATAAAACGAGGTTGAAAAAGGACAAGTAAATAAAAGTTCCATGAACGACAAAAATTAGCAACGATGATAGCATAAACAGGCATCGATGTAAGAAACTTTCTCCATGGAGTTGAGGAAAATGTAGGCATTGGTAAGTTATTTTGTGCTTGTCCTAATGAATCTTCAATATAACGCAGTTCACGCGCAGAGATACAAGGGTGTTTCGAGGGTCTTTCAAACCCAAGCCATAACCAGAACCCCCACCAGATAAGTCCACTGATGCCTGAATAATTCAAACAGAAAATTAATTTTTTTCTCAATCAACACGTAACTTGTCTATTACATAAATAAAATTATTTCAATAAATTAAAAATGAAGTATAAAAGAATAAAGAGAAAATGAGGAATCAATGGTTGTTTTGTAATTGATAAGGCGAAAGAATAATTACCATAAAAGTAAAACGATGCCGGCCAGCCGAACCAATTCGTAAGATAACCAGAAAGTGGTAGACCAATTACGACAGCTGCATATGAACCACAAAAGGCGAGAGTAGCTAGTCGCGATCTCTCTAACGGAGGCGCCCAGTACTTCCAGATTCCGTGACAAGCTGGATAAGTCACACCCTATTGATTAAAAAGCAAACTTAATAAAATGAATAATAAATTTTAAAAATGAATATTAATACAATAAATTACCTCAGCAAGTCCTTTGCATATTTGAACACCCATATCAACTATTGGGTCCACTGCAAGTGCTCCAGGCACAAGTAAATTAAGGAAAGATGATACTGCTATTGCCAATCCAAATATCCTATTAGCAGGATAAAGAGAAGCTAGAAATCCTCCGGGCACTTGGGTGACTAGATATCCCCAAAAAAATGATGAATCGAGAGCACTTTCTGTTGCAACAGTCCAATTAAATTTTAAAACACCTCTTTCATCTGTGTCGTTCTTCATAGCTATTTTAGCCATTCCCATGTTGCATCTCATTCCGAATGAGATGACGAAACCTGAGAAATGATTTTAGAAATTATTCTATATACTTTCACTTGAATGTTCAATTAATATTTCTGATTGATTATTATATAATCTCACCTAGGCAGGCAAGAACAGCCATCGTGTACCTCTTGGATAAACAAGGACATTCTGGCATGCAGTATGTGTCAATGTGGCGTAAAGGTGGTCTTTCCGGTTCGGGCAGCGAGTCAAACGATGTACGTCCATCGAATCCTCTTTCATCCTCGAATCCCATATTATCTTTGCTACGTTCATCATTTGGCATTGCAAACTCTTCATAGCCTTTATTATTACCTACCCTAATCGTTCGGAGCCTAAAAAAATAAAATCAATAGATACTTTTGTCCTTACAAGCATGAATATAAAAATGGGTATATGAGAAAAAATATTGAAAAATCTTCCAACGAAAGCTTCTTACCCAGCAAGTTTGTCTGAGGCTTTAGATTTCCAAGACTCGAGGGCTCCGAGACCCGCTGCCGCGAATCCGGACATCTTGAAATTATTGGGGTTGCTTCAAATTTTTCCTATCTATCTTGATGTTCTGCAGCCCCTATCATCAAACATTTTACAAATTATAATCTAGCATTTCTCCATTTACATAAGCATTTGAAATAAAAAAATAATTTGTTCCGTTATCAATAAATCATTCTTTTATGACTTGGGGAATATTTCCTCAAATTGAACCTGAACTTTAGATCTCTCTTAGAGGGAATTATCAATTAATTATGTTATCAATTGCTTCTGTTATATAAACATAAAAAAGAAAGTAAACTTATTTATCACATCTATATAAATAAAAAATAAAACCGATTACTGAATGGAGTAAAGATTTATTTTTATCATTTCGAGAGAGTGAAAATAATTCATTCCACTTTCATTTTATTGCCCAATTCAGTAAAATTTTTCAATTCTCCAAATAGCATAGTGTATGGAAAATAGATGAAGATATATTGGAAATGATTGTCCCTCAGTTATATATAAAGTACTTGGGCAAATGCGTTACGTCGACAAGTGAATCTATAGGGGTTGAATTTTCTAGTAGGGATCTGTTTATTCAGAGTAGTAGACCATCTACCCCCTAATCCCTCTCTCGAGGGATTGTCCCTTGAGAATAGAAAATGGTGAAGAGACGTACTGACTCCTCTACTGCTCCAGATACAGCTGATAGTAAAGATAATATCAGAAAATTAAAAAGTTGCTTTTAAATATGTTTGCTGTGCTCTCTGTCACATGTTTTACAACTTCATATTATAATTAACTAATTAATTAACACACAAAAAAAATCAATTCAAGCTAATTTTTAAAATGCTTTTTCCAATGTCTTGGCATATTTTTAATTACAATTTTTCTATCTATTTAATTCAATTTAATTGAAAAATTATATATATTGAGTTTAGGTAAGTCCAAATAGAAAATAGAATAAATCTATTTAGAAAAATGATGAATTTATTTATTTTTTAAAGTATGGTTACTTTGATGGAAGCAAAAATCGATTCGTAAAATTATGACAATATAATAATGGTATTTATATAAAAAAGTGACACGTGACATAACAATGAGAACAAAAAACACTGCACGTGTTGCAAAGCAAGGATGAGTCTTTTCACGGTGACCAAGGGTGGCGGGAAGTCAACGTAATGGACTGTCACGATATAGTTGATCAATTCGTGAACGTTTCAGTGTTAATGACTCATATCTTTTTTTCGACTTTTTATCATCCCCTCGTTATCTCATTTTCATCTCGATTATATTCAACTTCCGTCAGAAGTCATCACAAAAAAAAACATTAATTAAAAACTCCATGTTACACGTAATATTTGTTTGCTGTTAAATTGGCCATTCCGAGTGATCAATAGAATTAACAAAAAATAAAAAGAAATCAATAAATGTAAAAAAAAAAATCAAGGACGTCTCACTAAGTCATTCCAAAAAATTTCGCGAGTATCGATCCACTGTACAAATAACTTATTCATCAAATTCCATCTGAGAAACTGCTTCAATAAAAATGCACTTAATTTTTTTTATTGACATTTATAATACAATAAATAAAAAGAACAATCAATTTTTCTTCCACTGAAATATTTTTTTTTCACATTTTTCTAATAAATTAATTTCAAAAATGGTAATTAAAATAATTCACATTCAATAAAACCACTGACATGAATGCACTGAAATATGATAATTATTCATCAAGCTTGAATTAATATCACCATTATTATTATCCACAAAATAAAACTATAGATTCAAAAAAAAAAAAAAAATTATTTTAATAACTTGTAGCAATCATTAACCATCATTAGCACCAATAAAAGTATAAACAAATCAATCAAGGCTAATAAAACTGAAATAAATGACAAAACTCACCAATAATTAAGTCTCAGTATGATAAGTGCGGACTGGGTTCGAAAGCGCGGGATACGCGACGAAGAACGTCGTCGTCGTCCTCGACGTCGGTGGACTCGTAACCTTTGGTTCTGAATACTTGGCGTCAGCGCGTTTCGACGTAGCATTGTGATTGGTTGTACATCCTCGTCGCATCGATATCACTGGCCAATGATAGCACAACTAACCCCTTCTTAAATTGACCCTAGGCGGAGCATTTCTCGGTCATACGTGTGATAATAATAATGATAAGAAAGAAATAACACTCGCAGATGATGTTTCGACATGCCTAATGACTAAAAAAGTTAAAATCAGGAGAAAATTATTCTAATTGATAATAGTTAATCGATACACCAATAATTTCATTAACTATCTCTTCAGGGAAAAAGATTACCATTCCTTCTCTCTCATTTTCATTAACAAACGATTTTATTTCATTAGAATTAATCACCAAAGTAATTCATTTTTTCAATTAAATGTTTTATAACTTTGTAGAGTTATTTTTTAATTAAAAATATTAATGAATTCTTATTAATTTTATATAAAAAATCATTCATCAATCGTTAAATAAAATTAATATTTTAAATAGCAAAAATTTGTTGGAATAAATGAAGATGATCATGAACATTGATAAGCTTTTCCCCTTTGAGTCGTTTAAAGAGAAGTATCTTACCAAGTGTGGCCGATTCTCGGCAGACTGAGAAAAATAGCAGAGAATGGTTTGTGCTAAATAAAGTAGAAACAAATCTAGATAAAAAATAAAAATAATTTCCTAGAAGTTCCTTCAAATATTGATATTTTTATTAAAATAGAAAACACTTATCCTTGTTAGTGAATACCATTAATAAATAGACAAATGAAAAAAAAAATTCATGACTGCTAGAAATAAAGTCATTAGGAGACTTCTGACTTAGCGATAGTGATCGGAAGCAAAGTCAATTGTAACAGAGCATGATGGAGAGAGGATGAAATGTGTTCTTGAAAATAGAAAGAAAAAGGGCGTTATAAGAGGGGCTCAAATCCTTCGCTAGACGTTAGGAGCTAACTCGTATTGTTACAAACAGAGAGCAGTCGACGGGGTAGGCACCCTCTCAGCGGTTGCCAGGAAATATCGATCGGCAAACCGGGGGATGGATGTTGGCCCGTACCGCTCAATGCTTCTTCTCTCTACGTCGGCACAAACTCATACCTCATCTCCTAGCCTATGCTTTTGTCCTAGATATCTTGGATTTTACTTGGCGCGCTATATTTGCTCATAGTGCACTCATCGCTATTAGTGTTCCCACAAGTTAGACTTGGTCTCCAACGTCCAGACTTGCGTTAATCCCATGGGTACACAGCCTCTCCTTTATATTCTCCATCCTTCAAAGCTCTCCAACTACCCTCAGAGAATTTCATTAGGGAGAGACAACCTACTTGAAAAGGACTACTTGTCCTTTATGACACACAGACTGTTTATAGGACGAAAATTTGAGTAGTTTGAATAAATTTTGAATTATTCGATGATTAATTCAATAGCATCTTGCTGGACTTAAATTCAAATTTAACCACCATTTGCTGATATTTAGAAAGAAACTTAAAAAATACTATTCAATGTAGGTTTTGTATAATTAGGTTGATGATAAAGTATTTTTTTCAGTCTAGAAGCTTTTGTGAAATACGGCCATTCTATCAATGCTTTTGACTATTATATTTTATTTTTATGATAAATATGACAATTCCTCATTAAAAACCCACGCGAAACATTGAAACAGTAAAAATCGTTGATAAAAAAATTTATGAGCACTAAAATATAATAAAAGCATAGAAAAAAACATGTTATCAATTATGTTGGAAAATAGATGTTATGTGTTTGATATAAGTTGCGATTACACTTTTATCGACCTAGAACGAGACCCCCAACCAAGTCCTAATTGAGCAGATATCGTGTTAAGACTTTAACGATGGCTGGAGATACATTTATCATTATAAATGTATGTGTCTATCTTGATGTCACATACTTAAAGCACGACCCAGGGTTTACCTTAATGGTCTCGATGAATGACAAAAGCGTAACGGATCGATTATTCCCTTGATTCTGTTCATCCCTTCTTCCCCTTTCTTTCAAATAAATATTTTCTCAATTTTCATTACATTACAGCTGTAAATTATTCATTACTAAATATAATATTTTATCATTTGATTTAATTATTAATTACATTACTAGATTATTTCTAATCTACTAAGTCAGTTAGTAAAATTATAATTTTCATTCAATTATTAAAACATTCTTTCACATCTTTATATTTTTTTTGCATAGATTTTTTTCTTTTACTTCTGCTAGACTTGAGATATTGATTTAACATTGATTTTAATTCACTATCTGTCGATTCCAAGCATTCTTTACAATGAACTTCATCACTATCAGATATCTCCTGATGTTTAATTCGAAAATTTAAATACTCTGCTAAATGTTTAGCTGCAAGATTCTTATAATAACAACAAGAGTACGATTCTCTTGGAGTAAACGATGATCTTCTTAATTTTCTAGCATCACAGACTAAATACTCTGATGGTCTTCTTCTCATATATTTCCGATGATATAATCGCTTTTTAGCAGCATCACAATCACAGCTATTCGAGGAAATATTCATAGACTGATAAGAATTAGCTGTCCGTGGATTTGTCCAATCGTCTCGTACATTATTTTGATCCCTGCAACAAGTGTACTCTGATCCTTGTAACTCTTTATTAATCACTCCTGTGCTATATTTAGTATATGAATTTTTAGGCTGTCGATGAAAGCTAGGATTGATGTTTTCTCTCTTCAAGCTTCTCGAGGCATGATCGGAATATTTATTATCAGTAACAGCATTACTAGGTTTAGACTTTTGCATTGGATCAATAGAATTATAATTTGGCATTCGATTATTACATGATTTTGGAGCACAAAATGTTGAGGTGGTATTTTCATTTTTCTTTGTCAATTTAAAAATACGTGTTTTCAATAAATGCTTTAATTTCTGCAAAACAGCCCTCGGAAAAATATTTTTCAAGCCTCGACACATGGCTGATATAAAGGCTCGAATATTGAAATGCCTTCGAGGACGGTTATTAGGTTTTTGTGCTTTTTTTTTATCATTGAATGATTGATTTTTTGGTAGTGGGATTGTAAAATTTTTATTCAGAAAAATATCTGAATCTGAGGAGCATTGGCATATAGAAGTTAAATCGTCCAACGAGATATTACTAGAATGAGAATCTGTATTGTGATAATTTATTTTCTTTTGTGAGACGGATCTTGGTTCTTTCGAAATATGAGATACCTTTTTTGCAGTAACTGATGGGTTTTTAGAAATAACTGACAAGTTTTTGGAATTGTTATTTAATCCACTTGTAACAAAATCGTCAACTCGTATACTTTCTTGTTGAGAGACAGAACTTTTTTTCCTCACTTCTGGTAATCCTTCTGTAATATTTCTACTGAAATAGGATTTCGTTTTATTTTTATTGACATCCTGTAAATTTAAATCCTCTTTTTGTAACAAACTCTCGATTTCTCTCTTCCTTTCAGGAGTTGAAGTTCTGTTATTCTCTTCAATTTCATCTAAAAGATAAAAAAATTCACACTTGTGATTTGACTTCTCTCGTTCTGAACTGGACAAACGTTTTTTTATCGGCCCTGTTGAGTCCTTTGAATTCTTTCTGTCATAGACTGATTGATTTCTATCATCAACATTCAGCATCTCAATCATTTTTTCAGATGAATTTTCTTCATCTTCATCACTTTCAGAGCCCAAATTATAATTCTTTTCTTCAATTTCATCAATAGTATAAATAGGTTCATCATGTTTTTGTACAGTATTTAAATAGCTTTGTCTGTTTTCCACTTTAATGTCTAAATTTGTGTTAGAATTCGATTTTATTTTATTTTGATTACCATTTCGTGTTTCAGAATTTTTCTTTAATAAATTTCCGACTTCCTTCATCTCCTGTGAAATACCATTATGTTCATTATCTTCAATTTCTTTTTTTACATTAAAATATTCACTTGTATTTTCGAATTTATCTTCTGGTGAATCAGACAAGTTATTTTCCTTTGCCGCTGCTAAAATTTCTGAAAGGTTTCTACTAGAATATGATCTTATCTTATTTTTATCAAATTCCTGCATTTCAAATTCTTCTCTGTTTAATAAACTCTCTATTTCTTTCTTTCTCTCTGGGGTTGACGTTCTCTTAGTCAATTCAGTTTCATCCAAATCATAAAAATGATTAAAGTTATTTTCGTATTTGTCGCTAACCTCAGCCTTGATATCTTCTACGGGAATGACTCTTGTAATTTTCGAAGCTAACGATATACTAGAACTGACTGGACTACGGACAACATGATTAAGACTTGATGAATCATCATTCATTTTGTTACGGTCTTCTGTAAGATCGACGGAAGTCTCGGCAATAAATTTTTCTTCTTCTGCCTCTCCAACATTACACAAACAAATTTGGTCTTCATTTTCTTCCAAAATTGTCTTCAGTAATTCAAGAACTCGAACTTTTTCCAAAATATCATATTCGGCTTTAGATATCGTTGAATCGGTTTCTTCTAAATTATAATTATTGATTGCTTGAGTTGATATTGAATTATTTCCATAATATAGTACGTCATCTCTAAAACGTATTGAACTAAACTCTTTCATTTTATTATCATTTTGCATTTGTTCTTTATTGCCAATTGAACTTTGTCTATTAATTCTCATTCTTTTTTTATCTTCTTTGTTATTAATACGACTTCGAAAATTTGAAAAAATATTTTCAGGGCCGTTGGTAATATTTTGGAAGGATCCAGTTGAGGTGGAACAATCGCAAGAATTTTCTGAATTACATTCTTTCAAAAGTTGTTTTTCTCTTATGACGAAATCGTTGTCATTCTTTGTTGAACTTAAAATATCCTCCAAGAATTCTGAAGGTGTTGGAAGTGTGTTTATAAAGTTATCATCATCTGGATCTTTGTCTAAATTAGAATTACGAATTACTTCTTGAGTTACTTCGTCAATATTTCCATTAGAAATTTCATTAAATGTGGAATTAAAACGTGAGCTGCTTTCTACATCGTCTCTTTCTAGCTTACTAGCTTCAATAGATGTTGAAAGTCTTTCAAGGTCTTGTAAATCACTACGAGATATTTTGACTCGATCAATAAATAAATTAGTCATGGATCCAACATGATCTTTCGTTTTTAATTTAAGATCAATATATTTTTCTCTTAATTTACAAAACAATCCACATGTATTAGTATTCTTTTTATTTAATTGACATAAAATATCATCAAATGAGAAACAAGTATTTTGCATTGCAATTTCAAGTTGCTTTAGTTGTTCTACTAGATCGAAGTTACTCGAAGTCGAATCAATTTTAATCTTCTTACGAATAACATCTTCACAATTACACAGTGATGATGGTTTATCAACTCTTTGGTAACCACTCGGCTTACTAACTGCAGTCATTGAATCGTTATTCCTTGTATAATTTGGCAATGTAGGCTTTTCTAATTTAAAAGGCGAATATTTTGATGAGTTACCAAGAGCACTTTTCTTCTCCTTTACAGATCCACTCCCTTTAACTTTATGAGGTTCAATATTATCCTGAGTTTTGGAAACTACAAATACTGATGAACCTGAGCCGTAAAGAATATTTAAATGATCTTGTTCAAAAGTGTTAACACTATCATTATTTTTTGAATGTTCATCATCTGAAGAATTAGATGTAATGTTATGATTGTCATGACTACTGACAGTTATTGATTCAATAGATGTATGGGATAGTGATTCACTTCCATCAATGTATTGAGAAAACTGATCACTTTCATTAAATATATTTAATTCACTAATGTATGGAGAAACATGTCGTCCATGTCTTATAATTTCCCAGTCACGACAGATTTTATTGAGTCTATTATTTATAACGATTGCATTGATAAAACAATCAATCAAACCATCTTTAATCCAATATTTAAATGCAGGTTTAATGATTCCTTGAACTATTCCTACATCTTTAGGGCCAGAGTGTCCATATATTTTTGATAGAGAACCTTGGTCGAATTGTGAGGATAAATTTTTCTTCTGGCTGTAAACCAATACCTCCATTCCTTCATACACACTTCTTTCCAAACTAGGCACGAATAAATTTTTAATTGAGTCCACATATGAGCCATATTTATCAAAGTCAAGTCCACTACTGGTAATATTGTTGTGAGGAGAATTCTAAAACAGTAATAATAATAGAAAATATCAAAATAGATGATAAAATTGGTTATGTTTGTTTATCATGCTTTATTTTCATGAAAAAAATTACCAAGTTAATATCCACGTTGGTACTTGGTACATACAATTGGTCTTCATTCATATTAACTACCCGCAGTCCACCATTGAATTAATTCTGGTGGACTTTCTTCGGTCTCCAGGGACATTCATTTCGTTCCTCACCCGACCAACATCATTGAATTCCAACCAAATGAAGTTGACGATTTTACTAAAACACTATCACATCAATTATTATATAATTTAATATAATCAATGTTTCAGACAGTATTCCAATAATTATTATCATTAAAAGTTATTTACTGTTGACTATTTTTATTAGTTTTAAATAGCTTAAATAGTTATTTTTATATCAATAAAAAAGGGAAAATAATAAAATTTAAATATAAAATCAATAAAGAGATAGTTGGGATTAATATTGATTATTATTTCAATTCCACTTGATCCTTAAAAACGGATTAAAAAATGAAATAAATAAAAAGTTTACGAAAAATGGTGACAAATTTTGTACATTTATAAATAATTAAAAATTTTTTAATTGCAACAATAATAATCAGATAAAATTGTTCAGAGAATTTTTCTCTCTAGCTCATATTATAGACAAAGCGATGGAAATAAGTTTAAAAATGTCAAGCTAAGACTATAATTTATACAGCAAACTTCATGAGATGAAGATTTGTGTACCAAAAAAGGGTATCAAGCATGAAGTGAAACGAGGTTTAGCAAAAGAGTAGCAGAGCAGTTCTCGTTCATGTTCGAGTGGGTGATGAGAGGAAAAAGGGTCTAAACGAGGGAGATAAAATCGGGGGTAACTCATTCAGATAGTGGCCAGAGCAAACTCCACTGGTGGCGCGTTCGTGGGGGATCAATACTCGCGACGCCGAGACGACAGAGGAGAATTACTCTTGTACCAGGAATACGTATCTATCTATCTATATATCTTAAGTGTTACTCTTTCAAACCGAGAAGAGGATTTGGAACTTGGGAATAAAGCACCGAACATCAGTGTTGCAATAAAGTTGGAAAATCAGCCGTAAGGTTGCTCGACCTTGCTCATGTTCTAATTCTTATGTTCTTTCACACCTTTTTGCTTTCTCTTTTTCATCTATACTATCAATGAGTTGGTTATTTATCTCCAAAAAATTTTTATCAGCAATTTGATGAAGCTATTCTCATATTAATAAAATGATTAACGCTTGGAAATAGAGCAAAAAATATAGTTAAAGAATAGACAAAGAAAAATAAATGAAGCTGCAAGGCTGTAAGTAAAACAATTAAAGATGATATCACTGATAAAGGGAAAACTTTAGAGAATGAACCACGACTGCACAGAAAGGATTGAGAAGAAAATTCCGAAGATGGTTTACATCGATACGATTCGATGTACATCGATAATAATCCCACATGTGCAAGAATCTTTGGTATTACAAGTATTGGACAAAATTGCTAGAATTCAAACTCACACTTAAAAATGCTTTAAACGATTGAAAGAGATGTGTAAAAGTATTCACTATCATCCACGATAACAATTCCACTAGTAAAAATAGAATTTAATATTCATTGAATTTCTTATCAATCTAAACAGAGAATGTTTCAATGTTCAAAATAAAAACAAACGTTTTTCAAATATTTGAAATGTACGTAGGTAGATACTTTTGATAAAAGCACGATACATACGTCATTTAATACAAAACATGGAATAAAAATTTTAATTCCAGTTGATTTGAAATTATTTGGATCAGTTCATATTGAAGATACTTGAAAGAAAACAAAATTTTTGTTCAATTTTAATCACAGCAAAATACAGAATATTTTTTTTAGAAAATAATTGATATAAAAAATGGAATATTTTCAAATGACAGAAAAAAAAGAAAATGTTCTGGTGAACCTTGACGATGAAAACACAATAAACAACCTGCTTTCTGGTCGACATAATGATTCTAAAAGGGGTCCTTTGATCTTTCGATCCCCCGCAGAAAGTACCCACCACCGCAACTTAATACAGTTTGTAACTCAATCTTTGCTAGATGGTTTGATAGGAAATGGAACAAACCGTTGATTGGTACATAATAAACCTCTTCATCATTAGAGAATTCACCTTAATTTATAAGAGATTTATTTTTAATTGCTTAATATAATTCTCATTATCACGACAGACCTGACAATGACTTTAATGATGATTATGAAAAGAATTAGATCCTTATGTTATACAACTCTTTTCAGCTTTAATTTAATCATCAATTAAAATAAGAGAAAAGACTTCTAAATTAAATTTTAAAAAATTCTCATTTAAGTTAAGCAAATATCTGATGATCAGTAATGAGTGTTTTTATTTTATTAATTCAAAGTTTATAATTTTTAAAAATGTCAAGGTATCATTATATTCATTAATGTCTCTTGATTTAAATCATTAATAATATATAAGCATGAGCATCGTCATCATCATGGTGTCTATTGATGCTTAGAAAAGGTAACTTTGATGATGATATTAATTTTTTTATATAGAATAATAGTAATGATTATAATAGCATTAACAATTTTTTCTGAGCATTAGACTGCTCATGAAACTCCATAAAGTTCATGTATGTGGGTTGTGTGCGCACTGACTTTTGTCAGTGATGCAAAGTCGCGATGAGTGTGAGCGTGGGTGGGATTTAAGTGAGAAAAGCACAGGAGAAAAATCAATACTTTAATGCTAGACAAGACCAAAGGGAGCGCAATTATCCCTATCTACGTAGCACACGATAGTGGAACACGCGTACATCTGACGTTAATTTTTAGTCAGTTTCGTGGCTTAAAACTCATTATTGATTCCTAGAAAACCAATATAAGTGTAAGTGAAGCCTTTCATAATAATTTTTTTAAATATTTTTAATAAATACAGTTTATCTCAATCAAGATTACAGTTATTTATAAAACAAATTATTTTCCAGAAAATTCAAAGATGTTGTTAATGATTGGAATTTTCACGATATTTATGACAGTCCAAGGCAATATGTATCTACCTCCAATGAAGGTAATTCAATAAAAAGTATTTAAAAAGTCAATGAGAGTTTTAAAAAATTGTTTTTGATTAAAACTAGGATCATTTGCTGTCTGATATGTTGATTCGAGACATCATTAAACAAATGGAAAAAGAATTAGCGGATACAGCAGATTCTTATCTGGAATATCAAGATATTGCTCGCGAAACAGATGACTTTGATAAAGCTAAAGAAATGCCTGCAGAAATGCCGCTTGATTACGAAGGGATCGAGGTACTTAATCCTAATCCAAGCATTCGTGATCAAGAGTATTTGCAGCACAGTACTTTGGTCTCAAGTCAACGATTGAGTCAAGATGGTGATAGTACTCACAAAATTCAACCTGGAGGTCTCAAGGGAATCAAAGAAGAAAAGTCTGAAAATACTTTGCCAGCTTATTGCACTCCACCAAATCCTTGTCCAATTGGATATACAAGTAAAACTATTTTTATCTCAATGTTGTTATACTGTTATTTATTTATTGATTATTGTTATGTTTGTAGGTGAAAATAGCTGTTTGGAGGAGTTCGAAAATACTGCAGCATTTAGTCGTGATTATCAAAGTGCTCAGGATTGTATGTGTGATAGTGAACATATGTTAGACTGCCCTAATGCAGAAGAAAATGATCGAGGATCTTTGAGGAATCAAATTTCAAATTCTGATTTTGATAAAATTGTACAATTGCAGGTAAAATTAATTATCTCTAAAAAGAAAAATTATACTCTCACAACTAGAAATATATAAAATGTAGATGGCAATTATTACTTTTAAACCTTTTTTCCAGGAATCTAATCCATACTTTCGTGGAGAAAAGTTACCCATAGCTGCGAAAAAGGGTCTTCATGCATTCGTATATTAAGAAATATCAGTCAATCGACAAATTTTATGGGGAAAAAATTTTTTGTGGTCTTATATTGATGTGAAATAATACACACAACTAGCTCTAAAGTGCTAGTTGTAACAAATATCAAAAGCACAAAGTATTAATCGATGGTTATGGTAAAAAAATGAAATGAGAGTAAGATATATTATTGAAAAGTATATTATTTATTTTTAACGTTGACCAATAATAAAGTTTAACAAATTCTCTATCAACTAATTTATAAGTATGAAAAGAGAAGTAAGGATTGTGATTAAAGTACATATACATAATAAACTAAAATATAAAAAAAAAGAAAAAATTTATTCTAATATCATTTGAAGCATTTGTATGAACAATGCTAACAGTATTAAATAAAAACAAATATTGTATTGTATTTTATAACAAACTTATAAAACAGTAACTTAAAATTATTCAAATTTAGTTTATAATAAAATAATAGTAAATACTTTCAAACTTATTTCAAATTAAAACATTATCCCTTTAATTAGCTTAAATGCATTTGTTACATTTTTACAAAATATTACAATAATCAGTCGTGGACATACAATATTAGACTTATTGTTTACGGAAACTTTTCAGTATTGGATAAATATTTGTTAAGGCATCTTTTAGTTCAGTCCTATCTTTTGCTCCTGTAAACAGACACCAAAATAATCCTATAAATAAAATAAAAATAAAAATATAAATGGACTGATATTGATTTCTCCTCTTGATTTTTACCTGTTAATACTATTTTTCCATTGACAAATATGAGCAGTACTACTCGAGGTAGTACCATTCGATATATCAAACCAGGGTAAAGCTCTGGTTCATATGAAGAAAATTGTCCATGTGCGTGATTCAAATTTTCTAATTTGATTGGAAATTTTAAATCACATGTAGCAACAATATTTTGTATTTTGAAATTCATAAATTTTACTGGAAATCCTACTTTCTGTATGATTCGAGCAAATTTCCTCATTGCTAAGAACGAATCTTCTTCACATCTAGCTCCTGTGCAAACGATTTTTCCTGATCTGAATATCAGGGCAGTAGCTCGAGGATTTCTTATTCTCATAACTAATCCAGTAAATCGTACTGGATTGTATTCAGAATTTCTGGTCCTTGCGTTGATACGCATTAAATGCAGCTCTATTCCTAAATTTACCGTCGATACGACATTTCTGTAATCAAAAAGAATCTTTTGCAATAACCTCAACTGTTAGAAAAAAAATACAAAAATAAAAAAAAATTCTCACTGTAAAACTGGCTCTAGAGCTTCTTTTTTTAATGGAGCAGGAGTCGATGGGTTCATAGTCGATTGAGGATTATTTTGTACATTACTTTGCCTTGGTACATTTGTCTGAAAAAATATTACTAATTTTATGAGATAATTCGTTTGAAAAATTTAGAAGCATCAATAAAAACGCATTGAATAATACATAGAACATATACTTGCATTGCATCATATGAAAAAGTAAATGCGGAAAGTAAAGCAAATCTTCATACTGCACTCATGAATGATTATTACTTTCAGTGAAAGTTAGTTCAATTTTACGTAATAGTATTTATTTGAAAAAGGAAATATTAGAATGTTAATAGGATAAACATAAAAACATAAGCAACCTATTAGTGATAAATTCTGTGGCTAAATTAGTGCTAGTAAATTGAGAAATTCTTCATGATAGTTTAAATGAATTGTTAAATAAATGTTCCCTTGTATTTAACCAAGAGAATAATCTTATTTTTACCGTAAGTGGTGGTGCCATAGAATGATCTTCTATGGTATTTTTACCAGGACTAGTTAACAAGCGCTTAAGCTCGTGATCATTTTGTAATGTCGATGTCATTTTGGAGATATAATTATTCAAATATAAAACTATAAAAGTATCTTGATTTTAATCACAAGTGTTCTGTATAAGATACATTACATATCAACTTCTTGAATACATCACTGCTGTACAAATAATCATAACCTTGAAAATGAAATTATCTCGAAGATCACGAAAGAACTGAAGAGAAAACATGCCATTGAAGAAGCACTCTAATGTCGACTTTTGGTGGCAATTTGTGTTGGCAAGCTTCAGCGCCGCAAGCGGTCACTCCGATAACTCGTAGGCTGGATGAATTCAGTGGTTAGCAAGCAACCTCAACATGATTTCACAGCTATTTCATTTCTATTTTTTTTCAATATTAATTCTTCTTTCTTTCATTGAGTGCTAATTCATTACAAAAATAATAATTGAGACGAACTATTTTGGAGTGATTTTTAACAAAACATCTGCAATAAAAAACTAACATAATGTATTCCAATAATTATTTTAAAAAAATATTATCATTATGATTAAAGTTACAAAATAAAACACCATTGAGAAAATGTAAAATATGTTTATTTTCAATACTAATGTAATATAATTAAAAATAATCTATAAGCGTGTGTATAAATTCCATTTAACAATATGTATTAAAAAATTACACTATGTATTATTCGTACTGGGTCCTACAAGTTCAAAACCACCATCATCTTCTTCATCGTCATCATCTACAGATTGATCGATATTTTCTTCATTTCGTTTGGGCTCCCATAAACCACTTCTTATAAACCTTTTAGCAGCATTTGTGTCTAATTTTGGTGTTGGTTTTTTAGACATGCTTATTTCTTGTGCTCTAATCATAATTCTTTTTAGTCTATCATTCTCTCCATTAATATCATGACCCTTTGGATCAGCTCCTTCAGACAAATATCAAAAAGTTCAATAAGATAACAAAGTAATAAAATATAAATAATAATAAATAAAGATCATATATACCTTCTGCTCTCAAGTGCATCCAAAAGAGACTATTGAGACTAAATGACAACAAAGTATGGAGTTTAATTTTTTCTGTATTCGTTAGCTTATCAGATAAAGATTCATCTGTACAAATTTTCAGAATATTTTCAATTCCGTCTATTCCTCTATAAAATTGTGTTAATTTATTTATTATATTTGGATCGTTAGACAGCTCTGCAAAATCCATTTCAATTTTATAACCTCAATAACTAAATAAACACATTTGAAAAATGTAGACTAATGAGATAGCAAGGCCTTCCTAAAATGAACATGTATTGCCCTCTAGTGGTTAAGTAAAAATTTTAAAAAATGGCTTGATATTTTTTTCTTTCGCGAACATTTACATGTAAATGGCATCGCGGTAATTTATCATGAAAATGAACCTTTGACTGCTTTTATTGTTGGGAATATTTCTATTTGTTTATAATCTATGGCCATAATGGAATTGCTGTCACATCACGAGTGGTTTACATGCTGAGTATATCCATAGGTGTAGATTAGTGATGTGGAACAATGTGGAATTATACAGATATTGCTGATTTTCGTAAACATATAAAAAAACAAAAATTTTCAATGCATTATCTGTCGTTTATTACTGTGATAATAATATTTCAAGTCATATCGCCATGTACACCACTCATTTCTGACAAACGATTGTGCTATGACCCTGATTGTTCAGGTAATTTACGAAGCCGTACTTTAATCTCTTTTATTTAAATTTATTAGCAATATTATTCTTATCATATTTTATATTTCATAATATTTATTTATTTTTCTAGAGGTTGTGTCTATAGCGAAAACGATAATAAATTATAATGCTAAAGAGCCAGATATTATGTCATTTCCCCTTAATGTTGATGTCAAAGTTTTTAGTAAAAGTGCTGGAACTCGAGATGATTTATGGGGTGTTGAGGTATTATTTTAATACATGTTTAAAATATTATTCTCAATAAAAACAAATATATTCTATGTATGCAATATTTCAGATTGAGGGTAAAAGAGGATATATACCTAAAAAATTCCTTAGAGAAAAGAAAGTAATTCACAAAGATCTCGAATATATTGTGCCTACAGAAGCTTCATTTAAAAAGCTAGTTCAATTCTCTGCTGATGGTAATGAAATTAAAGATCAGACTAGTTCAATTATTAATTCTGATATGATACAAAATGACAATGCAACAGAATTACCTCTAGATATTGATCAAGTCTCACCGTCATTTGAAGTCATTGATGGTACAACAATTTATTCTCCTTCGGAAACAGAAGAGGAAGAGAATAGTTATGCAACAAAAATTATTAACCAATCTCCGTCTACACAAGAACAACCAGTTCTTAGCGTTCACCCAAATTTGAAGACTAGCGAAATACCGCAAGACATAGCGTCAACAGTTGCAACTGGAGCTTTACCTGAAAGTAATGAAGATCCTGAAAAATCTGTAATTAATCCGAGTACTGATGAGGTAGTGAAAGAAAATATTGATAAAAAAGTCAGTTTCGATGATAAAGTATCTGAAAAAGTTCCATCAGAAACTCCATTAGCAACATCAGAAAAAGAAGTTGAGAAACCTAAACCAGAAGATGTAGCAGTGGAAAATGACTTGAATCTCTCCCAAAATAATGAAGAAAATAAGGAACCAAAACAGCTGGAAGAAAATGAAGAAGTTAAGGAAGATGAAGAAGGTTTCGACGATGAAGATGAAGATGAGGAAGATGATTATGATGATAATGAAGACATACCAGTTGAAAAGCAAGATGTAGTTGAAGTGCTAGATAAAGTTGAAAATGATTCTCAAGGTAATGACCAAGAGTTATCTGAAAAGTCAGTTAAAGACAAAAGTGAGGCAATTGAAAATGAAACGGTCACGAGCACATTTGCTAATGTTCTTGGGAAGGTTACATCATATTTCGCGAGCCCAGATTCTCAACCTCCTGCAGAAGAAGATTCTCAAAAAAAAGAAAGTACACCATTCGAAGAGAGTGAAAAAATTTCAGAAATAACTTCAACAACAGAAGAAAAGTTACCAGAGGTTACTGAAACTCCACCACCCATTGCAACTCAACCGGAATTGGAAGAAAATCAATCAGTAGAAGTGGAGAAACAAGTTTCAGATGAAAAAGAAACTTTATCTTCAGAAATAACGGAAGAAATTTCAGAGAAAACAAACACTTCAACAGAAACAGTGCCTGAAACAACTCTATCAAATGAAATTTCATCGGAACAAAAAAAAACTACTATGGAAATAGAGACTACATCTGAAAAAGAACCTGAGAAAGTTCCTGAACAAGTCACTGCACTTCCAGATGTAACTGAAAAAAATCTACCCGGAGATGAAGCTCCAAAAGAAATAGAAAAATCTCCAGTGACAGCTAAAGAAGTTTTAAAATCAAAAATTCTAGTGCCAATTGCAACAGTAAAGAAATTTTCTCCTCCTGTAGATAGTGAAGAAATAAAAGTGTCAACTGAATTACCAAATTTAATAGTGTCTCAAAAACTTCAAGAAGTAGTTGAATCTTCAATTGATGAAAACATTGAAGAAGCATCAGGGACAACTGAAACATCTGTTCAATTAGAGTTGACTGATCAAACAACTGAACTAGTTTTAGAAAGTTCATCTATAGATTTAACGACGCAAACCACTCAAGAAGCTGTTTATAGTGATAGTGTTATAATTGAAGATGTAAATAATGTTTCTAAAGTTAATAATGTTATTGATAAAGATAAGTTAAATGATACTCAAGACGAAATTCCAAAGACTGAAGAAGAACTTATTCAACAAGGACAGCCTGGCATCAATGAGGAGGATGGATTATCAGGCTTGAGCCAAAATATTTTTACCGATCGCTACCCTGGCTTCAATGAATTTCCAACCACTAGAAATTTATTGAATGTTCAGAATGAAGTTTATCCAGATAGTTGTAAGTGTATATATAAACTTTTCATTATTATCCGAGTATTTATTCAGATATTATTAAAATAATTTATTGAATTCATCCATTCTACAAAACAATATCAATTTTGTTATTTTTTTTAGCTGAGTTAGGAGACAATAATAAATCTGAAACGTCATATAGTGATACCACAATAGTTCCTGAAGATAAAGAAACCACTACAACTGCGAGTAATGATGAAATAATCATGAGCAGCACTGAAGCTCCACACGCTAATCAAGAACTGGAGATAAATAAAGAGGCTAGAAATCTTGAAAATGTGGAGCGCGGTATTAAATTATTATTTTTTATACTTATTCATTTTCCATAAATATTGATTTGTTTGTTAAATTAACTTTTTCAGTGATACTTTTTTCAGAAGTCTGCAGTGCTCATAATAATTGTGATGAATCTATAGAAAAAAAACTTCCTGATGAGGTAATTGGACTATCAATATCGACTGATTAAATTATTATTTATTCGATTAAGATTTTAAGCTTATTGTATTTTTCAATTAAACAGAAGGATTCGACATTTGATAATGAACAAGAAGTTATTCATGCAATAGAACAAGGTCAAAACTACTGGGAAACACTTTCATATTTGACTTTAACAGCTTTAACAACTTTATTATTTTCTCTTGGATACTTTTACATTGAGGTATGAATGATATTAATTATTAGTTAGTATCATGAACAATGATTCATTCAAAAATAAATTTTTAGAACACTAGACGTGATGGACAGCTAATTGCCAAAATTAATAAACTTGAAAAAGAACTGCTCATTTCCACTAAAGAATGTACAGCTCTTGATGAAACATTAAAGTCAACAAAAACTAAGGTAATTATTTTTATTATAAAATTTATATTTTTTATTGTTCCGTAATTAAAAATTCTTTGAAATATTATTTGTCGTAGTTGGGTTCAATTGAAGATGAATCGTTTGGATCAAATGAAATTGTAACATCATTAAAAGCTGAATTAGAAGATGCGAATGTAAGATTATTAATTATTTTTGATATAAAATAATATTGATTTACTTAAAAGGATGTGAGGAAAAAAATTCATTTTCTTATGTTTAGAAAGCTAAAGTAGACCTCGAAAATCAAGTATCTACGCTCGAAAAGGATTTAGAAAGTGCAACAGAAGCTGGATTAGAATTAGAACGCATGTTGAGGGAACTTCTAGCCACTAAAAATGAAGAGAATCCTCTTGCGAAGACCATTGAAGACCTGCAAGCTCGGTTGGATGCTCAACAGTCTGCAAATAAATCGTTGACAAGTGCATTACAGCTTAAAACTCAAGAGGTATTATACTACTCTATTGAATTATTATATATTCATATATAATAATACTATATTTTAGAGCTAATTCATTTAAAGAATTAATTAATTTAATTGTGTTTTTTAATTTACTAAATTAAATCATATATTTATCTTATTAACGCAGCTTGAAATTGATAAGTCTGAGGTTTGTGATAACAATAAAAGATGTTATTATTTTTGAATAAAATTAATGATTAAATTTTTTATAGAATGACTCTTTGAGGAACGAACTTGCAGTCAATGTTCAAAAATGTGGTCAATTAGAGCTAGAAGTGACAAGACTAAGTGAAGAATTAAATTCGATGACAACAATGAAACAAGAGGTTGAAATACGTTTGACAAAAAAAGTAGAAGAGCTTGAAAAACTTTTATCAGAAGTAAGTTCTTTTAAATTATCACATAAAAATTTTTATGTATTAACAAAGAAACTATGTAAAAATTAATAAATTATCTACAGATAACAAAGCAACAAAAGACCCTTAAGATCCAATTAAAGAGTAAAGAGATGGAAATTAAAGATCTATCTGAAGTTGTAAAAAAATCAGACATCAACAGTATTGATCTTAACAAACTGTCAAATGTATCTCAAATGAAGGCTGAGATTAATCAACTTAAAGAAGAAAGAGATGATTTGAAAATAAAGTTGACTGAAATTGAAGGAGCTCATAATTTGCTAGAAGGTAAGTCATTAAATTATTAAAAACTATTTGGCCAAATATACCTATAGAATATCATTATTTTAATAAATAATATTTTTCAGAACATTCGAGATCTATAAATAAAGAAATAGAGTCATTGACTGATCAAGTTAAGATGGCAATCAAAGAGAAGAATGAAGCAGAAACACGTCTCGAAGTACTCACTAAATTTTTCCAAGAAAAGGAAACCGAGCGTCAGAAAGAAGAAAATTTGTGGCTGCAAAAACAAGGAGAAGTTTCAACAACGGTTGAAAAAATGCAAATCATGCAAAGTGAAATACAAAACTATAAGTACATATCATTCATTTACATTGAGCACTTAAGTATCGAATCATATATATATATAGTTTAGAATAATTTATTTATTATTTGACTTGTAGGCAACAAATTGAAACACTGAAACGTGAAATTTTTGACCAAGAAAAAGAATACAAGACTCAAATAGCTGCTCTAGAGGCTAAAGCTCATGAACAATGGGTTTGTATTAATTATTTTAACAAATCATCGATCTATTTTTGAAAATAATGATAATATTTAATTAATTAATTATTCAAGGTTCGTGCTCGTCAAAGTGAACGTCGTTTAGAAGAATCGAAAGCTGAATCTGGCCAATTACGAAACCGACTTACATTAATGGAGAAGAATCTAAGTGATAATGAATCAGAGGCAAAAACACACCGTAAGTATAATTTCTATTAATTATTCAATCAATAAGTTTTATTCAAGAAATTAGCAATTCATATATATGGATTATGCGTGAATTCGTATATTTTAAAACTGATTCAATACATGACGATCACTTAATGATACAATTGTTTTGTCGTGTCATGTATTATTAAAATAATTGTCAAACAGGCTTGGAATCGAATGGAGAGACAGCAACGTCGCCACAATTATTCCTAGGGGCAGAAACATCAAGTTCTCCACTAATGTTTACGGGTACATCGAGTATTCCACCACCTCCTTACCTGTATGGACCACCCTTGCCACCATTTTTATCTTCACACTTGCCCACATTACCAGGATATGATGTGGGACAACGACCTCCACCACTTGGTCGATTATCATCACCGCCTCCTATTCCAATTACTGCTCCAGGACCTTTGCCACCTCCTCCACCTCTTCATACTTCATCAAATAGTCGATACGATCATTCTGGATCATCGCCATCACCTCCAATATCGCCATCACTTATTCCTCATCCTCATGGACCTTACAGATCAAATGCACCACCCCCACCACCAATACCTCCGTTTTCTAATGATAGAATTCCTCCAGTTCCTTTACCTGGGATGTTACCACCTCCACATTTACCCAATACTTCTTGGGGGGAAGATAAATTGTCTTCACGTAACAATGGCAGTTTTCATCCCTTTCAACGAGATCAGCATCCGCGTGAATATAAAGGTTTGTGTAATCATCAAAATAAACTGCAATCAACCAATTATGATCACCAGGGAACCTATTCATAAAAATTAGCATGAGGTTTTCACTTTTCAAGCTTGAAAAAAAATTATTTTCTGAATTTCATATTTTTCTCGTACTTTTTATTAATTTACTCACTTTTATTTCTTTATTACTGTTCTGTTATTTATTCGCTGCATGTAAGGACGCAAACGTTTTTCTAAAGTCAGGCAGTTTTGGAGTACCATGGAAGGAAATAACACCAATCATGCTAACTCCATTATTAATTTAAATAACAACAATATATAGTTGATTGTCAGGTTAATAATTTTGCTTATTTTATTCACACTCATTTGTTGAGGCTTAATTTTTAATATAGTTTTATAATTAATACGTTTATGCATACAACTAAAAAATTTTACTAACATAAACAGCCTAGCTATCATTTCATCACAGTTTAATATTAATGATTTAATATTAATCAAATAATAATGTTCTTTTTAATCTTATAGGTTCCTTAGATATATCGGAAGAATCTGTGGATAGGTCGCGTCGAAGTGGAAAATTGTAAAAATTTACATTTCTGTATAAATTCCATTAGATAGAGAATGAATTGAAATATTTACGATGTAAAAGAGCAACGAGTGTGGGAGATATGTGAGTCTTCGAATAAAATTACGCTAAATTATATAAATTAAAATAAACATTAAATGCATTACTTTTTGGGAAATAATTTAATCAAATACGAGTGATTACAGCGTAATTATTCTAATGGGTAAAAATAAGACGATATTGTATGTGAAAATAGGATGATTATATTCAATTGAAATAAATAAAACAAATGGTTATTGTTATTTGGTGATTTAACATCACTGATTTCATAAAAATAGAGTACCCATTGTTATATATACTATTGATATTTCAATTTTGTAATTATGTATTTTAGAAAAATTAGACATAAGGAATGCAATAAATGTATATTTATACAGTATTTATAATATCAATTGCATCGTATAGCATATGATATTAATAAATTGCCACCAAATTTTTAACAGTCAATTACTCATTCCATTACTGTAAAATCATTAACTATGCCAGAAAGACAACAAAGAAGATAAAGAAAAATATAAGAACTCCGAATATTTTTATCATCAACCATCTGTTATTTGTAACTGATTGGAAATACTTGAGAATTTCGGTATGAGCTGCTTCTACATTCAATTCCGTATCAGCAACATTTGTGTCTATCCTAAAGATAAAAATGGATTAGTTTATTTTCAACGAAAATGTTAAAATACCACTTTTGAAGCCAACCTTTCAACCATTTCTTCTTGTTCTTTAACCATGTATGCTAATTGCTGAAATATTCCTCCGAGTTCTATAATTGTTGATTCAATATTTTGCATTGTTTCTGCTCTTGATGAGACATATTGATCCTAAGAAATATAAAAACGCATAATCATTATTCATAGTTAATGAATGATGGTAGTTAATAAAGAATGCTCACTGTATCATCACGCATATATTTCTCCATTTGTGTTTGCTGATGCATCGATGGTTCTAAGTTTATACTAACAGAATTATCTTGTTCTTCTAACAATAAAGAGCTTTGTTGTCCACCTGACATTGCACTCGGAGGCATTTTAGTGGTTACTCGACCTTGTGTAAATTGTTGCCTCCGATGTTGCTCTTCTTTCATGTTCTAATTAAAAACCAAAATTACCTCTTATGCAGAAAAAACTATTTTTTATAGTTATATTTGAACTTACTTCAGTACGAACTTCTAAAACGCTTTTGAAATGATTGGACATATTGGCAAGTTTGGATTGTAACGCAACTACTACTGATGAAGAGTGTGAAGCTATGTGACGACTCTTTGGTGATGTTTCTCTTTGAGCCTTCCCTAATTCTTGCAACTGTCCTATTTGTTTATTCAAACTACTTAAATCCGTCTTAATAATATGAGTTAATTCATCTATTTCAACCTGCCTGTCGTCGAATATCGACTTCTTTTTTGCCACTACAAAGTATCATATAAATATTTCAAAATTAAAATCACAAAAACATCTAAAATATTTTAAATATTATGGCATCTTACATATTGCAAGTTTTTCTAGCTTGGTATATGTACTGGCAATATTTTTTCCTATATTTTTGGCAATCGTCATAAAGTCTTTGTAACTTTGGAAACTCCTAGCTTGGGAAGGACTTTTGCCAACAGCTTTGATGGCAGTCCTACCCTGCATGGTTTTCACAGCATTGGAAAATTCTTGACTTCTATCTCTGGACGTCATGACGATTGGGGGTATAAAGTAATCAGTATCTTCGTTATTCGATTGCCAATTATCTATTCTCCCATTATTGTTCTGTCCACCAAATGTAGAATTGACCGTATGATAATTGTTTACAACAGTAGTCGAAAAGTCATTATCTAGGTCTGAATTGACACGCCGCCTTCTTGCGGACATTGCATTCTCAGTAACCTAAAAATAAATGAATTGCTTTAATTAAATTGCCAAAAATCATTAATGCAATAAATTATTGAATTACATTGAGAAATAGAAAAGTGACAGATGAAAATCATTAACATATGATACTTGTTATTAATATGATGAATAAAAATGGTGAAACAAAATAGAGATAGGTTAGTCGAAACATAAGCTTGTTGACAGTAAATTCTGTCAATTACTTGCAAATACAGTGAGCACCAGTCACTGGATAATCAAACCAGGTCAAGTTCTGTCATTCACACAGCTGATGTCAGCTGGTAGTCGCCATGATGCTATCGCCATTGTTCGCCATGACAGTTTTACAACTCTGCCACGTGCCATATTGCTGACGTGGCGCTGCTCAATGTTTTTTTATGCAACATAAAACAGAATTCTCATGAAATTTCGATTGTTGCGCTCTCAGGTAGCCGTCATAAGTATCAAAATACATAAACATAATCATGGAATAAAGAGAGTTTTCGCGTGAAACACCGGTGTTTTCCCGCGGATTTTATTTCAGAACTTGTATTAACGGCAATTTGCTTTTATTATAAATTTATTAATGTTAAAAATGTATTATTTATGATGAATTAGCTTTATATACGTTTAAAAAGATACAATATTATACAAAATTTACAGTTTATTCTTTATTACCGAATAAAATTAGAAACATTTTTACAGATTGTGAAAAAGGTTATGTGAAAGGCATAATTAAAGACACTCTTGTGAATATAATATTAATTAAAAGCCTTAAAATCTATAGAAATTACTAGTAGTATATATAATGGATATTTCGAAAGAAAAAGATGATTGTGCTGTGTCCCAAGCAACCCCATCGAAACAAAAAAAATTAAAGCAAGGTATTAATTAAAATTCAGTCGTATCTATCTCGACAATGCATGTTTACTAATATTTTCACTTTAGAGTTATATTTAAATTTATGTTGTCTATGATATTTTTTACATTATTTTCTAGCTCTATTACCATTTCATACATTGAGTCCATCAGATCCTGAAAATTTAAAAAACAAAAAAAGAAAATTGTCATCTTCATCTCCAAGTGGATGTAAGAGTGAGAAAATATCAAAATTAGAAAAAAAAGAAAATTTACAGAACATATCAATTAATAAAGAAACAACGGATGAGTCGAAGGAAAATGAGAAAGATCAAGATGATTCTAAAGAAAGCGATGATGAAAGTAAAGAAAGAAAAAGTGAGGAAAAAAGTGTCATGAAACCTGATGCTTTATTGAAGTATATCAAAAGAACTTCACCTTCTGGAACTCTTTTAAAACAGTTTAATCTCGACAAAAATGTACCGGTTCTTATTATAAATAGATGTGATGATGATATTCGAAAAAGTCAAGATAGTTCTAGTCAAAATCATGCATTGAACAATTCTGTTGATTCAACTAACACTTACGCTAAGGATTCAATGATCGAGACAACTGGATTGAATGATAAAACTTTGTTAGGAAGTAAAGACATAGATGTGAGGGATAGTGGTAGAGGATCTTCAGAATCATGTAAAATTGATAATACAGATACAGAAACTGAGTCTTCCTCGTCTGAAGATGAAGATGATGATGATGATAATGATAATGATAATGATAGTAAGAAATCTAACGATGATCTAGATGAAGTGTCTGGCAAAGAAAATGGCAACAATAGTAGTCTCGAAAAAACTCCGAAATCTAGCAAAAATGCAGAAAAAAAAAATAATATAGTAAGAAGATTAACACCTAAACAACTTGAGAAACGAATGGAAAGTGAGAAGAAGAAAGAAGAAAGAAAAAAATTAAAAGAGGAACGAGAAAAACAACGAATAGAAGAAAGAAAGGAGCGGAGAGCGAAGAAAGAAGCTGAAAGAGAACAGAAGAGAAAAGAGAAAGAAGAGAAAAAATTAAAGAAACAAATGGAAATTGAACAAAAGCAAGAGGAAAAAGAACGAAAAGAAAAAGCTAAGGAAGAAGAAAGATTGGAAGCTGAGCGTAAAAAACAAAAGGCTGCCTCAACATTTATAAGCTTTTTCGTGCCAAAAAATCAAGAAGTAAAATCAGCAGTTGAAGAAAAAAATATTTCAGCCTGTAATTTTATGCCATTTGAAATAAAAGCCGACATGAAGATGGCTCCTTGTCGGAGAACGTTCAGTAATGATGAAAAAATTACTTTTGAAGATCTGTTCTCCAAAAATAATGAGGAAATTGGAAAATTGTATATTGCAGAGTTAAAAAATGATAAAAGTAAAATTCGTCGATCTGCAAAAACGTGGCCACTTGAAGCGAAAGATGATGAAGTGAAAGATGAGGTGACAATTATAGGTATATTAATATTTTTATTTTTATTCAATATAAATAATCTTTTTTATTATTCAATATATGATTTAATTTCAAAGGTGACGATGTCATGGATGAAAATGTAGATCAACCGAGTTCTGTATTACCAAGGCATCGACCTAAACTACTTTCCTTTAGTGAAAATCGTCGACCACCGTATTGGGGTACTTGGAGAAAGAAAAGTAAAATTGTCAATCCTCGTCGGCCATTTGCTAAGGATTCGGTAAGTAAATTAATCTGCATAATATATTTTTAAAATTTTATTATTATCTTTTATTACTTATCAAATGCTTCAGTAGTCAAAAAAAAGTTCTTAGTATTAATATAACTGCCAAACATTCAGGTAAATAAATTGTTAATATTTTAGTTATCTTTAAATTAATTTTGAATCATTAGATATTTTACCATTATCAAATCAGCTGTCTTAATAGTTGCAATTTAGTCATTAAATTTTATAATTTTTTATCATTGACAAACATTATTATTAATTCATTTATTTAGCTCTTAAGTAATTGTCTTTATAGTTGCAATTCAACCGAAACATTGACAATCTTTAAATAACTTAATCTACGATAGACATAAAAAATATTTATCTTATTATTTGTAATCTATTGATAGTTGTTTCTATTGATTCTTGATTCATTGATACTGTGGAGATGTTGGCACATTTCTTTGGTAAATTCCTTCAAAATTCCCATTGAACTCATTGATACATTATCATTTTGGAGTGATATTCTTAAACTTTGGTTGGAACAACATTCATCTTTCCTCGAAATCCTCGACCATTAGGGAAAATGGAATAAGCATTTTTTCTGTGGACTTTCCGATGTTTAGCCAAATGATCACTCCTTGCAAATCTTTTGGAGCACAGCTCACATGGATAAGGTTTTACTCCGGAGTGAGATCTCCGATGCCTTGCTAGTTCATCAGATCGGCTGAAACGCCAATCACATCCAGACCAAGTGCAGACAAATGGTTTTTCTCCAGTGTGTCGTCGAAGATGAGCCTTTAAGTGCGATGCTTTTGCATAAACCTAAAATTTAAAATTAATGTTTTAGTCATATTTTTTTTTTAATTGGTCAGAAAATATAGATAAACTTACTTTTAAACATCCCTGATAGGTACATGGAAAACAGCGATCATCAGGGCTACCTTCTAAGCTACGATTAGTATAATCATGAGTTGCTAGAGCTGCATTAGCTGGTGATGAAAAGAGTAGGTTCTCTTCCAAAGTATTATTATTAAAATCCACACTAGAATTATTTTCCAACGATCTCAGATCGATTCCTAGGACTAAAAGTGGTTCATCATGTTGAAAATTTTGCTGCTGTTCTTGTTGAACTTTAGGGAGAGGTAAATGAAGGAATCGTTCACATCCTGGCGTACAGAGCGGTGTTCTTTCAGGTAAACCAGAATTCCAGGTCTTATCTAGACACCAGTCAAACTCAGTGTCTAATTCATTGAGTTCATTTGTACGTGGAGATGATTGTGAGAAGTTTGCTGAAGTCCAATCACTCCAAGAAACTTCCGGGGAACAAGTCAAATCAGTATAGCATTCCAATGAGTTCGTAGTGTTTGTTGGATTTTCTATCAAATCCGAGTTTTCATGAAAGTTTATTCTACATGGTGTTTCATAATCATATGGTAGTGAACTTGTTGATGTAGGAGAAATTTCATTTAAACCGTTTTCCTCCATTTTCAAACCCAACGCTGAGAACAAAAGCTCCTCTGTCATTTCCTAAAATATTCATTTTAAAAATAATATTATCATTACTTGTATTTATGAAAAGAACGCGTTATTACATGAACATTTAATAATAATTATTAATGTCAAAAAGTGAAGTAAAGCTAAAAAAAAAAATAAAAATATTTTAATATATACTTTTTATCACTAAATTACTTTCAGGAATTGATATGATATTTATCCCATCAACTTGTTAAAATATCGTAAACTATATTATACTAAAATCAATCAGTTTTTCTTTAAAAAGAAATAGAAATTGAATTATGAGCTACATTCTTTGATGATAATCTTTCTCTGACTGTTCGAGCATGCATTACACCTCTTGGCGCACCTCAGAGATCCTTATCTGTCTCCCTCTCCCTCCCTTAATGCAATTTCAATTTCTCCCGGACGTTTCAATCAGGTATGTTGACAAGGCACGCTAAACAAAAACATCAGAGGGTTACACGCGACTGTGATGTACTCTCCGGAGAGTTTTTCTATCAAATACATGTCTCTGTCTGCAGAGTCATCGTACCACATGTTTCCTTGTTCAATATAACTTGGGGCGACACGTCGGCTTGATAGATGTCGAAGAGTATATAAGAATAGTAAATTGTTTCATGTTATAGAGCTTTATTCATGCTGCTATCTCATCACTAAGATGACCTCTGTGTGCTTTTTTAATAATAATGTTTTTCTTAACACGATGAGAACAACCATAAATCATTTATTAAGCAAATTATGATTAGATAAATCGATTTATCGATTCGTTTATCGAATGAATTATGCTAATCGCTTTCATTACTTCTGTTAATTATAATCCCTGACCTTCGGTCACATGTACTCACATCGAGCATTGCCGCGTCCTCAATCATCTCTTCTAAATTGATGTTTACCAACGTCAATAAATTATACAACAAAAAAGTTGTTTTTCACTTAGCAATTTTTTACTCAATTAAAGTAATTGACTTTTTAAAATATGAAAATAAAATAGCTGGATATATTGCTTTAAAATTACAAGTCTAGCTGATAATCCATGTCAGAACTCAAGATTCATGATAGAGCAACGATATGTACGGTTGACACTCCGGAACTGATTGAGAGAATGAAGCAAACTTTTAAAAGAAGGTGGAGCGTTAAAGAGTAATGAGATAGGAGTCCCTCCACTTTTGGTTTGGAAACCAACGCGTATGAGAAACGAATTCGAACTGACCAACGAGGAGAGAAAAAGAGAACGACATAACTAGCTTGGTACGACGTCGCGACGAGGTTTTTGAGATATCAGGTCTGTGCCACTCGGCGACGGCTCCGAGATTGTTCCCCAGGGATCTATTGATTCACGTGGCTCTTCCAGACGCCTAGATCATTGTCGTGATCTACGTTTGAGCAGCAACGATTGGACGGTAAGTTTTTTTATTGATATCAAATTGCTTATTTATTACATCGATTTTTTTTTATGTCTAGGTAATCTGAAAATGTTTAATTAATCGACCCACAAGGATTGATAAGGACTCAAGCTTAAAAAGATATTAACGAAAATCTTTGCTCAATTATCAACGAAAAATCAACAAGAAAAATATGAATTGTTTACTTGAAACTCGAAAATCATTGACAAATAATGATAATAACATAATTTCCGTATTAGATTTCTAAGCAAAATAAGTATTCAATACTTTGAAGAATACTTGAAGCAAGTTCTTTTAGAAAAGTTATCAAAAAAATTAACTGTCTTTAAAAGATTGTATTCTTTATGAAAGCTTATGAAAAATCAGAAATCATAATGAAGGATAAAATCATTAAACGTTTTATATTCTTCGACAGTGTATTTTTAACGATAAAGAAGAATACCAGAAAGTTTACCTACTTAAATGAATGCCTGGTAAAGAATGTAATGATCTTGGCATCAAATCAATTACTAATGGCTGTTGTGGGTATACAAGCCTGCGGTGAAGACGAAGAAGGAGTAGAGATGAAGACTATAAAAGATACCATGACCTCACACAATGCATTGAACGTTGAACTCATCAGCATGAGTAGCAACATCTTGAAATAATCGAAATACAATAGACAGGATTGCACGATATTTCGGCACGTGAATTGCGTGAGTACTCTTCAGCATTCTTGCACTCATATTTGGTGAAAGATATAGATTATAGAGAGCAAACAAGCATCAAGCCTGTTATATTGAATAACGGAATTTCCCATTTGTGGATTCAAGATTTTGTGGTTTTTATCTGCTTTTACGTGTGGAAAAAATAACAGGTCAGTTTACGTCATACGTCAGCCAAAGAAAATAATTTACGTCACGTTGGACCATTATCTTGCTATTCCCTGGAGAGTTGACTTATATTTTTAGTAAAATTTCAACTGATCGCGTTTGAGTTAGAAGTCACTTACTGCTTATCTAACTGCATTATCAACACATCAACGACATGCAATTTTTCGTTTCGTCAAAAAAAATTACTGAAATGTAATTTAGATCTGACAATACGATTGAACAATGCAAAATAGTTTGTATAATAATTGAAAGTCTTTAAAAAGTAGATATAAATAATTATTTATCACATTTCTGTGACTCATTTACATCTCATACTGTGTTTTAAGATATCATGATGTCCTTGATTATATATCCGTGAGACCCACGTGCATCTTTTGCATTCGCTTCAGGCTTTTATCAGGCTCATGGTGTGGCATCATCAAGCAATGAACACAACACACTCGATTATCGATTGATCGTATTTCTCTTTCTATATAGATAGATACATGATTGATTTTATGCTACAGCTCTTTCTGACTCAGAAGCATCACTTTCATAAATAAAGAATAGTCAAAGTTATTTTTTCTTTATTAACAAACGACAAATCATCATTTCGCAAAGCATCAAGAGAACAAATATAATCACCGATATTAATAATAAGAGACGTGTGATTGATTTTATTGAATTTATTTATGCTTTAACCGTAAGTTAATCATTCATATTTAGTCAAGAAATTTACTGTTAATTTATATGTAAGGTTCTTATGGTAAAAACAATCCATATTATTTTAATTATAAGGAAAAAATTGCTTACATATCATTTTAGTTGCTTTTTTTTAATTAACATTCTTTTTTTTCTGATAATCATCAGTAGGCGGAACTGTATTTTGTAACTGTCCCTGTAGCTATTAGATCGTTATGCCCTGCACGTAATAAAGTCTCAGGACACGCACACGAGTATCGCAATTGAGGATAAATCAGTTCTGGCCGATTAGCCCAAGTTTAATCTTGCGTGCGTTTTACTGACTGTAATCTCAATGGGGCATAAAACAGACCATTACAGATGGCCCAGTGGGTGACAACACACCATTAATAATTTTCATCATCACCTCCACGCGATAATAATTTCCATGATTTTCTACAGATTAGTAAAGACTGTTTTTCTTCACATGTTAAGTCATTATTCATTTATGTCTGTTTTCTGAGTTATTTATATGAGTTTGTGCTGTTAACATATAAAGTTGTAAGTGTAGAGTGCGAGAAAGAATCCTGCTAGCATGCGAGATAAGATAACTTTCGAGAGGCAGTCGGGAAGTTGTGGGCTGTGCGCTTGTGCGTCAATAGGGTGACAAACTTAATTAATTAATGTTTAAAAATATCTGGAGATACAGTAATAATTACAGTTATTGTTTTTATCCAAAGTAATTTGTTTTATGACATACATTTGTAAGATTTGAGTCGGCAATAAATAATTCTATTCGGTATATAGAAAATTTATTAACAATTAAAAAACTATTGATCATAAATTAAATGAAATCAATTTATCAAAGAACTGATTTATTTAAAAAAAATTGTGATTTATTAAGAAATAATTTTTAAATTTATTTTTATTAATAAAAAAAATGTGGAAATTTCGAATGAAATCTCTGTTGGTAGTAATGAATATCTCAATAACAAATACCACTACTAAAATTAAATGCCAGAGAGAGAATTAATTTTATTTCGCCTACATAATCTCATAATTAGATAAATTTACCGTAAAGTTATTTTTACAATGCATTGATAATAAATGTATATTGATATCAGTGCTATTAATAATGTATCACAATTATGAAAATAATGTTAAAAGCCACCATCAAATGATAGAAATAATGATGAATTGGATCAATTTAAATAAGCAGCAAATCTGTTTAATTGAGCATAATATAATACACGAAATTCATTGATAATCAATTATAATAATTCATCTTCTCTTTATTGGCAAATAGTAAATATTTATCAACTTGAAAGGACAATTGTAATATTAAAGGTAAATTAATAATAAATTTATGACAGTACTTACATGAGTATTGCTGCCAATAGTTGCTCTCATGTTATTATTTCTGTACGTTACTTTTATCCAAACAGTTTAGGAAATTGCGTGACGCAGCGGGTCACACATAGATCGATCAAAAGATTGTGGGCTTCTCGCCCGATAATAAATTAATACTCTGGCGAACGTCTCGTAATTGATGCTCGCTCGCCGTTGAAATCGACGTTGATTCATGAGACAAAAAGACCTAGATTATGTGCCGTTGATTTGTAGATAAAATTTTCCTCAGGATTAAATTTTTTTTTATCATTGAGATTTAAACATAGTGTATAAAATATTTGTATTTTAATGTTTTTCTTTTTGATAATTGTATTGTAATTTTGATTAAAGTATAATACTTTGTTGTGAAAATTTATAGGATGTACATCGATCTTATATTCCGTTTAAAAAGAAGAAAAAAGATTCAGGGTCGGCAAGCACATCAATTTCACTATAATGAATTATCTTGAGTCGCGAGGTGTGAGAATAACGTCTGAGAATAATCACGAGTCGCACATCGGCGTCAAATCTTAACCACGATGAGGTTCGATGGGTCGCGACCCAAGCTAGAGTTCTCTTGTGACTAATGGTAGAAGAATGGTATGGATAATCTACGCAATGCTTGTTCGTAGACCTTAGAATATCACCCGAGTTCAGGAAGTGCCGCTTGATACCAACGTCCGGTTTATTCATAGTTATATAGCACTGAAACCGATGATTTTATGGAAACATTTTTCAACATTTAAAAAATATTCTTTCATGGATTTAAACATTTTTGTATATCATAAAAAAATTGTTCATACAAATCGATAGTTGCTTTAAGATTAAATTATAAAATAATTTTATAAAAAATTTTATAAACAATGCTAATGATTGCACGCAATTTGTTTCAGCAATATTTTGACTATGAAGTTGATTCTGATGAAGAGTGGGAAGAAGAAGAGCCTGGAGAGTCACTACATGGTTCAGATGATGAAAAGGATAAAGAGGAAGATGGTACTGATGACTATGTTGTGGATAACGAATTCATGGTTCCCCATGGATATTTGTCAGATGAAGAAATTAGCGAAAGTGTGGTAAGTATCAACTAGCACTGTAAAATATCTTAAAATACAATATAAACTAATGCAAACAATTTCACAGTCTCCAGAGACTCAGAAATGCAAGCTACAAATTCTGAAAGAACAATTTGAGGCAGAGATGAAAGAAAAGACGTCAAAAGTTAAGCCACAAATCATTGGTATGATATGGCAAGGTCCTCTCAATTCTTATCCAGAAGAAAGTAAGTATTCTATAATTTTTTCAATATGTTCAAGTAATTAATTATAATAAACAATATTTTTTTAGTGAATCCAAGTGTCCTTAATTTCTTGAAAATGCGGCAAGTTTGGATTAAAGAAACTCCAATAATTTTGGAAGCCTTAGCTAATTCTAATTCATCGAATACCGAAGCACCATCAAGTGCGAAGAAAGATAAAGAAAAAACCCCAGGACCTAAAAAAATGAGATGTCCAGATGAAGCAGTGCCTGACTTGATTCGTTTGTTACATGGAAATACTAACGGTCGATCATTCCTTATTAAAGAATTTATGACGTACTGGGAGCGAAAGCATCCCGCGGAAGAGCAAAAATTAACTCAAATTAGTGTTGGGAAAAAAATTCGAGAACTTGCAACACGCATGTTATGCCCAGAAAAGGGTCCAATGTATTTAAAAAGATGTTGGATGGTATCTGAAGAAATTCGTAAAAAATATGGAGTGGAAGAATTGACTTTACCTAACAAGTGGTTATACGAGTTAACACCTATGAGAAAAAGCAAAGTAACTGAAACAGCAGAGCCTGCTGAAAAAATAGAAAAAGAAGTCGATCGTGAAAAGGAGAAAGATCAGAAAAATAAAGAAAAAGAAAAGAAGACCACACCATTGATTACGCAGTTTACAAAGAAAATTACCCAGGAAGAGATGAAGAAGCAGTTGTCAGTGAAATCTGTTCCTCCTCTGACACCAAAGCCTTCAGTTATTCCAAATAAACCAGGTAAGAGAGTGGCTCTGATTTCTGTTCCAAGGGGTGGGCAATTCCCCAAATCTTCTACTATCAGCATATCTTCGAAAGTGTCACAGGAGACCCCAAATCTAGAACGTCCGGGTAGCTCAAATTCACCAATTATGATTGATGATTTACCAGAAAGAAATACTCCAATATCACAACAAACTGATCATCACGTTTTGGAAACACAAGAAACATGTAATCTTAGTGGCGATAAAAATTCAGTTAAGGAAAATCAATCTACTGAATTAAATAATAAGCCAGACCAAATGGAACTGAAAGAAAATAAATAATTATTTCGAAAACGTACTTTAATAATGGTTTTAAAATGAAAAAAAAACATCAAAATTAAAAAAACTCCTCAATGCCGTGCAGTAGTTTTAACAAAACTTTGGAATCTTAACACATTGCGTGTGAGACTGCAATAGAATCGACAACTCTTCGTCTTTTGCCATTATAACATCGGTGGGAATCAATGCGATTATTATCGTACACGATAATCGAGTAATAAATCGAACCACGACGTTGCACGTATTCTCTCCCTTTCTCATGATTTTCTTGTTCTCTAACAATCTTTGAAGATTGATACATCGATATGGTTTTTCATCATAATTTTGACCATAATTTATTTATAAGACTTCAAAAAACAAAATAATATTTTTCAAAAAACTCGATTCGTAATAGATATAAATAACATATTTTTAGAAAATCTATATTAAGTATTATATATATGTGTATTCAAATTCATAATCATTCATTCAAAATGTTGCCGACTTAATAGATAAATTTTATAAATGGATTTTACAGTGCATACATACCTCCAAAAGCCTGAAATTGTTGTGATAATCGTTTTTGTACTATTATTTTTATTATTATTCAATGACAACTAGTAAGTGCCTTAACTGCCTTTTTATAGTTATATTGTAATAAATAATGGAAATAGGGATGTATGTGTATTTTCATGTTATTTGAAAGAGTGTAGGTATAAATGCAAAAAAGATGATATTTTTCTATATCGTTTGGATTATTCTTTTAAATACTCTATTACATTTGCGTACTTGCTTTATTTTTATGTCATACATATATTATTGTATTATACAATCGAATGATCAAACAACTGATTTTTTTTATTTTAAAAAATTGTTGAAATAGAATAGATGTCTCATCTATGACAATTGAAAATATCAAATTATATTAAGTATAAATTCTAGACTTTTTTTATTGAAATGTCTAATTTATCCATAATTAAATTACTTACTAATTGTAAGTTTTATGAAGGTGGTAATTGAATTGCAAAAGTAGGATTTATTTCCTAGGACCATAAAATGAAAAGATTAACTACTGATAAGTGCTGGTTCTATCTATGGTATTTAAAGTATGTTGAGCAATGTATATAATAAAAAAAACAATTGGTTGTTATAGATGAATCATTAAACTTTTTTATGTTTTGTTTACATATCTCAAGCTATTATATAACTAATCTGATAGGATATCCAATTAATAAAAGTTGAAAATTTATCTCAACTCATCAGTTGGAATATTTTCTTCTTGCACTTTTTTTACTCCAACAACAATGTGAAGAAAATTCCTGAATATCTCATATAAATGAAGGTCGTTGTACGATGCCTGAAGGCTGCTGACTATTCTGCTGTCTCAACTCTTCAAAGTAATTGCTACGCGACCCATTGCACTCAGTTGCATTTACTTTCACGAGACATTCTTCACGCTCAATGAGTCGTAAAAGATTGTCTAGGGCTGAGACTGCGTTATTTCGTTTCTCTTTGTAAATTGTAATCAAATAGACGGTTTACATGCATTCCAAGCTTCTGGGACCCCGTTAGATGAGGAACCATAGTCCAATTACACGAGTTGCAGTAGTAGCTGCAGTCTCTGGAACTTTTGCGGTCCATAGAGCTGCGAGGGAAGTAGAGGGTGAAGAGTAACGTGAAGAAGGGAAGTTGTAAGAAACAGTAGAAGGGGAAAGATGGAATGGTTTTGTTGCTCTAGTCTTGGTTGTCTCGACGTACGCTGGGTAAGGACCTGAAGAGTAGTAGCGTCGAGAGAGTGCTCAGGTACAAGAGAAGTAGAGTAGGTATACCAAGGAGGAGTTGAAGCTCAGTGCCTCTATGTACACTGACTCAAGCACACATTTATATATCTATTTACAGATGTACCTATATACTGAGAGAGAAAATGGTAGCCAATGGCGTTAGCTCAACGTCGCTGCTACAGTATTGAACGTCTCCTGTGCGCCGTCCAGATATTTCTCTCTCTACCTCAACTCCTCTTTTCTCCCTTTCCTCCTCCTCCTCAGTCTCTTTTCCCTTAGTCCTCACCCTTGTGACCTGACGATGTTTCTCTCCATCGCTCAGCTCTTTTGCTCTTTTACAATCTTTCGCTTCCTCATCTGCACTATTTATCGAGATGCTGTCAGCAAGAGAAAATAATTCCTCATCGTCTTCTGAAGATTTTATTTCTCATTTTATCTTTGTTATTATTATTTTATGATTTTTTTTAAACAATAAAAACTTATCAAAACTTGGCGAAATCGTATATAAATTCCGTAATACGTGCAGCTGCAGGATTTTATGCTAATCTCGCCTCCAAGCCTAACCCAAGCCCACGAGCATCACATGAAAAAGTTGCTCGTTACACAGGGTGCTTCCATAAATCTCTCCTTCCTAAGCTTAATCTGTCCGCTGACGTTGCCGCATGCTATTCTATATATATTTTTTTTATTTTTCATCTTTAAACATTATACTCCTCTTTCCGCCTACTCTTCGAACTTCTTCCTGTTAAAAAAACCGCCAGTCAGGACAGCAGGTGTATCCACCATATCCAAGGATTTTCATAATTTCCCATCTCCCACTACTGCCTCTGGTGAAATTTAAATTTTAAGCTTATCGCTTCAGTGCTATCCGATTGTTACCGTAGATGCTTTATTAGTTATGGTGTTTAAAAACTTAATCTTCAATCAAAAACCCTCTGAAATAATTTTTAATTTCCTAGCCAAAATATCAATACATCACCTGGACTAATGAACAGTTGATTTACTAATTCATTTTATTTTTTTATTCTCAGGTTCACCTTTGAAAATCTTTATCATGTAAATACACAGATAAGAATGACATGTTTTTGTGTCAGAAAAATTCTAGTAAAAATTTTGATGTTAAATAAATAACACTAACTAGTTTAAATAAGAGCATCAATAAATAGCAATTAAATAAATATTAATATTAAATTGTCAGCATTCTTGTAAAAAATTTACTCTAAATAATGGTTGGAATCAATACAAACTTATACATCTAATCTCTTTTACGTAGAATTCTCAACACAATATTGTATTAAATTAAAAACAAAAATTTGAATCGACCCTTTTAGATACACTAAATTTAATAAAAAATTGTTAACTGTGTGATGGTCATGAAGATGAGAGGAGGATTTTTAGCGTAAAAAAAATCAGCAAAAAGTTGGAGATGAAAGTTTGCATTTGGATCTCAACCGATCATCGTTCGCAGAACCAAAGGGGGGTCTTCGTGGGACTGAATGAAGAACAAGAGTGAAATGGGCGTGGGGAGGACAGACGAAGATAGAGGAGACGCATTAACTACGACGTTACCCGTGAGAACGAAACCTCGAGAATCTCGTAATACCGTGGCTGTTCGCGTGAAATCCGAAATGTAGATATTACTCGTAAGGGCTTCTCTTCACGGTCGCAAGGGACACATCTTTACTGTAGGATCTCTTCTGCACGCCATATCCGTGACACGCCATTGGTTCGGGTCTTCTCTCGTCTGGCTGTCTTGCTCTCTGTTGGAAATTGCGCTGAATCTCTGACTCCTGTCAGCGAAGATTGCACTGCGTGCGTGTATATACACGGAAGAAACCGCACATCAACGATATTTGTGTTGAAGTTGAAGGAGATACTTCAGGATCGAAGAAGAGGGGGTGTTGCACGAACTGCTGGCGTGAGAACCAGGTGGAGAGAGGAAAAAGAATCTGACCCGTAGATTTTTGTTGGCAGGACACGAAGAGAATTATTCTAGGAAGGCTGAATGTATATAATAAATAGCCTTGCAAGGTCGAGTTGAATCAACTGTTTTTCATTTATAAAGGTACCGTAGTTTATATTAATTATTCAACCCTCTAACTTTTCCCAACATTTTTTTTTTCAAATTAATTTTCATCCCTAAACAAATTAAAAACATTTTCCAAAAATTATTTATCAACATATTGAAGTTCAGGATGTCTAAAAACTTGAGTAAAATTTTGTTTTTAAAATTTTAGGCGAAAACTTTGTGAAAAATTGGATACCAGAGGTCATTCAACATCTAGGAATGATTGGAGGTTTTTAAAAAAATGAACAAACTCTTTACAAGGAAGTTAAAAATGAAAAAACTTGGCAGAAAGTATGAGATTTATTTTGATAAAGATGTCATTGGACGTCAATGAACATAATATGCAAGCTCAGAAGGAAGAGGAGTAAGAGCTTTCTTCAGACTACCCTGGAATATAAAATGCAGATGAAGCATGTGGGTTGGAATCGTGGAGGCTATTATGGAGATGGATCTTCCTTGGAATGAAGGCAGGGTGGTTTGAAGTGCTGTGGTCTTAGCTAAAAGGGAAAATCAGCGGAGAAAGGATGAATACCGTGTAGTCCGGTAGTAATAAATCACTCTCTTGTCGTCCTTGTGACGCAAGTATAAGCCTGTCGACCAGTGGCCAGCTCTACTACTTCCTTCCTTACGTCCTCTCACCCTCTCTCATCACGTCCAGAGAGACCTGGAGAATCGATAGTTGGGCGTGAGACGCTAGAAAAATATCAAATGTCCTTGTGGTTTAATATTTATTAATCCTTTTAAAATTTTACATTTCAAATATTCCTGAAATTTCTTCAGAGCTTTTGCATTGATTTTTATTCTGCTGAATTAATTTTTGCACTGTTTGGTATTTTAGAAATTGAGTCGAATGAGGATAAAGGGATGAATTTAAAAGGAAAGGGGATAGAAGAGATAGAGGAAGAGGTAGCTACGGATCGATGTGTCCCCGAGCTTGTCCAGTGCTCTGGGAACTAAGCGCTTGCGCTCTAGATATGTCCTCTTGTCCTCCCAACGTTGCTGATTCGTCGATTCACCCTACGACAAGTCCTCTGAGCTTGTCACCGACCTGATTCTCCCTTCTCTCGTTTCCTGTGTCACCAACCACCACTTGGAGACACTTGAACTCATTCAAGTTGACGCCCTCTTATCACTGGAAAAATTGCTGGATTTTTTTATACACTGGAAATTGATAATTCTAGTTTGATTAATGAGATAAAAAAAATTTAATCTAGGTCATTAAATCTTTTTGTTTAGTCATGGAAAACATTGTCTAACGATCTTTTCGATGCTAGTAGATCAAGTGCTCATGTAAACAGACATGGTAGAACGTGATCCACTGATGCATCGACAACTTCCAGCGCTGGTTCCTTCAGCATAAATTAAGTACGTTTTATTGACAGAGTAAAATTGAGAAAATAACGTGAAATTTTTTTGTAAAAAAAATTATTTGTTTAATTATAGAGAAATGTATGATGGAATGTAGAATTATAATGGAGATCTATGGTGTGTTCCTTGATGATTTTGGAGCTTAATTAGCAAGTGAAGAGGCTGTACAAATGAACTGACAGTATTTCTGCGTGCTCGAATGTCGGTGCTCCAAGGGGGACATCACGGCGACAGCGAGGATTGGTTGAGTGTGGGGACAGAGGCGTGGTTAGCCTCCATCGCGACTCTTGATAATTGGATGGCGTCGCGAAACACAACAAACATATATCATATAGCAAATGTAAAAACGTAATTTTTTTGCATAACAGTAAAAAAAAATTATCTGCAATAATTTCACAATTTCTTTAATCACTAGATGTGGAGAGAAACAGGCGTTGCAATAATCGTGTGAAATCTTTGCAGGATCTCGCGTGAGTTATCAGATGATGCCGCTAATTGTCGTCCGAATGACGTTGAAGAGGCCTCGGTGGGTGTTCGAGAGTAATAGCAAAGATAAAAAAGAAGGAATAAGTGACAAGCAGACGGCGAAGCGAAAATGTTAAAAGAGGGAGTTGGGAGGAGTTGAAAATACTCTCACGGCAAGTATGGGCTGTCGTGTTGTAGGATAATTGGGACACCGTGTATTATCGCTTGCGTGCCATACGCGGGGTGCAGTATGTGATTGGATAGGCGGAGATGGGTCGCGCGAGATAGCTGACCCTAACTAAGGTTGGAACCGGGAGGGTATATCTTCGAGGACCATCTTCTCCATCTGCAGCCAGCGTTACCTATCTACGTCATGCTTGATGCATGGCGTGGGCGTTCCTGCGTTCGTACCAGAGGTTCTCATTTAATTATAGTCTGTTGATGCCGCACGACCGGAGGTCTATCTCTCTCTCTCTTGTCTATACCTCTTTTTGCTGTGAAATCACGACATCAACATCTAGCCTACGCTAGTTTATTTACATGTGTATTTATCTCTGAATACATTTCCTTGACACTTTTTTGGCTTTAATTACACAGCTTGATTGAGACTCACTTGTCAGTCTAATGTTATAAAAGATTCAACCCAGGAAAAATAAAAATATAATCGAGCCCAGCTCATTAGAGAATAATTAATGACCAGATGAATATCCATTATAGGGTCCCACATTATACATGGCAAATAGAGATACCATTTTTTAATAACAATTTTTACTTTTTTGGTTTTTAGGTCTTTCTTTGAGATAATAAATGATGAATTAAATTCTTCATTCAATCATTGATGAAAATAAATTTTTGGCTTCCAAACATTCGACTAAATTTTTATACAATGATTGATTTTTTTAAAGAACTAGGGGGGAATTGAATGAAAAAAAAAAATATTCGACTACCTGAAATATAAAAAATAATTTTGCAAGTTTGGAGATCAGTAAACAATTATAATTCATATTTATACATTCGTGAAGCATATAATTAAAGTAAATAATAGATCTCATTCTGAAATGGCACGAATTTCGTGATCGACTAATTGACTAAATGTGAAAATATTCAAGGCAGAATTTCGACGAAACTCATTGTTAAACTGTTCGATCAGTAGCATAGGTTTCCGGTTTAGGGTGATTCTTGACACGCGGGCGTAAAAGACCTCAAGAAACACAGCTGGTCCTTGATTCCCAGTATACATCAGGAATAACAACAACTACTACTTGAGTAGTGAAAGACGCGATAGCTATCCCAGATCTATAGTTGCAACCGTAGTATATTATTATTTTTTATAGTGGTCTTGGGTGGAAGCCCAAGTAATTTGGCGTTTAGCGATATAAACGTTTGTCTGTGATCGCGGGACGCATCTATAATCTCCGGGCAATTCAGGACACATGCAACGTCGAAAACGCAGCTGCCGTGCTGAGAACTATTCCGTAGAATCATGAAGAAATAGAAGAAAACAAATTGAAGCAGCAGCAGCAGCAATAAAAGAAGAAGAAAATACCTTCTTTTTTAAATTTTATTTCATGCTTTTATTGGCTTTCTCTCTGGACCATGAATTTTTTTGGAGATGGAATTGCTTTTAATTTGCTGTCGATGGTATCAAATTAAATTCCAAGGGACACCTCTTTCGACCCCTATAAATCGACGGAGAGTAAGAAGGCAGAGGAGCAAGACACATAAGGTAATTGCATATGTGTTAGCTGTTATACATAGAGCTGGGGTCCATGTGTTCTTTTTGCTCTTGATGCTTCTCGTGATTACTGGGAGGCCGAGTTCTAAGTCGATGTCGGTTTCTCTTGGTCGTGGCGGTCCAGGCAATGAGGGATTGGATGAGAGCAAGAGCAGCAAGTTAAGATGAAGGGGGAGAAAAGAGAAGTTGGTGAGGGGGGCGCCATGAGAGAGCAGAGGTTACTTTTAATGTCTCGCGTCACGCAGCCTGAAGCGAAGACCGTGATGCCTCGCCTCGTCTTCTTACTAATTTGGCGCCAATTTCCAAGCAACTTCTCTGCAAAAACTAACCGAACCATATACCTCTATACTCCATACTCTCTGTAGTCTCTGATTAAATGCTACCACGCTCTTCTTTAGTTTCCCACACTCACCAAGACTGCACACGTGCATCATTTTAGAGACACCACTTATAAGAACCTGCATCAGAAACAATTATTTTATTTCATAGCAATGGCTTAATTAATTCTATAAATCAATAACTAGGTATCATCATCACCACTGTAATATCCACGTGTTCATGAAAATATTCATCTCTCAGCAGGCGTCACTTTATCGATGTCTGATTCTAAAGCGTAGACGAGAATAAAGGCCATAGGTGAGTATAGTCAACCACTTGCCGGTTTGTATCACACGAGCAAAGATAACATTTTTGATCAACCCTCTCACCACAAGACTCCCTGCTGCTTGACCTCATCATGCCACTCTATGGGGGTCTACATGAGCCACCATCAAGCGTCCCAAGTCCAATTGGCTTTTGTCTCACAAACAAACCAGTGATCCCGGCGCCCGCTGTCTTGATTGTTAAATACTTCTTGAGATCATATATCTATCATTCGTCTTCGTCTCCAATCTTGGAACATCAATAAAACATGAAGTTAGCCAATCCTTTCTCTCCCAACTTCATGTGACAACATGACGGACTGGAAGTCTTTCTGGATTAGAGGAGGAATAATATCCCAAGTTGCTTGGATTAATGACGAAATTATTGCATGGTGTTCTGGAATCTATATCGTTTTTTTCAACATCATTAATTGTACAGAAAATATTTTTACTTCATCTTCTTATGATGGCGCTTGCTGTATTGCTGGGAATCCAAAGGTTAGCGTTTTTGCTTTTGCTGAGAGATGTGAAAGGCCACGAATTTTAGTCTATTCTTATCCTCAATTAACGTTAATATCTGAGTGTTTGAAAGGAACGGAACATGCTTATTTAGCAGTAGAACTGACTTCTTCAGATTACCTGGTGTCATTAGACTCTCACCCGACATATTTGCTCATGATTTGGAATTGGAAGAATGGAGAGCAATTATTTGTTATAGAAACTCCTATTAATGATCTTCAAGGACAAATAATTAAAGTGGCTGACTGTAAAATGAAGTCGATTGCTCAGCTAGGAAAAGATTCAGGAAAATTAGTAGTATGGAAAATAATGAGTACTTCAACTATAACAATGTCTCAACAAGTAATTTCACTTCCAGCAAAAGCTATACCAGTTCACGTTGACTGGACAATAAAAAGTGGCGTACCTGAACTGGCTATCGTTGATAAACATGGTCATGTTTATCTTTTAAATAAAGAAGGTAGTGAAATAAAACGAATAATATTCTCTCAACGATGTGGAGTCTGCTTAGAGCACGAAATGCCAATTATTTGTTGGTTTCAAGGTGGAATCATTCTTAAAACGACTTTTTGCCAATTGAGATTTTACCAAAAAAGTGATGAAAATGTTTGGAAGAAAACACAATATGTAAAGTCAAATTTTAAACCTTACATCTTGTTTCCACATCCTTTCAATAAGAATCAATTATTTTACTGGACTACTGAAGGATCCTTGATGGAAATGGAATTATCTGATGGAACTAATGCTCTCAAAACTAAAGAGAAGTTTAACTACGGAGGAATTTATAACTTCGTGGATCTTGTCTACCCTTTAGGTCAGCATCTCGTCGTCATTGATTACTCTTTAGGCCTTTCCATTAGAGATGTGATGGATGGCAAGGAAATTAGTAAACTTAATATGGAAATGGAAGGTCAAGTTTCTAATCTAGTCTCTCATCCTGATTACCCAATCATAGCTATCATTACTACAAGTGGAGAATTACTTCTAATAAACGTCTTACCTGAAAACTTTTCTCCTTTTTTTAAATGTCGACTCCAAAATGAAAAATTGGATCTTCTTAAATTTTCTCAGTGTGGTAGACACCTAATCGTTGCCCAGAAATTATCCAACATATGTTATTGTATTATTTCTGATAGAAATTCATTCTCTAACATTTATCAAGTTGAAACAAGAATAAAGATCATTGATTTTGTTTTATTTGAAGAAAAAGGCATTCTACATCTATGTTTACTTGCTCTATCATCTCCTAAAGCATTAGTAGGTAATTATATAGTTATTTTCACACTTGTTCTAGGTGAAGCAAATTTTAAGAAGACTTGTGTCAAAATTTTACCTAGTTTTTATCAATGTATTGATTGTTTAGCAATAGATCCAGTAATTTTAGTTACTACTCCTTATTTATCAAGACAGATTCATTATTTCAGTATCGAAGTGGGCACCAAAATAAGTCTGATTAATGTTAAGAAAACAAATAATCAACTTAGAAGTTTGAAAATTAATACAAATCGATATTGTATTACTGTAAGTGGATATGATGGATTAATAACGGTTTTTGATGAAGAAGATTCTTCAAAACCGACATTTACTTTATCTTCACATCATAGAAAAGACTTCGGGACATCTAAAGCTATTTGTATTCCTTCAAAAGGTTTATTAATTTCCCTAGGAAAAAATGGTTCGATAATTTGTTTAATATCCGAAGTAAATAATCGAAAAAATTTAACCAAAGGTCATTATTCTGATGTGGATTTAAATATCTTCAATGACCTGCTAGGAGAATGTAAAATAATTCCACCAAGTAATGGAGAATCAAAGAAAAATTGGGTTGAATGGCAGAAAGAAGAGAAGTTGAAAAAAGAAGTAGTAGAATTTCGAGAAAAAAGGTTGAATATTAAAAATGACTTGGAAATCATTAAAAATAAAATAGGAAAATTGTTGGACGATAATGAAAATGCTCCTGAAGGAGTGAAATTACCAATATCAATTTTTGATTTAGCTAGATCTGCTAGAGAACAGAGAATAAGAATTACAAGAGAGACAAAGAAAGATTTACAATTAAAGTTAGAATTTGAATCTTCTGCAATGAATAAAGTATCTAATTGGATTAAAGTAAAATTTTGGAATTCGCAAAAAGTTTTAGATCAATCTTTATTTTCTATTCTGAGTGATACAGAAGTTACCAATTGTTCAGCAGCTGTTCAAGATCCACAAGAAGAACAAATGACTTCTTGGCTGGAGTATTACGAAAAGACTAAGAAAAGTAGGATAAGTATGAGTTCAGAGAAGTCTGGACATTTTTTATTAGTGAGAAATAAATATAATCCAAGTTGTCAAGATGAAAAATCAGTTATAGAGAGTCTGATGATTGATGATAAAGAATATGAAGATGAAGAAGAAAGAAAGGAGGAACAGCAAGCAAGTAGTGGTACAACGACTCATAAGTTTGTCAAACCACTCAGCCAATACTCTCAATACCAAGATTATTCTTTTCCTGAATTTATTTTTATGACTAAAAATATTTTTGCTGACATTGAACAATTAAGAAGTTATTTTAATGAAGCATTTTACCAAGTCCACCAAATGAAGCATAAGACAATGACTTTTATTATAGAAAAAAATGCTAAAATTCGTCAAATTGATTCTGAATTGACATTGATGTTCAATCAATCAGTTCCAGAATTATTTCCTGATCCTCAATGGCACCAGAGAGAACAGCCTGACTCTATACTTGAAGTATTAGACCATGAAATCGCTCAGAAAACTATGTCTTCATCACAGCAAGATTTTTCAGACAAGAAAAATGTCGAAGTAGAAAATATGCGGTTGTCTATGCTATCCACTGACTTTCGCGAAAAAGCATTAATGGAAATGATGGATGGTGTACTAGAAATGCGTTGGGTAGATGTTATTAAAAAAGATATTAACAAACCTTTGTGTATACTTACGAAGAAACCAGAAGAATACACTGCTGAAGACATTCTAGATATCAAACAGTACGAGCTAGAAGTACGAGCTTTGATGCAAGAAAGAGAGAAGTACAAGAGAATTCTTGAGAATGATTTTGAAAAAGTAATGAAAATAGTAAAAGAAGAAATTAATAAATTCAATTCTCATCTGCATGATTTGCTTGTAAAGAAGATGAAAGTTGAGTCTGCTATTCAACAATTAAATCTTTTGCGAGCACGAGAGTACATCAGAGTTGTTTGTAAAATGGAAATGGGAAGAAACATGCAAGAAATTGAAGAAAAAATTAGAAACAGAGAAAAAAGTATTGAAAATACTAATCAGTTAAATTACAGTCTTCAAAGATTGCTTCAAGATGTGAAAAATCAAAGAAAAATGTTAATTACAAAAGATAAATATATTTCTAAAAAGTTAATCGATGAATTGCGATCAATTGGAAAAAGCAATATAGAAATTTTAAAAAAAGAGTTCAAGAAAAGACCCAGAGTATCGTTAAAAAGTTTCACTGCTGGAGAATTGATTGAACTTGGGAAGTGTGTAATTGGATGTGGTAATATTGAATATTTATTTGATAACTTACTGAAGTATTTAAAATATCTTAATTCTTATGATATACAACCATCTGATTTGCCAGATTCAATTACTTCCTATTACTGGGATCGTTTTGTTGAAATCAGGAGAAGTAAAATAGATATCGAATTAAATTTGAGAGCTAATTTAAGTCAAATAAATGAAATTGAGGAGAGTATAAATGAAAATAAAATAAAAATAAGATGCTATAAGGAAGATGTTGGAAGTCTAGATGATCAATTAATTCAAGTAGAGAGAGATATTGTGGAATTTGAGTCTAATATTGAAATACAGTTGGTTTTGAAAATGGAACAAATAGAATCTAGTTTGAAAGGTCAGCTTGGAGAGACAGAAAACTTGATTTTCATTACTCGAGCAGATGTTGAGAAAATAAATGAAAAAATTATTGATGCTGGAGTTAAAAAATTAAAGGCCATGAAAAAAGAAATGAGTTATCATAAAGAAATCTTACTAAAAGAGTGGAGACATAAGTTCTTAAGAATGAAATTGGAAGACTATGGAAATGAATTACATGATGTTCAAAAACTTGTTGCCACTAAATACATTAGAGAGTATTTAGCAGCTGAAGCTTTAGGAAAGAAAGATTACTTGACCAATCAACAAATAGAGAAAAACCTTGCAGCAATGAGAGAAAATTTGAACAAAATTTACAGAAACTCTGCCAAGATGTTGGAGAATGTTGAAGGAAAAATCCAAGCAATAAAAAAAGAAAATAATCATCTGGACCAAGTGATAAGTCAGATGAGTTTGAAAATAAAAGAAATGGAATTGAAGAGAGATTTAGAAGGTGAAGAGCAGAAAAAGACATTTTTTAAAAAGAGATTCGAACTTGCTGTGAAGAGATCTAGACTTGTAAGAGACATTCAGAAAGAATACAGCGAAGTTTTAGCTTTGCAAGCTGAATATCAATCATTACTTATCAAGAGATATCCTCTCAAGTATTCATCATAATTTAATCAAACATAAAAATGAATCCATTATTATTGATAGAGTAAATAATTAATTTCCAGTAAATTAATGATGATTGCACGGTAAATCGATGCTCACTTATCTTGGAATAAACATCTATCTTGTCCAGTAAGAAACAGTCAGTTTATCAAATATTTCCCTCGCTGTACAGTCAACGCTAACTAATATATCCCAGGTTTTTATTAATTGACTGTACAATGAGTACATAGATGAAATTCTTTCATTTTTAACACTTGATATGTAATACTTTAATGAACATGGTTAACCCTGCAATCTCATCACAATCCTGAGACATTTAAATTCACACAGTAATGTAAAATAGGTAGAATGATCATGGAGTCTTTTAGATGAAAAGAAAAATAGTAAAAACGTTTTATCGAACATGGAAAATAGCCACAAAAGCATGCACTTCAATCAATGCAAATCAAATCGTAAACCGTGAATACGGAAAGCGCGCGTAGTCAAATCAGCCGTATAAAAGCTTCATGAATGTAAAGGATCGTTGAATAGTAACCACGAGAGCCAATCTGGTAATGCGTCGCGAACGGATAGAATTTAAATGCTATGATAAATATATATCTTTCAAATATATTTTGATTAGTGAATTAGTTTTTGAATTAGTAAAGGCAATTATTTATGCTAAATACTTCAACAAACAATGGAATTTATTCTAAAAGTCCAATCTATTTCTTACAAAGTTGCTATCAATAATCTTTGGTGGCTTTTTGTTCCAATCATTTGTTCAATAATATGTTGATGTATTTTTTGATGTTAATGAATAAAAAAATAATTTGATGTAAAAATGATTGTTTCTCTTGGAGTGGTGAACATTTATCTGATGTTTATTGCTCGTACGAGATTATGTTTTTATTTTGGTGAAGTCAGAAAAGAAAAAACGACATGATAATAGAGGGAAAGGGGTGAGTTTTTACGACTCGTGTCTGTCCATGGGATGACAGAGTGAAACTTGTTATTATCCCCGCGAGCTAACGTTCAACTTCTTAGTGTCTCGGGGGCGCCGCGAGGCCTTCAAGTATGTCTGTCCTTCCTCGTCTTTACCTACCTCTTGCGACCCCTTCTTGCTGATGTACAGACCACTTTCAGGCCATAAAGAGACAAAGGAACATTCTCGCGGCCGTGGAAGGCTGTAAACTCTCATTTTCGGAAAATAAAAAATTATACACTCACGCGACTGGTACGCTGTCAGGAGTTTATATGCCACTCAGCAGCTTTTACACCATGATTTTGAATCGTTAAAAAATTCAAGGACATTTGAATAATTTTCATTTTTTTTTTCTCGAAAAACATTTAAGAAATTTTTTTTCAGTATTGAGAATAAAAAAAATAACTTGTCTTGACGACTAACAGTACGATTGACCGCTGAAAGCTTGACACTTATCCCTTGTAAGCCGGACAGTGGTAGCATTACCATAGAAAGTGTATATATCGCAAGAGAATTACCTATGCGCGAGCCAAGAGTCAATATGTTGAGTGAAAAGGGATGAAACCGTCACCCTCTTTGCTTTTCGGCAGATTTCACTGAATGCGGTCGATGCTTGCTCATCGATGCGAGTGATAAAGGCCTCTAGTACATATGCTTCATTCTCTCTGTCTTCTTCTACTTATAGTTAATGCTGCGTGAAAATCATTTTCAATCTATCGATTGTTGGATGAAATTTTCTCATAAATAGTACCAGCAATCTTGTATGATATCTAAAAACTACTTTATTATTTATTACTGTTAAATTACATAGCCAGAAAACATTTCCAATGCTTACAATTTTCATGCTGCAAAAACATTTGTTTATTACATTCTTTTTTCTTATAATTGTGCTCAAATATACATTGCAAATCGTAATGTTTTAATTTAAAACACTTCCAAGTTTAACATTTGCAGTGTACTGATAACGCATTTCATAACTGGACCTTGATAAGCATTTTTGTGTTAAACATAAAAAATTAGAAACTAAATTAAAGATTCCATCATTTTTAAACATTGTAATTGATTGTTTCAGTGCATAAAACTTGATAGAATAGATTTTAAAAAATATTATTGTCTTTCTGACACTTGACACATGAAGGCTTCACAAGGCCTAGCTACTTGTGCTAATTCAGTATTACATGAGACAATGTTTTTCTTTGATAAACTTTATTTTATTATCTTCTATGAAAATTTGTTTCTCATTGGCTTCCTACTGGACTTCCTTGAAATAAATCAATGACTATTCCCGATTTTTCAGTGCCAAATTAATCACTGATTCATTTCAAAAGAGTGCATACTATAAATCTATATGATGTATTACCTTATTTCAGAACGACCTCCTATTGACAGTGATCACTGTTGGACCATTATTATTGTTAACTAAATGGACAAAACATTATAATATCTATAAATTTAAACATTTTTTAAAAATAGTTACACTACTATTCAGAATTAATTATCAGTATATTTTCTTGTAGCTTTAAAGTGATAAATGAACAAAAAGAAATCATCAGAAAAAATTTTCAACTGTATTGTCCAAGTCAATGACCAGAACTAATATTTTAATAATACACCAATGTTATTCTGAAGTCACATTTTTTTTTTTCATTTGTAAAATAAATGATTTTTAATAATGTTTCAATTATTTCTTCATCTACTCACATGTAATTTCTCCAATGAAAAAAGAAAAACAACCTTTCCTCGGAATTACTTTTAAAATTGATAAATTGTTGTTGCACAAAGCGCAAAGATGTCTCGTTAACAGCCAACGATTTTTTGATGGACACGAATATACTTATACAAGATCACAGACACGATCAACGAATTCTCGCCGCCTCGGTCGTTTACGATTACGAGACTAATCTCATTTTAATGATGGGTTGTTGAGCTCATGGGGCTGGCCGAATAATGAAGTGTCAAATCGACCGTAGGTGGGCGTCATCGTCATCGTTGTCATGCTTTTGGCTTGGCTGTTGGTCATCCTTAGGCTTTTACACTCATAATATATTCAACCGGCGAATTTTTAATTAGCAGCAGGAGGATCTCGACCGTTACCACTCGACCTAGTCCCACTATTATTATCGTCCAACGTCTTCCCAAAGTATCTTTTCAGCCATTCGATTCTTCCAATGATTAATCGGCGCCGGCGTCTATGTCTTGCCGGAAAGTGTTTTTTTTTTGTATCACAATCAAGGAACATGTTTCTCAAATGTACATAAAAAAATTACTTTTGTTCAAGTCCACCTAATAGACACTTTTATGCATCATCCTATTGTTTGAAGAATAAAATCTAATTATTCATAAATTTTTAATTCCATCAACACTTCAATTATATATTTATGGGTATGAATGTTTGTAAATATTAATGTTGATCATATTGAGACTGTCAGTGATGAAAACCATTTTTACTAATTCATAAAAATTGCAGAATGTACTATTCGATAATCAGCTTCAAATACATTAGTCGAGTTTATTTTGAAAATTCACCAAAATCTAATGAGAACCAATTGAAAGCAATAAAGCCTACAATTAATGAACAAAATTTCTAGTAAAATAGCCAACCAATTGAATTTATTCACAGCTAATAATTATTATACAGAGAAGGAGCGTAAATATTATCATTTTAAAAGCTGATACTTTGCACAAGAGTGTAAATGTTGATTATAGCAGTAATACTAGTGATAGTTGGTTATTCTTACAGAATTAATTAACAGAGAGGAAAAAAAGGAAATGCAGTAAAGGCTCGAATGCATACCAAACGAATTACAAATTAGTTTGGAGTACTAATCGAGTTGGCGTAGTCGTGTTTCACGAGTTGTGGTTTTGCGACTTGCGTATGCTCCGTGGATTGGATGCACATAGAATCCTCCTGAAGTCCATTTCTCGTGAAATCTCAGTCGCCATTAATTCCGATCCAGCTGACAGGTCACTCGGGTAGAACACCACGGCCATTATAGATATTACATGCTCGAAGAATTTCTTTCTCACTCATCGATTGATTTAACTTAATATGTAGGAAAGAAAGAAAGCGAGTATAGGCCTCTGCTCTCTAAGTTATAGCCCGTATCGAATAATTATTATTGTTGTTTGCTTTGAGGATCTCGCGGGTCGCCGGCTGCCCTCGCGGCTGCAATTTATTTCAAAATTTATTACCGATGACCGATAGAGGAAGCTGAGGAAGAGGGAATGTATCCAATAGAGATCTCGAGACGACTGAGGCGTTATGTTTTGCACGTGCAGGCGTTCATCATCATCTATACTACATATATACCACCCTCTCTTTTATTCAGACTTTTCGTTTTCTCCTCTACTACTGCAGTATCATTTATAAGCTCGAAATTCAGTCAATTTTCCTCGCGAACTGGCTAAATATATGAATTCCATCGTGATTTCATTCTCAATGAAATTACCAAGTCAAGATTTGAGGTTCTCACGTTTGCGTGCTCTTCGATGCCACGCGGGAGGCAACATTTTGCAAATAAAAATTAAAAATTTGTACTCTCTGTAGAGGGATGAGTCTTTGAGACTACGGACACGTTGGATCTCCAGCGAAACTACCTTAAACACAGGTCACGCATCTTCGGTGCGTCCTCACAGTTTTGCACGATATATATGCATCAGTCTGTATACACCACTTCCACGCACCACGCAAAAATTATCGTTAGAAAATTCCACAGCCAAAGAGAAGTTGTGTATATTTTTTAATCATTTACTTTTATTTTTCATTCCTTCCTTTATTCCTCGACTCCACCTCCTCCTCCTCCTTCTTGGCGTCTTTTCTTTACCTCATCTTCTTGGGTTGGTCGCATTAAATTCGCGAAACTGCCACTAGCTAACACCATAATCATGGAGACTGACACCCAGCACAACAATGAGAATCACTAATTGCCTATCGGAGCCTTAATATGTTATAACGTTGATGCGCCTACGATCCTTTTTCATAACAATTCACCATCATTTTGCTTCAGGGTATAAATGAACCCACAAATTGGTCAAGATA